AACAGATGTTTTTATGCTCCACTAATCACATTGATTACAGCTGATCACAGGTGGAAGTCAATATTTTCAATATTTTCAGACTTGTCTCTCCGGCAGTGTAGTGGTGTGGCAGAACAACACAGTAGAGTAGGATGTCTTTTGTTTTATGGTGGCGTAATTGATTCTCGTGATTGGTTTCTAAATAAAATCGATTTTTGATTAGAGGTTTCCTTCTTTTGTTCTATGGTCTGTGACTCATGAGGCAGGTCATCTGTTATGCCGCTTTTGCAACAGAACCCGGTAATTAAGATTCCTCAGTCATCCCTCATAGCTCTTTTAAAGGTGCTTATGAAACAAAATAATATAAGATTTTAACTCTGAGTCAGATGATTTAAATATGTAAAATGTCTCTTGTGGTCAAGCAGCACCTCCTGACCGACAAACTCTGAATACGTTATTATTGCCATCTGCTTCTTTAAGACCCTTCTTGGAAGTTTTTGATTGGTTTACTTAAAGCTCACATTCAAAGACAATTTCAATAAAACTGCATGGTATCTGGAAATTAACGCCTTTTGAATCATTTCTGTGGGGGAAAAAAAGCTCTGGTGCTCCATGGGCTCGATTCCAGCTCCTGCCAGGGGTATTCTGCTGTTGTGTCCTTGGGCAAGACATTTCACCCAACTTGTCTGTGTTGGTGGTGGTCAGAGGGGCCGACGGCGCCAAATGGAAGCCTTGCCTCTGTCAGACCTCCCCAGGGCGGCTGTGGCTACATAGTAGCTTACCATCACTGGCAGTGTGTGTATGTGAGAGTGCACGGAAGCGTCTTTGAGTGTCCTAAAAAGCGCTATATAAGTTCGATGTATTATTATTATTATTATTATTATTATTATTTTACTTATTGCATGCAGACTTCTGCACAGGCAGCGGTGCATTGCAAAACAATTCTCTGCCAGGACAACAGAGGGCGTAGCGTTTTTCTGTGGTATCCTGCCACCATGACACGCATGTATCCGTCCACAATAGTGTATTTACTAATGTGTTTATTTATTTCAGAAACTTTATAACACGGACAAATTTGTCCCTCATTCTCCTCCACTTCTTCATGCGGTCGCCACGTCTAAACCCATGTTTCTTGTCATTTCTGTCCACAATTCCTCCATATTTTGTACTCCTTCAGTCACTGGTGAATAAACGCTCATCTTTTCTTACTTTTTCTGTGATGCATTCTTCAATCTGTTCTGGGTCTGTCGCTAAGGTCTTTTTACTTTTAAATACAAATATACAGGAAGCGGCATCCTGACCAATCACAAACTTAACTTACAGTCTCCGTCACTTTTGACGGATGTTTAAAATTTTGGGCACGTCTCCTTCACCCACTGGGAGCCCGTTGGACAGCCCTTTTCCCCGACACATAATGGCGTTGTGTGTCTCTGCACCGACGCAGAAGGAGAAGTATAAATAAGGCTTTATTCAGATATTGCACCTCTGATTTGCAAACAGCAACGCAACTCCATTCACTCAGTTTGCTCTGCGACGCTGATGTTTTATCTCCACAAATAACACATGCCTGAAGGAGTTCGGCTGTGTTTTGGAGTTGCTAACGCTAACGGTTAGCTTTGAACAGAGCAACGCTTTGTTCTTTCCTGGTTGCAAAAATTAGCACAACCTTCACCATTACGAGCCAAGGTGGGTGACTGGTAAATTTCAATGACGTAGATTTGTGTGGCTTTTATCGACCCAAGCCTTTCTCCGTCTATTTTCTATCTGCGGCTAATGCAGGAAAAGGGACTAGAACACTTTTTTTCACATTCAGCCTGTACGTGAAACTGAGTGACCGATCAGAATTCAAAATTAACTACTGAAAAATGTGTTATCAGTGAACTTACTCTTTAATATTATACATGATTCAGTACAATTTGCTGATTATTTTGTAAATGTGTCCAACGAGCCACTGTGTTCCAGAATGATGGTTTTAAGTACAGAAAGGAAAGAAACAACTACAAAGTTTTTGAGAAGGGAAAAAGCCGTTTTTCAACAAACTTACTGTATGTCTTTGTAACAGAAAAATTGTTTTATTTTATTTATTTATTTCGTTTTTACAAAACCTATAAAATACAAAAGGGAAAAAATAAAATACCTACTTAAAATATGTAAAACATTAATCATAAAATATGTTACAAATCAAAAGTTTGGGAAATGTTCTTGTTTTCCAAGAAAACCAAAGGAGGTACTTTTTTGGATTTCATATTCTTTAGATTGAAAAGGTCCCAGTTGAGTGCTGTCTAGAGGGTAAGACTTGACCATGGGCGTCACACCCGTGGGCAGTGTTGGGCAAGTAACTTCAAAACTGTAATGCATTATTTATTACTTGTTACCCTCATTTTAAAGTAATTCATTACATTACAATATTACTGATTTTAAAATGTAAGGCATTACACTACTTTTGCATTACTTTAAGTTACTTTCACCAAAACAACTTAAATATGAATCTGGTAATGTGACGCTCAGTGAGCTCATGACATTTATGTGGAAAGTGATGTGGTGTCTGAGCTAGGATTGCTGTTAAAAACAGTCAGATATAATAGCAGTGCTTTAAAATGATTGTTTATTAAATAAAAGCAACCACAATCTGTACTCTCAGCACGCTGCCATCTCATATTAACTGAGCAGGGAGTGAGGTGGTGGGGGCTCCAAGCCTATATTTGCCTTGGTCCCCAAATGCCTTGATACGGCCCTGGATGTGGGACTGACTTCTGGGGTGATCTGATTCTATCACATGTATAAATACTACATGCTTATGTATTATTGCTTTTCACTGTGGGCTGCGCAGTGGCACAGTGGTTAGAGCTATTGCCTTGCAGCGAGAAGGTCCTGGGTTCAATTCCCGGCCTGGGATCTTTCTGCATGGAGTTTGCATGTTCTCCCTGTGCATGCGTGGGTTCTCTCCGGGTTCTCCGGCTTCCTCCCACAGTCCAAAAACATGACTGTTAGGCTGATTGGTCTGTCCAAATTGTCCTTAGGTGTGTGTGTGTGTGTGCATGATTATTTGTCCTGTGTGTCTCTGTGTTGCCCTGCAATGGACTGGCTCTCTGTCCAGGGTGTACCCCGCCTGATTGCCCGTTGACTGCTGGAGAAAGCCCCCCCCCCCACACACACACACACACACACAACCCACCCCCCGCGACCCTGCGTGGACAAAGCGGGTTCAGAAGATGGATGGTAAAAATGTGTATTGGGGGAAAAATCGACCAACTTTTTTTCTTTTCAAGCACTTTGTTTTGTTTTCTTGATTTTATGTGAATAATTTCCTGCCTTTTCTCTCTCTAACCTTCCTGCATGGTGCATGTTTTCTCTGTCTTCCAGAAAAACTGTAAACTAAATTTCCTACGTTCTAACTAATCAGCCAAAGGGATCTACCGAATGCAAAAAAAAAAAAAAAAAGCTTAATATGCGCTGCGCTCCAGCAGCAATGAGTTGAAATCACCGGGGCACAGATTATGAACTCAGCTGAAAAGTACATGAAGTACCAGAGAATATGGGCTGATATAAACGATCACAAACGAATTACTTTGTTTTGGTGGAGCGATTTTGTGGATATAACAGCGGCCGCGCGCAGGACGCAGCTGGAGTATTTGAGCCGTTACCGCTGCGTCCTCTCTGCTCATAGAATGCCCACAAAGCTGAGTCCATAAATGACGTAATATATGTGGATACTGGATCTTTTTTCAGGCTTCCCGCAATTAGAATTTTTAGGAAACCCTTATCTTGATTCTGGGTTTTAAAATGCATTGCAATTACCGCATTACTGACAATTGTACCGAGTAAATAATACCATTTTCTTTCCCTGTAATGCCTTACATTACCACATTACAGCAAAAAACAATGCATTGCAGTAGTTAATTATTTTTGTACCGCATTACTCCCAACACTGCCCGTGGGGGATGTGGGGGGTTTCAACACCCACATTTTTCTTATTGAGATCGTTCAACACCCACATTTTTCTTATTGAGATCGTTCAACAGCCACATTTTTCCAGCCGTTTTGCAAAAGGAATAATTGAACACTCCTTCAACAGAAAAGTTTTTGTTGTCCAACTTTAAAGCTGGCTTGTTAACATTCAGTGACAAATAAAGTTTGTTGAAACTGCCCTGCCTCTACCCGAGTACACCTGTGTGCTGGTGGACTGGGCTGGAACTACAGTTTATTCGGGAGAGTTTCTCCGGACCTCGCCGTTGGATTATTGAAGCCATTCAGGTTAGTTAGGAAACCTCTGAGCCAATAGAATCGCTTGATTTTGATTTTTTTTCAGCTAGTATTTTGGGATTTGGCGTCGGATGGATGCAAGCTAAAACAGCCACGAATCAGCTTTGTGTGATGTTGTGAAGATGGATTACACAAAGGAACTGGATTGTTTTTACTATAACATGGATTATGACCATGAATTAACGAAGGTAAGACTAAATTTACGCTTTTCACATCATGAAATGAGCTGTGGTTCGTTAGCTGTGCTGGCTCTGAATTTTGCACGTAGAATGCAGAAACATTGTTGGAAAGAGGAGAGCCTGGGCTTTAATTTCAACGGCAGATTCTGTGGACAGGATATTGGATTGTCGCTACTGTGCGTTTTTCTCTAAATGCGTATTTAGTGTCTTTCTATGTCCTTTTGATTTAACAGCTTAAAGTTGAAATTGGGTGTTGATGGAGAAAACTTAGGTTCTGTTGTTTGGAAGATTAGTTCTTCCCGTTCTGCATGTGTGCAGTTTATACATTGATGAATATTAAGCATGTTTTTGGAAGGACTTTGTTACTTTAGCAATATCACATGAGAGGGAGTGTGTTGTTGCTGAATATCAGCACTGCTGTGATTCGGTCGTAGGCACGAGGCCGCAGGCCGAGTGCCGTAGATAATCACACCAGTGCTGATATTTAGCAACAACACATGACCTCAAGTGTGATATTGCTTTTACACAACGGTTCTACCTGCTCATTTTATTTTTATAACAACAATAAGCAACAACATATTATAACTTGTTCATTTATTTAATCATTTATCAGGCTCCGCCAACACAAATGACCCCAACACGAAACGCAGACTCAGACAAGGCTGTTGCTAGGCAACACAAACATTTTCTACAATAATGGTTAGAACGCCTGTGCACAGCGAAGTGATACTGTTTGTAAACAGTCCCAGTGCTGTTATAGTCCAATATCAGCACTCTTGGAAAGTCTCTTGACCAATCAAATCACTATGTCGGAACTAGCTGTTGTATAATTCACATTATGTGCGGACCCGCTATTGGATTGAGATTGGGTTTCAATTTACAGTTGATGACATCCACAGACAACATCCCCCACATTTTTGAAAAGCTTGCAAAATGCCTGGACTTGACCAAAGCCTTTGTTCATCAGGAATCCTTTCACTCTGCAAAAATCTCCTAAATACTGTATTTCTGTCACGCGTGCTGGTGAGTGAAGCGGATGTGACGATCCACACGCGGGTGAAGTAGGTAGGCAGGCAGGCAGACACGAATGATTAAAGGCTTTTAACAAGGAACACGCTGACACTGAAACAATGAACCGACAAAAGACAGAACTGAGAGGGTTTAAATACATGAGGGCTGGGAGCTTGGGTGATTGGAAAACGAGAGGCAGGTGGGAGCAATTAACAGAGACACTTGACTGAACAGAATGGGGAGACAGGACAGGGTGTGACAATTTCATTTCACTTTTCGCTGTGCAACATAGCAACAAGAGTTTCATAATTATTAATTAACCTTATAAAATTATTTATTTGAAGTAGCAGCCATTCCAGCACATGACTGCAAACAATTGACAGCGACTGACACTGGGTTGGTATACAAAAATGCAGATTTTTCTTTGTGAAAATCTGTGACCTCGTGAGGTTGCCAGTTATGTGCCGAGCTAAAGCTGCAGTGAAGGCAAGCTTCAGAATTGTTTAAAGAACCGAAGCCAGAAAACATTAGCTACCCAGAAGTTATTTTTTCTACCCCATAAAAGCCGGTGAAGCAGGCAAGAGGCTAACGTTGAGCTAACAACGCTAACTGTGAATTAGAAGTAAATAGTCGGCTATGAAAATATCTCAAATGTTTGAAGTGAATAATGAGTAATTTGTGGTATTGAGTCGTTCATAACTATAAGTCCAAGCTAACAGCAAAATGGCAAACAACCGCACTTCCTGGAAAGCTGGAGACAAATTACCGTAGTAAGTTCAAGTGCTCCCTACTGTAAAACACCCAAGAGTGCTAACACCAGATATGAAAATGTATGTATCTACTTATCAAAGTACTGTATGTGCCTCGTCTTTCCTTTTCATCTAAAATATTCTTGTGTTGATCTGTAACAGCCATGAAACTCAGAACAGTGAGATGGTGACATTTTGTTTTAAAAATGGGCTGCAGTACCCAAATTTGACCACATGATATCAATCCTACATTTTGCACCTTTAATCTTTATGTGTTTTGATGCAGACTGGAATTCGTTATCCTGTATTTCAAGTCTCCTGTTTATGGTCCTAACCTGGGTTTTTGCTTCAAGTCAAAACTCAAAAAGTGTCACAACAATTTTAAATTTCTGGGCTCAGTTTTTGTTATTTTCATAACGAGAACCTCGTCTGTTGGTGGTCCTCCCACATCTGTTGTCCCATATATCTCCACAACAAAACCTGCTTCACTATTTCAGGCAATCAGCTACACCCAAGAAATATCCAAAGCTTCTCTTGTTCACTGCAGAAAGCTGTCAAAACCATCATTAAGCCCGATGATCTATTTCCATGACGGTGCTTTGACCGGAGACATCTGCTGACGTGCTGAGCCGTAGCTGATAACAAGACAAGCGAAGAAGGAAGGAAGGAGGTGAAAGGAGGAGAAGTGATCACAGTCGGAGGAGAGGGATGCTGGCGAGATGGCGGCAACGCGGAGGAGGAGGGACACTTATGAAACACAGGAGGGTAAAAAGAGTAAATGCCAGAGGGAGAATGTTTATCTGGATGTCACACAGAGGGATGGGATGGAAAACTGTGACAAGGAAGACAAAAACAGTTTATTCAAAAACATAAAGCGCTAACACACACACACACACACACACACACACACACACACACACACACACACACACACACACACACACACACACACACACACACACACACACACACACAGCGTATCATGCTAGGAAAAAAAAAGTAACAATAAAACACTCCAAAACCCAACATCATATCAAAGTAAACACACAAATTTAAGGTAATTTAGAGAGTCTAAAAACAATAATCATTGTGGCTTCTGTGTAACAACACGGTCTTGGGAGCTTTTGACCTCATAAGATTTCTTTTCATCCCAGTTGATCCTCATATTGCTTACGGAAACAGTCTCCCACAGGAAAGAATTCCCAGCAACGCTCCTGGTACATTTTCCACACGTACGATTCCTGCAAAGTCAACAGGGTAGTGATTAATCTTTGGTCCCATCGAATGTGTACATCTATTGACAATGATCTCAGCAGATCACTGAAAATAAAAGTTCATGACAGTCGAAAGGGAACAAAGCCAAAGTTCACACCAATAAAGATGCCGTTTTCATTTCATGTGAAGAAACCAGCAAAATAAAACAATTCCCAGTTCACTCTGGAAAACCATCTGAATATGAACTTTTTCAGAATTCCTTTCCTCTGATCAGTTGTACTAAAACACATTTGAGAGTCAAAATCAACATTCTTAGATAAGAAAAATGAGAAAACAGTTTTCTGTCTCTTAGTCTGCAGACTATTTAGGGTCTATGGGCATCCCGTTTATGGACAAGCATCCAGGAATGAGCAAATACGCCTAAATTAAAGGAACTGAAACGGAAAACGCTTGTTGCATTAAATCACTTAGCTTTAACCTGTGCAACAAGGTCACATATAAAATATTACAATGAAAAAAAAAGGATAATGGCCATTAGGCGCCTGCAGATTTCACAACAAAAGCCCCATCTGGCTTAAATGCACGAGCGGTTCACAAGTAAAAACAGGAGCAGTAATCATACCGGGCCTGTCTGCATGGATTATTATCATTAACTGTGCATGCTTCGGGTGACTCCGTACAGCTTTTGAGATATAGTGTGAATGCAAATTCTGTCTCACTCGAAAAGGTTGCACTGCAGCTTTGTCATCATTACAGCAAATGCTAGAATTAATAGGTCACTGAGACATGGAGGAAGTGTTGTGGATGAATACATTAGAAGATGTGATCTCTCTGCGACTGCTAAATTGTCCAGGAACCTTTTTAAAGTGCCCTCTCTCCCCAGCTGAGTCGTGTAATGTGAAAAAAGAAATGATCATCACCCTACCTGCCCTGTGTGCTCAGTTTCATCCTTGTTAATAAGATACATCAGAAAAAATCTGAAAGGACACAGAGAAGAGAATCATTTTTCAGACCCCCTCCTCAGCTAGAGAAGATCTCTACAGACATTTCCAGAATTAACTCAAGTAGGTTGATTGTAATGAGTACAGTTGTGTATTTCCAGATGAGATGCCATCAGAGAGCACAGCTCTCTTTTGAAAATCAGCGTAAATATTCAAACTGATGTGGAACGGTGTTAGATGACTGACAGGAGAGAGTCATTTTAAAGATTACTGATAATTTTGTTCATTAAAATATAAATATGTGTTTGAGCATGTAAACTTTTATTTTTTCAGGTGCACTAAATGCATCACATTAACCACCATCATGCATACGGTAATGAGGGGAAAGTCAATCAGTCAAAGGCTGCAAACAATTTGCAGGATCCACAGTAATTAGGCTCAGCAAGCTCTAACTCAGGGCAATTAGTGAAATAAAGCAACTGTGCAACATGCAAAAGAAACACTAAATGTTTGTGTTTCAGCGGGAGCACAAAGGGTGAAAAAAAGATGATAGAACTTTGTTTATCGTTCCAAAATCATCAGAGGTCTTTTAACAATCGTCCATTTCCCATCCTAAATCAGGCTTTTGCATGAGCTTTGGTTGATTTTTCATCGCTACCTTCTCCTCATTCTGATCTTTCCACCAATCCTGCCTTTCCTGGGATCCACTGATTACTTTTTTTTTTATCACAATTACTACTTTTATTGTTCTTGTGAAGCTTGTGATTTTTATCTCGAGAGGAGCTATATAAAAGATTGTTCCTCCTTCTTTATCTTCTTAAAGGCATAGTTCTCTTTTGAAGTGGGTTTGTGTGGAAATCCTATGATCGCTGAATATCTCACCTGTTTTTTTTTTTTTTTTTTTTTGATGGCTTCTGGTTAGAGAAAGTTCTGATCCGACAGATCAGCTAACAGATATTCTCTGTGGTGTCAATTACAAACATTAGGTACAATGTGAAAAATAATGGCAAATATGCAAATATATGTGAGGTGGTTACTGGCCTGTGGTTATATTGCACCTTCTAGAGTCCTACAATTCACCCATGCATGCACGTTCACAACCCTGGTGGTGATGTGTTACGATGTAGCCTCAGCAGCCCTGGGACGCACTGACAGAAGCGAGGCTGCCACCTGTCACTCTGACCAATATACTAAGAAGCATCAGTGCCACAATAAAGAAAAGAAAAAAGACATAAAAAGTGTTTGAATGTTTAAAGGATTGAAGCTTAAATATCAGGAAAAAAGTCAGAATATTATTTTCAATATAAAATTAACTCTCTCCAGAAAAATATCAAAAAGCGGACTCTTCAGGAAAAACCTGAAGAAGCCAACTTCATTCAGATATTCACAAGCAAGTGTGAAAATATCTATTTTTGTTGTTTTTTCTGTATAGTGATTTCCCATCATCATCAAAAAAAGATGTTTTTTTCTCAAAATAGCATATTTCTCTCTACTTATATTAATATTTTATTCTGGATATATGTAGTAGTAATAAGTAGTAGTTATTTTTTTTCTTAAATCTTTAACATGTCATGGTAACACGGCCAAGGCTGAATGGGGAGAGCGGCTGTCCTATAATCCAAAGGTCGTGAGATCGATCCCCAGTCCTGGCAGGCTAGTGCCGAAACATCGTTCGGCAAGATGCTGAACCCCAAAGTTGCCTCCCAGGTGGGATACAAATTGCAACCATTAGGGTCTAATGCAGAGAAAAAAATGTGGTAACACTTTGAAATAAGGTACACAAAATGGTGCTTCGTTACTAGGGAACGACTTAGGGGGTAATGAGTAATGAGTAATGAAGCAGGAAAGATAGCTAACCAGTAGTTACTGGTGAAAATGCTCATTAGTCTTTTTCGGGGACTAATAGGTAATTATCTATGAAAGCAATAAGGAAGGAATCCCAAATGAACGCAGTGCCTGTGGACTCTCTTTTTTAAACTTCAGGAAGGACGCAGATAATTTGCAACATCACAGTGATTTAATATCACTGTTTCATCTTCATTTCACTCGTCTGTCACTTTGTCGTCCATCGTCAGCATCCATCCGTGTCGAGATGATGGAAAGTGAAGCCTCCTCCCAAGTACCTACTGAGGAACAAATCTGTACTTAATACTTAACCATTACTTATATGTTGTTACATGGCCATTTACTATAAAGACATTGAGCTCATCCACACATCATTTTCTTTCATCTTGCGTGTGGTAATATTCCAGAGATGGGTGACTAAAATCCTGCAGGTTACAGTGTTATCTGGTTCAAATCAATCACTAACAAAATGTTCAATGTTTAGGGTACTTTTTTTTAAATAATCAGAAAAGTACACATACATTAACTTTTACATTTATAAACTTTGAAATCAACATGTAAAAACACTCTAAAACTACCTATTCTTTCCTGCTTCATTACACATTACCCCAAGTCGTTCTCTAGTAACGAAGCACAATAGGGCTGCAGCTATCGAATATTTTTGTAATCGAGTACTCTATCGAATATTCTATCAATTAACCGAGTACTCTAATAAATTACCCTTTTGCGTTTGTAAACCATTATATCAAACAGCATGTTATAAAATATGAAAGACCTCTTAAAATGAGCAATTGCCAGTTATTCTTCAAGTTTTATTCAAAATTAGTTTTCAAAACTTCAGCACTTCAACTTTACTTCACAGTAAACAAATGCGAGCGACTGCGGCCCAAACAGCACCAGAACCGCTCACGGCGCATGCGCAAACATGGCTCGCCAGCTGTTTCCCTATTAACACACGTCCGTTTTAATTTCTACACTTTTTTTTCCTCACACTAACAAGGATTGTCGAGAAAGCATGTTTGCCGTGGTTATGTCAAATTATACTGATCACACAACATTTATTTACTTTCTTTCGTTTTCCTCCATCACTCTCATATATACCTGTGTCCTTCTGCAGCAATCCCGAGGGACAACGGACATCAATAACAACACAGTAAAAAGTCCGACGTGTTGTAAAAACTGCTATTTTTAGCACATTCTAAGACCGACGTGTTGCTACCAGACGTACGGTGTGAGCTGAAACCAAGTGCTACAAATGAAAAAGTCGCACAGTGTCCGCAGAATATATAGAAATACAGGCTAAAATGCATTATCTTGTAGAGGCTCCGAGTCCGCCTGCAGAAGAGACATTTACATGTGGATGTTTCCTGGTCAGGTGCTGCAGCTTGGAGGATGTGGTGTTGTAGGCTAAATCCATTTTACAGTATTTACACTGGAGTACGTTTTCCGCCTTACAACATGAAAAATGGTCCCACACCTTTGACATTTTCTGTATTTTTCGCACTCCACCGGGGTCCACGTTGTCCGCCATGGCTTAAGAGAAAGTTAAGGTTGTTTTTCTTTTGTTTTTTTGAGAAAGTTAAGTTACATTCGCCACTCGTGTGTGCATTTAGTGCAGTATGTATGTGCGTCACTTATTTTGGTCCGGGTGAAACATGACCCCGGGTGATTGCAAAGCCATGAATTAATTAAACATGAATTAAACGAAGCTTCGAGGCAGAGAATTTGACTCCAGGATTTTTTGTACTCGAATTATTCGAGGTACTCGAGGAATCGTTTCAGCCCTAAAGCACAATTTTGAATACCTTATTGTCAAGTGTTACCAAAAATGCCCCTAAAGGATCAGAAAGTATAGGAATCAAAAAAGTCTCATGCCTATAAAAGAAAAGTTAACCAGTCGTCTATGATGTAAAATGCTAATCTTTTGTGTGAAAACGGGTTATATCTTTGGCTTCCTTTAATATGAACAGAGTAAATTTATTTAAATGCCACTGATTGGCTGTTTTTTCATCTTTTTACTAGAGATTAACATCACATAAAAGTACTAAATAATAGAAAAATAAAAACAAAAGAGGGCTTTTCGTTTGTTTTTAAAGGTGAAATTCAAATGCCACATGCACAGTATTTACACAGGTCTGCATGGTAATTTATCACTGTCCAAGTGACATTTTTGACATTTTGTTTTAGTAGTTGTGTTTAAGACAAAAACATATGAAGAGCACATAGAACCACTCACAGGTAGTTGGCCAAGTTGTGCTCCTGCAGAGTATGGGTCTCAAAACCATGAGGGATGTTGTCAAAGTACTCACTTCCTATCCCACATATGAAACATTTGGTCTGCAGAGAGAGAAGTATGACCTCATAATTCATTCAACAGGTACAGAAGAAGTCAGCACATCAGAAAGAACACAAAACATGGTTTTAGTGTTCAAATGTAACATATAGTATAACACCTTATTTACATAATTTAATTTTTGCACTTCCACATTTAATTTCTTCCATCTCAGGAACATTGCTAAGTTGAGTCCCATTGTGTCTCCCTCTGAACTTGAGACAGTTGTCCACACCTTCATCTCCTCACGCTTAAGCCCCCTTCAGACAGGCCATGAAAAACGGAAATGTTCCGGAATCTGTCCGTAAGACCTTTCTGTCTGAATACAAACATCCGGATAACATGTTCCGGAATTTAACCGGACGAAGCCCCTAGTAACAGGTCCGGACTTGTTACGGACAGGGTGGCTGCTTCAGACTGGTGAGGTAGAGTTCCGGACAAGAGGGAGGGGGAGGAGGAGGGGACCGGGGGACGCTGTGCGCACCTAGATAGCCCGCTGCTGTAGCATGCGGCGAACCACGGCAGCTCGCCTCCTACGGTACTGTCTAGACGCGCGACGGAGCGCTTCACACCGCTTCAGTGATTCCTTTAACCATTGAGCTTCATCATCCAGGTCTCTTATGCATCTTCGTGTGCGCAGAATTATGCTTAAGCGCCTCGTGATTTTTATCTTGAGAGGCGCTATAGAAATGATATTTTCTTCTTCTTCTTCTTAACATAAGTCCGATTCTCCCCCACCCCACCCCACCCCCCGCCACCGTCAGACATCTGGAACTTTTCCCTGCTGTGTGAACGCAGCCGAAAGGACAAGTTCCAGTACAAAAGTGGTGTGTCTGAAAACACAGTTCCGGTTAAAAACCGGATTGAATTGTCCGCAAATGTTCCAGAATGTCTGTCTGAAAAGTGCTTTAGACACTTGTAACTCTCTTTTCACGTGTCTGAGCAGAACCTCCCTGAACCGTCTACAGGTGGTTCAGAATGCCTGTGCTCGGCTTCTGACCAAGTCCTCCAAACACACCCACATCACCCCGCTTCTCCTCCAGCTTCACTGGCTGCCAGTCAACTTCAGGGTTCATTTCAAGATCCTGGTTCTGGTCTATAGGGTCTTACATGGACAAGCACCATCTTACATTGGTGATCTTCTTAGTCCCTACACCCCCAGCAGGTCCCTGAGGTCCAGTGATCAAAGCCTACTGGTTGTGCAGCACCAGGCTAAAGACCAAAGGTGACAGATCATTTGCTGCTGTGGCCCCCAGACTCTGGAACTCTCTCCCCCTGAGCCTGAGATCAGCGGACTCAGTGGTCTCCTTTAACCCTCCCACTGTCCTAATGGGTGTGACCCTGTGAGGAAAGTTGACCATTGAGCAGGGTTGATGGTTTATCCCTTGGGTCCATGTGGCAGGGGTGAGGAGTGAGCACCACCTCACCCCTGCCACATGGACCTCAAGGGACATCAGTCCTGCTCAATGGTCAACTTTCCTCGCGGGGTCACCCATTAGGACAGTGGGAGAGTTAAAAAGCAGCTGAAGACTCACTTGTTCAAACTGGCTTTTGTATGATCTTCATCACCACTCTCTACTCTGCTCTCCCCACTTGTTCCACCTTCCTCAGGATCCACTGATTTCCCTCTTACCTATTCACTCTCTCTCTTTATTTACATTTTTTAATCACAATTGTCTATTTTTTGCTCATTTAAAATATATTTTTAATCATTTTCTAAATTCTTTTTCATATTTTTACATTTTTTGTTTTTGAGAAGCGCCTCGTGATTTTTATCTTGAGAGGCGCTATAGAAATAATATTTTCTTCTTCTTCTTCTTAATTTATAACCTAACTAGGTTTTCATTTGTTCTTATTTATTTATTATTTATTTTTGCAGGTAGAACGGTCAAAAACAAACGGTAAAATGTTTCTTTGCTCGAAATGCAGCATATGTGTCAGGTCGACTGCATTTAGAGCAGCAAATGATTGGGAGTTGAAAGCTGTAGCTGAAACACATTTATCATAGCTGAGTGCAGCATGCTGCTGAAATGTAACATCTGGGAGAAGGTGTAGAGTCAGTGGGACTGTTGGGACACACAGTGAGAACCAGACTAGATGTAAACTACATGAGAGCCAATATTAACTACCAGTGTCATGAAAACCATCCTCAAACTAAACCACATGTTGATATAAAATAGTGTTTCTCATAAACATTTCAAAGCCGCAGCTTGCTTCTGTTCTCTTTAGCCCTCAGCAGTCCATAAAGCATTTTGCTTTTGCTTGAATTCCTCCTGAATCTGTTTTGCTGTTCGCTGAACCATAACTCTGCCATTTTTCATTTATTATTGTTTGCTCTGTGAATGTGGAATGGCAGATGCTGACTGTGATTAGATGTCTGAATGTCAGTGACCATAAGTATTATACATTTAGTGACATTATAAAACAAATCTCATGCTAAGTTTGTGCGACCATCTCTGCTGTGTTTAGCTTTTTTTCTCAGGCAGGCAATCAAAGATTCATTCTTGAAAAACAAGCCGTTTGCTTTTTCTTTTTACAACATTTGAAATAGTAAACTAAAAGTATGTTAGTAGTTCTACCTATGCTTGGTTTGGGTCAGAGATGTGCACACAGGGAAACAAAATAAAACGTCAGCTCTCACCTCCATGTCCTCTTTCACCTGTTCCTGCTGATCTCGAAGCTCTCCGAAGGCATCTATTATTAAACCTGAATGAGGGACAAAATAGTGAGTGTGTGTGCATCAAATACATCTGGTGTTGTTTCATGTGAACCGTAAGTGGAATTGAGCATTTAAGAGAATCAGGGCTCATTTACTAATTTAAGGCTGGGGTACGTAGTTTATCGTTTTTTAAGGTGTTGAATACTTGTTTAATCCAGTGTTTCCCAACCCTGGTCCTCAGAGCACAAAGACCTGCATATTTTCCATGTCTCTGCTTCAGCACACCTGATCTACATTGCCTCTGCAAGAGGACATCATGCGCTGCAGATGCCCGTTAATGACTCATTCATTTAAGTCAGGTGTGTGGCAGCAGGGAAGCACCGATGTTTAAAGGGCAACACATGCAGGACAGTGTGCCTTGAGGACCAGGTTTGGGAAACGCTGGTTTAATCAATACATTTGCAGTGGTCTGGAATAGTAATATGAATGCCATGCAAGTCGTACTCTTGGAAACAAAAGCCCAGAAGCACCTGTGTCAGCAAGGACGAGTCAGGTAGAAGAGAAAGTGGCAGAACATGGCAGGATTTGGAGTTTTATTTTCTGATATTTGGACAACTTACCTTGCTCTGCAACATTAATGTTTTATTTCCACAAACAACCCAAGCCAGATGGAGTTCTGCTGTGTGATGGAGTTGCTAATGCTAACAGTTAGCTTCTAGTGGTCTATCCATTCTCTGCATTTTCCTGGATGCTAAACAAACAACAGCCTCCCTCGTCACAAGTCAAGATGGGTGTGAATGTTTAGTGACAGTGTGACGTCGATCTGTGAGACTTTTCAAATCCTAGAGTTTCACCGTCTGTTTTCTACTAGAAGCTGTAGACTTCAAGCTAACTGTAGAAGACAGAGGAGAACAAAAAGGGATTTATCTTTAGTGCAGGGTTCGGCAACCCGCGGCTCTTTCATCCATCTGATGCGGCTCTGTGTGCTAAAATGTATTTTATTTTACTGCATTTATTTTTTATCTGTATGCCAATTCTAAATGGAAATGTTATCTTTTAAAATCTGAACAAAAATGAGAGACCTAAAATGACAGGTCACCTGCTTGTGCGTAATCAAATGTCCCTATAGGTGTTTTCTCAGCTGAAGAGGATGTGAGATTCTGGACTTTTTCCTCAGACAGGCTCATGGAAGCGTCGCCACATTGGAGACAGGAACAAGAGCTATTCAGCCAAAGTTTCATAATCAAGGAACATTTTCTAAGTGACAAGACTCTCTGTGAGACGGGGTTTGGAAAGCATTCGCTCCAGTGAGAGGAATCTTCCCGCATGCGCTCTGGTTCTGCTGCTGCCTTTGACCGACGAGCTCCAAAAAATGTTTTGACTGGATAATTTTCTTATCTTTTCAACATTGTTTAATGTTAAGTTGCATTCAGTACAAAGTTTAAGTCCAACGAGACAGAGCCTGGATTTGCATTCTGAATAGTTTAAACATGTTTTAAGAGGAGACGTGTGTGACGCATCAAAAAGCGGCGCCTGCTCAACTATTAAAACCACCAACAGGGTGAAAATATTGTTGGCACAGACGGGCTACAACTTCTGGATCAATTTTATACAAGTTGTTTTATTAATTATCTTCTGTAAAAAGATAACTGACGTATATGAGCGACCGGTATTGGTTGCTGTCTCCTGTCATGATGGTTAAAGCAGCTCTCGGCTGTCTTAGGGTGGGCCCAGGCCCGGTAGGCCCACCCACAACACTGCAGCTGCTGTGGATCCCAGAGTTTTCTTTACTGTGGGAAACAGGTAATAATGGCTCTTTGATGGAAAAAGGCTGCTGACCCCTGCTTTAGTGTATTGGAGCTGAGTGATGAGTACAGCATTCAAACTTGTTTGTTGTTTTTTCCTCTGTTTTTTGATGATGTCACGCTACAGACCCCAGCTTTAATTTAAAAAGTTAATGATCCATGTGTACAAAATATTCTTGAGTATTTTGCTGACAGCATTCATGCTAATGCCCGTGTGCATACGGTCAAACGTCCATGTGTGACTCACCTTGGATGATGGCCAGGAGGATTACAATGACAAAAAAGAAAAACGTGATGTCAAAGAGGATTCGTTCCACTTCAAACTCGTCTCCAGCAGGATCTTCAATCTCATCACCGATGCCGCCGCCCGCACGCACTCCAACATACATGTGGAACATGTAACACTAAAAAAGAACAGGTTTTATACAGTAAATAAAAACATTATTCTCAGCTTGCTGATAAATAAGGTGTCAAGTGAAAGCAGGTTATGTTCAGGAAGATAAACAAACAGCAAAAATGGATTCAAGACATTTCCACGTTTGAAGCCACACTGGCTGCTTTTAGGGATTACTTGGAGGCATAATTTTTATACAATAGCAGGTTCATTTAAATCAATAACTTTCTCCTCAAAGTGTTTCTCTACAAATAATCTGTGTGAAAGCTTAAGGTGAGAAGGATAACTATTCATGTGGCACAGAATGTACCGAGCTTTTGAGAAACATTGATGTTATATTTCACAGCTAAAACAAAATCAGGACTGCATCTGTTCAAAACAGCAGACAGTTATTTTCCCAGCGCCTAAAATGTTGTCGTGTTCTAATAAGCAGATCGAGACTTTAAATTACAGTCATTTGTGCCTGATAAACAGCAACACGGTGGATGTGGCTGATGATTCAATGTAATATCTCCTGCCTCCAATAATAATAATAGGGTTTATTCAAATGCCATCGCTGCACATCCGCCTGCATATTTGATTGACAGTGGAGTCTGCATCAGAATGGAGCGGGCGGTTGGGTGTTAGCGTCGTGAACGGGCAAACAAAGGATGTATTCTGAGACTTCAAGGGCTGTTTTATCCATGTGTCCATCATTTTAGGGAAAGTATGAGGAGGACAAAGAGAGATGCTTTTGCTCTAGAAATGGGGATCACCAGCGTTACCATTCTCAGTCGGGTGCCAGAAAATAGAACGATAGGTTGTGTTGGAAAGATAAACATAGTTGGTGAGAAATGGAGGTGGACAGAAGTGTGAGAGCATGTGTCAGTTTGCACATTTAGCTCACCGTAAGCATGTCGTTGCACTTCATATCCTCAGTTTCCTTGTTGTTACTTTTGTAAAACTTCCGGAAGAAATTGAAGGCCACGACAGTGTAGAGATACACGACCACAGCCAACAGACCCACAGTTAGCACCAACTGACAGAAACGCACAGTGAAGAGCAAAAAGATATAGCATCAGTTCAGAAAAAAATAAATACATTTCAGACACTTTGAAGCATCTCAGCTGCCTTTTTTACTGATATCAATATACCAATTTAATCTAAATCTTAACGTCCGATGCTGATATAAACCCGTCAAAATGAAAGAATAATATCAATTTTTGGTAAATAATATAAGATATCTCCTATCATTCATATGTAAACTTTAAATATATATATTTTTTCTGTTTTTTTCCCTTTTCTTAGTTTTCTCTTGTCCTGTTCGGCTGTGGAGCAAACAGAATTCATGTCTGAATGCTGGAGACAAGCTTTACAGATTTAGAAAAAAAATAATAATACTTTTAAAAAAATCTTTAAACATTAATTGTGCAAAATATGACATCTACACTTAAAACAATAAGTATACAGGACTAGGTAAAACGTGCAACTAATGCATTAAAAGTAAAATACACTTAAATGTAAGTTACTATTAGTAAGACAAATTAATACAACATACTTAAAATTGTGCTTTCAGTTCACTAATGCTTAAGTATATACAACCTCCCAAAAAACAAGTTTAGTGAACTAATTTCTAAGCACGTTGTACTAGTTTGTCTTAGTTAATTTTTAAATAGGTTAATTTGACTCTGTATGCATTTGTAGCTATAACTCATAATTATCAGTCCTGTGTACTTATAATTTTACATGCAATCAGTTTGCATGCTTTTTTTCAAGTAAACAGAACTGTACAGATTTTACAGTGTACTTCAGTTAATGTAAGGTCAGTGGTGCCAAACAAACAAAAACATATCAAAACTAAACCTCGGATATGTCATGCTGAGTGGGAGGAGAAGTAGCTGAAGTGTTTGATGAGTACAGATAATTCCCAATTATACATTTTAATGCCAAGATCAGGCCATAATATTGGATATCCCTAAAAATGACCATCTTCAAAGCAGTTTGCAGTCTTCCCAAAATAGCTTAACATTCCTAAATTCCACAGCATCTCATTCAAAATGACATTTTATTTACTTTTATAAAACTTCTCATTTATGTTACATGGTTATTTTGGTAGGAAAACACACACACACACACACACACACACACACACCTGTTTCCCATTGTGTGTGACAGAAGAAAGGATGGTTCGAAGCGTTTTAAAGCCCATGGCGATGTCCAAAAGGTGAGCAGCAAAGAAGAAGTTGTTATAGTGACCCAGAACTGACAGGATCATGTACCAGGCCAAGTACAAGAAGGACTGATAACACACACGTGCACAGAGAGACATCCAAAAATAAAAACTATTAGACTACAAGAACAGAGACAAATGTGCGTTTTAGATAAGATTAAATCACAGGATATTAAAGCTTTCACTTCTGTAACACGTCCACTTGTATCAAAGTAAATCTCAGCTCTGAAGATTTACTCATTAATGTTGAATACACAGTGTGTTATTAGCTATGACAAATAAACAAATAGCACCTTTATCTTTTCTAAACAAGTGAACAAAAACCACAGCAATACTTACGTTGTCAGTGAACACGACTCCGAGTTTCCAGACCTGGTACTTTGCGTCGACGGAGTTAAGCCTGAAATAAGTACACGTTACTGTGAGAGTACATAACATACACAAAATGGGGTCAGAATGTCCATGAATTAGATGAGACCCTTTGAGCTACAGTGTGTTCTCTGAAAGAAAGTGTCTGTTATGTGACTTCGTCTCAGAATGTCCTGTTCTTCTTCAAGTACAAGATTATGTTCCTGTTTTTGTCAGGCCACATGTTAGCTAACAGACACACACACACGTCCTCGGAGCGGAGCAAATAATGTAGGTTAGAAAATTAAAAGTTTTCTTAATTAACTGTCTGATGTCAAATGTCAATTGGAGTTGGTACTACATGAGTCACAAGGTCCCCTGCTTTCAATGTGTTGCATGAAGTCTTTAATTGATTTCATTGTTTGGGTGTCTCCTGTCAATAACCAGGATGGAGACAAAATGCAGATGTAAATGTTCAAATCAGTGTAAACTCTTGTACATAACAGAAAAAATCATGATACATTCTGAAATTAAAGAACGGTTCACTATTATACTCATTTCTGCCTTATTATACAAGATAAACTACATTTTACACTTTATTAAATAGTCCATCATCACTTTTGACTGAAGTGAAACAAAGCAAAAGCCAAACTGGATCTCTTTGGTTTGACTTGAACTTTTTAAGAATGCAGACTAAGACCTGAATATTTGGAATGTTTTTCCTACTTACATGGAACTCCAGGCTGTCTCTGTTCGCAGCCTCTTCCTGATTTTTCTCTCCGAGCTGAAATCCAAAGCAGCCCGGTCCAGACCTAACAGCTCACTGATCTTCTCGCAGCCGTAAAAGTCACCATACTTATCCATCACCTGTTACAGTAGCACAAAAAAGGAAAGAAGAAAGAGACAGATTTAGACAATAACACATTCAGTGTAGTTTAGTTTGAACAAAGGAGGACAAGAGGAAGTGGAATGCAATTAGCTGCATTGTCTGCAAAGTCTGAGTCATAATGAGACGGCAGCTTAGTTCTGCTGACAAGATGATGGTACTGCTTATGCAGTGACGCCTCCTGAACATAACAGATTTTCTGATTCCCATGTTGAAGACGTATCCACTAGAAGCAGGTGAAGGCAGAGTTTTGTAAGTAAATCTATCAAGTTAATTGTGACCCTGTATCAGTCCAGATTTCTGTTTTATCCATGATTTACTTACATGATACATTTCCTGACAGGCGTAGGGATTTGCATGAGACGAGATGGTTTAATGGAATTGAATGTGACTTGAATAATCAAAATAAATTGAGATAGAACCAGAGTCTGACTTTATTATATAGTCTAGTTGGTTATCTCATACAAAATCACTCAAGAACGGCAAACTTAATTCAAATGGGAATTATTATAGGGACATAAACTATTATACCTTCTAATTTACTGCAGGCTCTTATAGTGATGCAATGCAAAGTATGAAATGAGAGGCGAGTGACACGCGTATTTTATACAAGTCGGTTGTTCTTGCTGAAGGCAAAAAGCCAAAGTTAAAGTGCTTTTATAAGTCAACTAAATTAAAACTCAGAGCTCTTCTTCCAGAAGACATTATGGGCCAAGTGATTACTTTCACTCAATTTAATGTGGGTGTTTATGTATTCACAAAGTAATTCACCTAAAATACTTTATGCCTTATGGCCGTAGCTCCGAGCATTCTTTTTCAGCAATTGTTAGCATATTTCTGACATCAGTACCAAAAAGGTCAACTGCCTTTTGTCTTAATTTGTGCTACTAAGAAACATCAATGCATCCAACTGAGCATTATACACAATGCTCAGTGGATCTGCAAGCTCAGGTACAAACCACGACTTTCTTAGCCATAATTTGAGCAATTTCAGCTTACATTTAAACTGTATATGAAATGTATTTATAGTGCAGTGTTACATCCACTAAACAAAGTGTAACAACAAACAGTAAATGTATATTACAGACATAATTTCTACACTTAGTGTTTTCCAGGCTTTGCTGTGTACATATGCTGCAGAGACATTTTAAAGTCATGTTCTATTGTGTGTGTGTGTGAGTGCGCGTGCGTGCGTGCGTGTGTGTGTGTGTGTGTGTGCGTGCGTGCGTGCGTGTGTGTGTGTGTGTGTACGTGCGTGTGTGTGTGTGTGTGTGTGTGTGTGTGTGTGTGTGTGTGTGACTGAACACAAGTGGTAAATCTGGCATTCATTCTAACTCTGTAAGTCCAGTGAGGTGAGTGGAGCTCCAACATTCTTCTATGTTGCTTTCCTCTCATTGAACATGTAAGTTTGCAGTAGGTCGGGCTATCGTTAGCAGTAGCTCAGGCTAGCATTAGTAGGAGCTTGAGCAAGCGCTAGCAATAGCTAAAGTTAGCATTGTACTGGGGTTAGCACTACCGCAAACCAACGTGTATACAGTATATTACTGGCTGGGATTGCTAATTTAACTCATTCTTTTTTCTTTTTTTCCCCGTGTCCTGTCTGGCTGTGAAGTAAAAAGAATTGATGTCTGAATGCTGGTGACAAGCCTTACAGAATTACTCTCAAGCGTCAAAGGTTCTGCTTTAATCTGCTTTAATGTCCCGCCTGATACTTAAAACTTTATTGTTATTGTTTTTGAATGCTTTATGATTCCGACCAGACAGGGAGACAGAGGTGAAAGAGAAAGGGGGGGGGGGGGGGGGGGGGGGGGGGGGGGTCCACAAAAATGAACAATCAATGATGAACAAGAGTCTGCTTCTAGACCTGCAGAAAAGGGACACATAGCAATACAACTAGAGCAAGCTATCACTGCGTCAACCTAATGAGAAAATATAAAATTAATATAGTTTTACTGAACAATCACGCGATAATAAATCACAGTGCATTTAGAGCCAAATCTGAGACCATGGTTCTCGACCGGGAAAGGGTGGCTTGCCAACTCCGGGTCAGGAGGGAGGTCCTACCTGAAGTGGAGTTTAAGTATCTCTGGGTCTTGTTCACGCGTGACGGTAGGAGGGATCGGGAGATCGACAGACGCTGAGCCGATCTGTCGTGGTGAAGAGGAAGCTGAGCCAGAAAGCCAGGCTCTTGATTTACCGGTCGATCTACGTCCCAATCCTCACCGATGGTCATGAGCTTGGGGTAATGACTGAAAGAACAAGATCGCAAATACAAGCGGCCGAAATGAGTTTCCGCCGTAGGGTGGCCGGGCTCAGCCTTAGAGATAGGGTGAGGTGCGCGGACATTCGGGAGGGACTCGGAGTAAAACCGCTGTTCCTCTGGATCGAAAGGAGTCAGTTGAGGCGGTTTGGGCATCTGGTCAGGATTCCTCCTGGACTCCTCCCTGGGAAGGTGTTTCGGGCATGTCCTGCCGGCAGGAGGCCCCCGGGTCAACCCATGACACGTTGGAGAGGTTACATCTCCAATCTGGTCCGGGAACACCTTGGGGTCCTGCTGGAGGAACTGGTGGAGATGGCTGGGGAGAGGACGGTCTGGAGCTCCCTATTTGGGATGCTGCCACCGGGACCCGGACTTGGATGAGCGGAGGAAGGCGACGACGATGATGACGACGACGCATTTAGAGCCAACCACAGCCTTAAGACGTGTTAAAAATGCCCATGTCCATACTTATGAGAGCACCATGTGAGCACCTGTGTGCATACACACGCTTGTATATGTAAGGTTTCTCTATAGGAGCATCCAATAGAGAGTGTGAGGGGCCACAGATCGGTCCCCCAAAGATGTGTAGGAGGGAGCTCCAAGCCCCAGAGATCCAGGAGCTGTCCCAGAGCACCCAGGGAGACGGTAACCAGGAAAGCCCCGGCCCCCCCTCTTGAGAGGCACAGAGGATTGCCCTGGGGGGCCACAACTAGCAGCCGGCAGAGTCCCGGAAAATACCAGCGGCAAGCTCACAGGCTCACCCGTAGCCTCTCACCCCCAAGCCGGCCGAGCCTGGAACCCAGCAACCCGGGACCCAAGGACGACCAGCCCCGCCGGGAACCCAACAGAGCCCAGGGACTCAGACCCCACCAGGCAGCCACTGGGATCAATCAGGCAGATGCCAAAAATCTTAAACCCCGTGACCCGGGAGCCACAAACACTCAGGAAGACCAAGGAACCACACTCCACACCAAATGTGGCAGGAGGAGGGTAAGCGAAGATGTATAGCACCACAAGAGGTCCCAGGACAGGGGAGAAGTCCAAGACCCCACCTGACATATACAGCCATACACAGACACAGTCACACATTCCCTCCATCATGCTCACACATACACATACAACCTAAGACTTACAAAATAAATGCTAGACACGCACTGACGCTCCCCATACACACCCTATTCACTCTGGTCCCGCTACTGCTGCACAAGGGGTACAACCGTCACCGGTTCCCAGAGTTTGCCCCTTTCTGCTGGGGTGATGATGAGCAGGCTCCCCCGCCCAACGCTGAGCAAAGCAACCCACCACCCCAGACCTCAACCAGATGGCCAGCTCCCACTCCTAGTCTCCAGCCCTGGGAAACCGAGCGACAACAGGCAACACAAGGTGTGCTAAGACCCCTAGTCCCCCTCCGCCTGCTCCAATACAGTGTTTGTGTCTGTTGATGAGGTGTATTCTATGGCTGTGGTGAGTGGGCAGTGCAGGCATCCTCTGGCCTATGCCAGCTGATGCAACCACACAACCCCACTTCCCCCCACCGCCCTCTGTGTCTAAGTGCAGTTTAAAATTGGAAGTGGGCACCGCCACTCGGGATGAGGCTGAAAGACCCCCTTGCCAAATGTCATTGAGTGTGCTCACTCCCATGGCCCTAAGTGTGTGTTTGCGTGGGATGTTGTTAGTGGAAGTGTTTAATGTGCAAATAAAATTTGAAATACATTTTAACTCATTCACTGCCAGCCGTTTCCTGATCAGAAAAACCATTTGTTGCCAGTGTTTTTCAGCGTTTTTATTGTTTTTTTAAGAGTCACAGAACGTTGTGCACTAGGATGATGTCAATGCCAAAACAAAGAGTAGACTCAGGAAGACTTACATCAGGAAGAATCCGCATGTTTTGAGCATTATCCATTTGTTCATAATCCGTTGTCGAATTGTGACCGGCAGAAGCTTTTCCGGTCCGCGCCTCACTTTTTTACAGTAGCGGCCCAAAACGATCTCCTAACACATGGATTTTCTGCTTCCTGATCACGTGACGTGTGACGTACGCAAATGAAGATCGGCTTTAGAGCTGGGATGTTGGTTCTCATGGTGCGGGGGCCCGTTCCGACGCCCACAGAGAAAAAAATTCTAATGACAACTTTAGTTGTCATTGGCAGTGAATGAGTTAAGGTGGTGCCTCTACAGCTTTTCCCAGAAGTTTCACCTTGGCCACTACAACAATAATTTACTAAGGAAAACAGGTCGGAGATGGCACAGAATCCTTGGTATTCTAGATAAAATAACCCAAAGTAGCTTGTACTTGCCAACAAGGTAAGAGTGGTTTTGAGCTCCAAGACACCTTTTAACAATGATGCATCAAGAACACTGGACAGATTCTTAAGGCCTGATAACTGAAGTAGCCCGCTCGGTATTACTGTCAGCAACCCTCCAACCCCCATCAGACATTACGTGTCCGTTAATCAAGCCGCATCCAGCAACACCCCACCCCAACAAGGAAAGACAATGGTAAGCTACTAGTATGCTCTGGTTGGTACTAAAATCCCAATCTGAATTATTGTCAGTCTGCCCCAGCCTTTCAATAACAGAAATGTGCACCTCTTGTTTGAAACAATAAAATTAAAAGGATCTGTGTGTGTGTGTGTGTGTGTGTGTGTGTGTGTGTGTGTGTGTGTGTGTGTGTGTGTGTGTGTGTGTGTGTGTGTGTGTGTGTGTGTGTGTGTCTCTCTCTCTCTCTCTCTCTCTCTCTCTCACACACACACACACACACACACACACACACACACACACACACACACACACACACACACACACACACACACACACACACACACACACACACACACACACACACACACACACATTGTCAACTATAATGACGACCTTACCTTTCGCTTCACAAATTTGTCCCAGTAATTACTTGGAAATGATCTGAAAAGATAAAGAAAACGTATCACAGGAACTCATTTATATTTGTGGATTGATTAACTAGAACCAGATTATACGGCAGGTCTCTCTCATATCAATGTATTCATTTGATTGTACTATTTGATCAGATATTTATAAGACATTAAATTGCAAAGCCATGAGCGTACGGTGTATTAATGACCAGTCTGTCCCATTGCCCTTTGATATCTTCCTCAGGAGGCTGCCGTGTCACATACAACCCATCAAATTCCAATCTCCGTGCCACCTCCTTCTCACGTTTGAAGATCACCAATGGTACCTTTCAATCAAACCCGCTGCAATTAATACATTATAACTATTCCGTTGGAAAAAACTGAACTAAAGACAATGCATTCAAGCATGCTCATAGTCATGGTAATGCACTGCTCTCTCAAAAAAACAAAAAATAAATAAATAAACTGACATAAACTGACTGTTGCATTTGTTGAAGTAATTAATCAAAGGTTTGTACCTTCAGGCAGTAGTAGCCAATAATGCAACAGAAGGAGATAATTGTATGAGCAACAGCAAGGAAATGGAGGCATGGTTCCATGTAGCCACTGTTTTCTTCCAGCACAAAATGAACTCTGTCTTCTTCTTTGTATGCAAATGAAATCACTTTTTCCTCTTCTTTGGATAAAGGCAAGGATGCAACCTGAAACAGTGAGCGATTAAAAGACAAATTGAATGTGTTAGACGTTTTCCGATTATATATTTTTTTGATCGTGTTGGTTTTCATGTTACATTTTGATCTAACTGGATATCAATAAGATGGAATCAGGTGGAATTTGGTGCAGACAAACATTCCAGGTCATTTTAACTGTACTGAACAGAAGAGGTTAAGCAGAATGAAAGTCTTCTGTAATCACTGCTTCATTCGGCATTACTCTGGTTGATTCCAACAAACGGCCATAATAAAACAAACAGGACTATTCCATATTTTTGAAGTCAAAAATACTCATATTTGTTCAGGTGTTGGGTAGCTAGAAAGAGGAAATTTATCAATGCAATGCAATGTCTAAACTGAAAACTCTTGTAGCATTCTATAAGAAGAAGGATGGTCTAACCTTAAAGAAGAGAAGAATGAAGTTGACCGCAAAGGCAACAAAGAGAGCCAGCAAACGCATGTTGTAAAAGTTCCTCGCAAAGTAGTTCTAGATGCAAGAAGGAGGACAAAAAGATTAGATGCATTTCATAGTACATTTTTATGCCTTTAATCATCACATCATTGTTGAGTATGTGCACTCATGTGTTGGAATGTTTCAGTGTCTAATACCAGAAGACTTTGGTTTTGTTGTGTGTTCCAAAAAGCAGACCGCTGACTCTGTGCCTGCTTTGGCTTGATAGGACATCTATTGGCTCTCCACCAAGCCTCTTCTGTCATATTCCCAGTTTTCCTTTCAGATTTCCTTTTTCTGCAAACAATCCAAGCACAAACAGGGGGGGGTCAAAAGGCTTAAGTATGAAGATCAGATGAAATCAGATGTTAAATTATTAACAGCTGAATTAGTGGTTTTATTAATGTGCCGCCATGTTTTTTTTGTCTCAGAGTTGGAAGGTTACAATGTTACAAACGTTTCAAAAATTGTTCTTAAAGCCGTAAAAGACTCACTCTGCATTTTCAGTTTCTGATGATTTGTGATCCTCTTTCTCCTCTGTGCACACTTGCTCCTTAAACTCCTGTCAGAGTAATAAAACACCTCTATAAATCAGCACAACATCAAAGAGGCCCAAGCAATCAATTCTAAGCAAACATCTCATTTATACCTCTTTATGGTGCTGCTCAGATGCATCTGTGCTGACAGATGTTTTGGAGGTTGTGTTGAACACATCAGTCAGACTGTCGGTGAGATCCTGCGTCACAAGTCTGTACTGATCTCCTTCTTTCTTCAGTTTCAGACCAAATATGTCTGCCAGTACATCCACCTCCCTCGGAAAGGTCACGGATGCTATCTTTCCAATGTCCCTCAGTTCTGTCTGGTAGGGTAAACCGGCGGAGCACCTTCTCATTTGATATCCTATAGGCACCTCCGTGACCTCATCAAGAGTAGGTTCAGGAATACCACCAAGCAAGTCCAAAATTCTCATACTTTTAGCTCCCTCCACAAGCCCACCATTAACAAAGGTTACATACAGCACATACATGATGCTGCGAATGACGAGGCAAATGAACCAAACCTGAAGCGTGCAAATGAGTCTGAGGAACAGTAAAAAAGTTGTGACAACATCCCTTAAAGTCATCTTCATCACGTTTTTCAGAGACAGAACACATGTTAGCAAAGTCCACCAGTTATAAATGAAACTCGTCCTCTTGTTGTCCATAGCTTCATCTCCACCCTTTCCCTTCTTCTCCATTTCTTTTCCAGGAGACCTCTCTCCGGCATTAGAGCCAGATATCTGGGCCGCAAGCTGCATCTCAAAGATGGTGTCTTCACAAAAATTAACAAACATCTCCATCTTTTCCTTTTCTCCGTCCTTATTGACCACATCGAAAATGAACTGCCTCTTGGACTCTTTGACCTGGGGTTTCTCCCACTGTGTGTGGCTGTATTCACTGATCTCAAAGTAGACACGCTCAAAGCGTTTCCCGCTGCCAAGGATCTCAATGCGTCCGAGACAGGGCTGAAAGTAGGTCAAGACACTGTCAGCCATCTTCATGAAGGTCTTCAGCCTCAAATCTTTGGGCATATGTTCAGACAGATTGGTGAGAAGCACGGTTATGCTGAAGCCGATGTCTTTTGCTGGTTCATGGAAGCGGTTCACGAAAGCCTCGTACTCTACGATTTCACTCTCATTTGTCTCCATGCAAGATGACAAGAAATTAATCTCATCATTGGAGAATCGTTTGGAGTTTTCCATGGCCTTCTGGAAGTCCTTCCTGCAGATGGTGCCTTTGCATTCATGGTCATACTCTCCAAAGCCTTCTGAGGAGGTGAGGTCTTTGAGTTTAAGGAACATGTTGAAAAACTTCAGAATCATCTCGACATTTCCTGATGATTCCACCAACATATCCACCATCTGCTTTCCAATTGTTCCATTAATTACATTACCTGCAAAAAATAAACAAATTATAACAAAACATAATTGAAGATAGACTGTAATGAAAGAAAAATCACATTCATCTGATTGTAAAAGTGATGCAAAAACAGAACCATTGATAAGTGAAATACCAATTATCACTGCTGGGAAGCGGCTCCAACAGAGTCCTGTTCATAAATGATGAATTTCTCTTGGGAAGTCAATAATTTTGTTTTATGATGGTTCATCACAGCATCACTTCTTCATTTTTTATTAAAAATCCTGTTGTCCCTTTGAAATTAATTTCTACAAGTAGATAGAAATTAGTGTGACTGAACTGTTTAAAAAAATTTGATTTGTGACTTAGTTTTAGTTCTCATTTGAAGGATAAAAATTCAATACAGTTGACTCAAACGTTGCTTTTTGTGACATTGTGTTTGTGGTCTTTTCATAAATCAAGAAAAAAAATCTGCTTTTTTCTGTGATTCACAATTATAGTGCAGTTCACAGGCCCGTTAAATCCAAGTAGCAGATGGAATGAATGCTATGAATTATAAATGAAAGTGAACTTGCATAAATATGGCGTTTGGAGGGAATCGTGTCCGAGTGAAGTCTCAAGTCTTTGAGGAGCAAGTCCAATTCAAGTTATGAGTCTCAGTAAGAATTAAGTGTGACCGGAGTCCATTCCTCATACTCAAGTCCCCACCTCTAGCATGCACCAGCACCAATGGTTGACCTAGCCAACCTTTATATTACACACAGTATACATGACTTAAAGATCAAGTTTGCTCATATTTTAATACCTTTGCAGTGGTCTCTAGTAGGGAACGAATAGCTTGTCTGTTTGATGATGTAGAAGTAAGCCAGAGTAGAAAGTGTCAGCAGACGGCAGGTTCGGAGACCTATTTCCTGATATTCAGACATCTCACTGATTGGCTAACAGCAACATGACTCTACCACTGATTGAATTTGCTTTGCAATGTTGATGTTCAATCTCCACAAATAACACAAGCCTGAAAGAGTGCTGCTGTGTGGTGGAGTTGCTAATGCTAAAGGTTAGCTTCTTTTAGATGAAAAGTTTTCTGCATCTTCCTGGACGCTAAACCAACAACAGCTTTCCCCGTTGTGAGTCAAGATGGGTGAGTCCATGAATGCTGACTCGGATCTGTCAGGCTATTCATTGTTCAGCTTGAGATATCGGAGATGTGGCGTGAGAGCGTGTGAAGAGGGTCAAATGCGTGTGTCTCACGGCCAATGAGTGAGAGTTGGCAGCCATGCTTTTTTGTCTATTTACTATCAGAAGCTAATGTAGGAAACATGGGTAGAAGAACTGTGTGTTAAACTCAAAGTGACTGATCATTTTCAAAAATAATAAATAAAAAGTTAATCAGTGAACCTTCAAAACAAAAGTGTTTATTTACCTTCTAACATGGAAAGCAGAAACACCACCATGTCTTTCTGTAAATCCATGAGCTCTTTGAGGAGTTTAATTTGCTTTGAATCCTGGATTTAAAAAATAACATAATTACAGATATATCTACAAAAGTGTAGGATTAGTTTCAACTCATTGGAAACTGTCAACTAAGCAGTTTTTTTCTGTAAAACTGTCGCCAAGACAAAATGAGAAGTGTTGAGCTGGAAGCTCCACAGTACATGTGCTATAGGGTAAAGTAACACATTTGAATTGCACAGGATCATTGTATCATACCTGAGAGAGCTTCATCTGCATGTGAGCAAAAACATGGAGGAATCCCACTACAGCATCCCAAAGACGACTGTGAGCCAGACCCTGCTGATTCCCAACGCACGGACCCTAGATGAACATGTCATAATGTAAGCAGCTATGCTGGTAATCTGAAGAGTAAAGCTGTAAAGAACTATGCAAAAACATTGTCACTTTAAAATGTTTATAATTTTGACATTTTACATTAATTCCTATTAATAGAAATAATAACTCTCTCTCTTATTCTCTCTATCACGCTCCCGCTCCAAAAACCCCAACTGCCGTGATGAACACTTTGGTCATTTTCATATTTAAGCTTCTAGATCATATTAAATATTCATGATTAGCTAAAAGCCTACTAATTATAACCATTTTAACACAATGACCCGTAATGAAGACTAACTGACCTGTATGTACTCAGTGAGGGTGTTGAAAGCCTGCTTGGCTACCGCGATGGCCTTGGAGAAGTTACGTTGACCCAGTGGATCAATCACATCCTTCCCTGAGTAGTACCAGTAGAAGTCACTGATTGACTCCTGTGTGGCACACGGAACAATTATGTAGATAAACATGTAGGTTTTAATATAATCCTATTCATACTTGCACTGAATCACAGTCTAATACAATTACTTTTTTATGTTTATGTATACCACCAAAACGTTTGTAGAAAAAATAAAAGTACAAAAGTCCAAAACATCTAGTATGCATTTGTTTCTGGATTATTGGAAGTATTGTTAAAGAAGACTTTTTTTTTCTTTAAAGAGGGACTGCACACCATCAGAAATTGTAAATCCATCAAGATTTGAAAAATGCTATGAAAGCGGGCATTGCCAGGAATTTCCATCCCAGGAGGGAGGGGGAGTAGAGGGAGACTGTACCGATGACGTGAGATTGTACCAGCCACAGTCAATCACAAGTTTAAAATGCAGTAGCTGCTGTTTCACCCACAGGGGGCAGCACTAAGACATTTTAGATTTAATCAAGTTTACACAAACATGTCAAAAAATGCACAGAAACCAAAAGATTGTATTTGTAAAGACCTAATTATACAGTTTTTAAGAAAAAAAACATTATTTTGGGGTTTAGTTACTCTTTAAGCTTCAAGCTTACCTGTACCCTTAGTAAGTAATCAACAGTTGATATAATTATGTTGACAGTTGTGTTGTTTCCAGTTTGTGTTCGTAAATAGTTCTGAAAATCTGTAACATAAACAAAGTTAGAAAAAATAGGTCGTTGTCAGTGACAATGTTCTTTACTGATAATAAAAACAGAAAAGCTGACTTCAACCAGAAGAAAACCAAAGCTGCTTCTCCCACATGTCTGACCATACACGGTCCTTGTGTTTTTCTTTATCACCCCATGCACTCACACACACACACACACACACACACACACACACACACACACACACACACACACACACACACACACACACACTCCTATAAATGGTGTGAAAGTGGTTTGGAGTTGAGATTAACAATGAAAACCTGAGTTGTGCCCTTCACAGAGCAGCTGCAGGAAGCGGAATAGGTCACATGTTAGGTCTTTGTCTGGCATCACCTCGTCTCCTTGGAAAATGATGAGCAGAGAAGGATAAGAAAGATAATAAGGAAGTGAAAGCATTTTAGAAATGCTACCAGAAAGGCAAAACGGGACAAATGAAAGGATTGTGAGAAGAACAAGGTAATAAAACAAAAATCAGGTGAGCAAGGAGTCAGGAGAGCTTGATGTGGGTAATATTGAAGGTGAATCAGGAAACTTTGAGCTGCTTTCTCTGCTGACATGAAAACTGTGATGGATTTTTCTTTTGTCTATAATGTCCATTTGAATACAATACCTGAGCTTTCATCCGTGGCCATGCCTAATCCCTCTGCTTTGTTCTGCCTCTCAAATGCGTTCAGATCCAGAACGCTGGATGTCAAAAAAATATATATATATCACACAAAAATGGTTAGGCAAGCCTTTTCACATTAAACATCTCTATCAAATAATCAATATATAAACCCCACCTCCTCTTTTAATACTCAACTCATTGCTGTTTTTATTTATGTTTTATTTCCTTCAGAGACTCACCTGCATGACTGCATGAGTCCAGCCAGGCTCTGAAAAAATCCAACGTCACGCTTTGTTCTTAGATAATCCAGCATTTTCTGTCAAGCACAAGCACAAGAGACAAATGATGTGAAGCAGATATCATTTGTGCAATTCTGCTGCAGCGGCATGTCAAGGTTGTGAGAAAAACAACATGTTGGTTGCAGGAACGTTACAGAATGTAATCATAAATAGTGAACTCTGTTCTGTAAACACAGTCAAGACAACGAAAATCATTATGACTACTTATACGATTATTGAAGATAACAGAACAGGCAGGAAACACCTGGTATTACCTGTTGAACTGTTGCATTTCCTCCATTAAGAACAGAAATGCCTAGCTTTAGAGTTGGAGCAACCATGGAGCCTATGGTGCCTAAAATCAGTCCAAAACAGATGTATTACAACATCAATAATAACTTACTATTCACATTTTAAAAAAAGAATTAGACCAGTTTTAGAAAACGGAATATAAAATAAACCACAACAACAAGAAAAAACACAGATCTCCATTGACCATACAACAGTCTATTAAAAAAAGGAACACTATTTCTATTAAAGACCGAATTTAATGATATTTTAATACTTTGCAGTCTCTAGTAGGAAATAGTGCCTTTAAAGCCATTCTCTGGGGCAAAAAGCTCAGATGCCCCTGTTGGAGGACGACAGATTTGGAGTCTTTTTCCTGATATTTGGACATCTCGCTTCTGATTGGCTAACAGCAACATGACTCTACCACTGATTCAGTTTGATTTACAACATGGATGTTTTATCTCCACTAATAACACAAGCCTGAAGGACTCTGCTGTGTGGTGGAGTTGCTAATGCTAACGGTTAGCTTCTACAAGCTGAGATGTTCTCTGCCGTTTCCTGGACGCTAAACCAACAACAGCCTTCCCCGTCACCAGTCAAGATGGGTGAGTCTATGAAGTGTCAAGTAGATCTGTCAGGCTTTTCTCAACTGAGCATTTTTTTTCTGTCCATTCTATCAGAAGCTAATGCAGGAGTAGGTGTAGGAGATTTTCACGTCCACCCTGAATGTTAAACTTAGAGTGGGTGATCATTTTCAAAGTGAAAAATGGTTTCTCTGTGAACCTGCTCTTTAAATTTTACATCAACAAACAGTGCATTTCTGTGCATTTTAACTCTACTAGAAGAACTTCTTCTAAATGGAATGCAGCCCTTACTAAGAGAAATGGGCGCACCTCATTCCCTCAAATCAAAAAGTGTGCTATGAGATCAGCATCTTTATTTGAGTTGCTACTATACTTTCCTACCTTTGCTGGCACTAATAGTTTGCAGGACCATCTCAGAAGCTCCACGACAATGCAGCCTGGCCTGCTGGTACAGCAGCTTCTGTTTCTCCATCTCCTTCTCCTAAACCACATTACACAGACGTACTCAAGTGGGTTTAAAAATGTTATCGAGTAAGTATTAAAAATCATCATCAAAGAATCTAAAACTACGAAATAACAAGTTCCTAAGGTTACAAACAGTCTTGAATACGAAACATTTATTTAGAGAATGAGAGTCAGTTTACTCACTTCGAAGCTCTCCACCTCCTGCTCGTCCTCATCATCGCCATCTCTGCTGCAGCTCTGGGCAACCAAACATTACAAAGAGAAGCAGCGACGTAAAACAGGGCCAAAAATTCATGAAGTCAAAAAGAAATAGATAAAATATTAGTTAGTGGTGGCTTTGGTAACTTACAGTATGGGACACGCACTGAGACATCAAAGCCAAACTAAAAGCCCATTAGAACCTGATGTAACATTTGAGTGTATCTGTGTCTATGCTTAGTTGAGCCCTCAAGTCTGAATGCATTAAAGGAAACAACACAGTATGGTTTGTGTCTCTGTAATGTAATTTATTACTGTAACTGCAGGACTTTAATTAAATATGTTGAGGGTCTAACCTCATGAGGAAATTACTATGCAGTGATTTTCTCCAAAATGACTGTGCTTAAATTGCTCTGAAAAGCAAATAATCACATCAGCGCCAAGAAACTTCATTTCCCATGATGCTTTGCACACGGAAGCATTGTGATGACGTCACCGCCTAATACCAGAAACACGATCTGCGGGAGGCGGGAGCTTGGATAGCTTTCCCGCGACTTCAAAGACTATAAATCATGAATGAGACAAAGAAACCTCGTTCTTTTGCCCAGGATACCTGGCGGTAAGGACACGCTTGTCGAACGCTCCGACAACTTGAGCATGCGGAAGCTCTAAGTGCCCAAGTTGAGCCCACGGTACTGCTGGAAACTACACTCCAACTCCATCGGGACCTGACTGGGAACGAGCGGAGCTCCATCCAGCTCTCAGAGACGCTGTAAGTTGTCAAACTCAGCACAAAAGAAACTTCGTTCTCTTTGTGTCCAGCCCGTGGAGAAACACTCCCGGAGAACGCCAAACAACGGAGAAAGCATCAAACCGACGGATGACGCTGAAAACTGCGGGGAAACACGGAGAACCGTCAAATCAAACAGCTGGGGACGCCTTGCTGCTCTGGTGATCAGAAAACTCATTTCTCTCTCTCCTTTTCTTCTCCCGTTTCCTCTATAGTCCAGAATAAGCAATAAAACCGCGCTATTGCTTAAAAGTAGCTTTGTGTCTTCCTCTTTCGCTCCCAATTCGTCCGTCGGGTCATTGTGAAAGAATAAACTGCTTATTGATCATTGTTTGGTATCTTTAAATGTTTTCTGCTTGGCCACGTGGTTAAACTAAAAGATATTATTCGTGATTAATCTTTTGTGTTGTTTCATGATCCTTTGAAATGTTTTGAGTGATTTAAGGTTAAGTTACTGATGATTCTAAGTGCCTTGGAAGTTAAAGTGCAAGTTGCCACCCACACTTTAGCCAGACAAAGGGGTCAGCCATCTTGTATTCAAGACTCCATTTTGAATCCATACACACGCACACACACACTACTCCTTTGCGAGAACAAAGGACCCCATTCATACATCCTCCATCACACGCAAACACATCCATCTTCGATCATATCACATGGTTATTATTCATTTATGCCACTGTCTATTCATTTGACAAATTGTTAATTAAACGTTATAAAATTCAGATTTTCGTCTCCAGTAGCTTTGTTGTGTCGAAGAGAAGTCTCTGCTCCAAGGATTCTACGAACTTCAAGAAAGACTGATAAGAGTTTTGGATTCAATTTTTCCCCGGTTAAAGGGGAATGGTGCCCCGTATATCTAAGAATATCTTAATTAATTAATAAATCAGTAAATATTTACATATTTACAGAATTTATTGAAGAATCCAAAAGTAAGTTGAAGCTTACTAATTGTTCGCTCCTAATAACCCCAACAAATATATGTACATCTGATGCCTTATGTGTCAAACCAAAGAGTGCTATGGCTACTAAAACTGTAACATATACATTTTGATTCTGTAAATGATGTGAAAATATTAAAAAGTTTAATTAGATCGTCTTTGGACAAGCTTACCTTAGCCATAACAGCAGCGTAGGACTGATAGAGTATGTAATCGTCATGCTTACTGGGGAAAAACACAACACACAGCATAAAATTTCAGGCTTTAAAAGATAAAAATGGTCAAAAACATAGCATGAAAAGATTTTTTTTATTTGGTTTTAATGTTCTGTGGGTTGAATCTGACCAGTAATAAAATCAGACTGCTGTTTGTATTGTATGTGATCTCTTCTGGCAAACACTCACCTGCTTTCGGTCAGGGCGCTTCGACTAAAGAGTCTAATGAGCTGTAGGAGTGGATCGATGGGCTTTGCACCTTCTCCCACATCCTTCACCTCCCCTTTGTTACCCCCACACAGCTTTATCACTCCACCTTTCTGCAGACCAAAGACAGAGGGCGAAACAATGTGAGTGCTGATTCAATAATATACAGGAGGCAGCAACATCGTTTTATGAGTAAATGCAGCTTAAAGACATCCATGTTAAACCAAACACTCCTTATCAAATAGCAACTGCATGAACATAAAAGCAAAAGTAGCATGTTGTTGTAAATATCATCCCTAAGACTATACCTGGATAGCAAAACAAGTAGCAACAAATAACAAATACGAGTCTATTTAGCATTCACATACATAGCCTCCTTTTACACTTACAGCTAAATCCTCCACAAGCACCTCCTCAAAGTTGTGATTTTCTGTGGAAATCCAGGACTTGCTGTAGCCTTGGAGGAACAGGTTGACAGCTCTGTGCCTGAAGGGGGGAGAAGAAATGCTGAAGAAATGTGAGGGCAGGAGGGCGGGTGTTGTGATGAAATCAGGGTCTTTTTACCGAGGTAGGTTGTAAAGGGGTGTCATTTTCAGACAGGCCACCACTGCCCGTTTCCTCTGTTTAGATAACACGGTGTGCCGTAGAGGGTGTTTACTTCTCTGTGGATGCTCTATCTACAAATCAGAAGACATTTGAGATCCACGTGAGCTTCCGGATTCCTAAAAACTTACAATATATAATGTATGGAAGCATATTGGTGTCAGTGCGAGGAAAAAATATGGGAGCAGTGTCTCGTTATAACAAGAACATTGCTTGTTACAATATGATATCTTTTTCCATGAGAAACTTTCTTGTGGTAACAACTAGGGATGCTCCGATCCGATCACGTGATCGAAAGTTGGGTCAGACCACACGATTTTCATAAAATTGGAATCGAGTGGAAATATCGGATTTAATCATATAAAACAAACATTACTATTTATATTCATCCTGAAAGATTTTCAAACGGAAAAACAATGGCTTGGTTTTAAATTCGACAAGTTCTTCTACATAAATACTCTTTGTTTCACAGACAATACACCATCACATGTAGGATTTAGCTAACACATAGCATAGTTGGTAGCTCAAGAGAGAGAAAATGTCTGTAATTTGGATGTATTGTTAAATGAATGTCAGAGCAGTGGCTGTGCAGTGGCGCAGTGGTTAGAGCTGTTGCCTTGCAGCAAGAAGGTCCTGGGTTCACTTCCCGGCCTGGGATCTTTCTGCATGGAGTTTGCATGTTCTCCCTGTGCATGCGTGGGTTCTCTCTGGGCACTCCGGCTTCCTCCCACAGTCCAAAAACATGACTGTTGGGTTGATTGGTCTGTCCAGATTGTCCTTAGGTGTGAGTGTGTGTGATTGTTTGTCCTGTGTGTGTCTCTGTGTTGCCCTGCGTTGGACTGGCTCTCTGTCCAGGGTGTACCCTGCCTGACTGATAGGCCCGCATGTCTAATGTAATATCAGGACAAATCTTTTATGCTTCTCATTTATTTATGGAAAAAATTTTAAGTGTGAAAAGAGGAAGTCAACTTTACTTGGACAGCTGTACCTCAGCTGTAAAGTTGAACTTGCATGGACAAGAATCCATGTGAAGGCTGTTTTCCCCATTGATTTTAAAGTGGAGGATGACTTGCCTGAAGTCTGGAGGAATATATTCCTCTTAGAGGCTCTCTCTGACTCCATCTCCTTCCTTAAGACGAGATTCAAACATCACACGGTGTTTTACCGTTATACGCTATGCCACCATTAATATTAAACATGTTTATTTCTAGAAATGATCTCACTGAAATTATGTGTTATTATGAGAAAAGTTCTCATTAAAAGGAGATTTAAATATAACAAGAAAGGTTCTCACTATACGAGACACTGCTCCTTCTTTTTCTCCTTCTTTGGGTTGAGCTTATTGATGAAGATTGTGATAATTTAATTAGCCACGAGCTTGCTTTAGAGTCTGTTTGCCTGAAAACCCATGTGGAGTTTTTCTGGAGTTACATAAAATCATTTACTGACTTTTGAACTTTGAGCCCAACAAAAGAACAGACAGGAGACGTCTGAGATCAAATCGGGCCTCCAGCTCTTGAAGACAATCAGGAGTGAAGCGAAACAGTGATCAGGCAGGTAAACAGAAAAACATCGCAACAAACGTCAGAGAAAGATAATTACCTCGGTGGAGCTGAATGATGAGGGAGACCGCTCAACAACACTTACCACTATCTTCAGTTCACTTCTCTTCTCTTCACTGAACAAACACAATTCTCTGTGCTCCGTCCAATCACGGAGCAGGACGGATGCACTCAATGTCACTGTATTTACAGAGGCCAAGGAGGTGCTCAGAGTCTTAATCATTTTTCTTTTTTATAGTCGTAAAGCCCACCTGATCCAGGTAATAAAGGACTCGAGCTATTTCTAGAATCCTGTCCACGGTCCTTTGTGTGTCGGCAAGAGCCCCAAGCTGTGTTTGACGCTGTGCATTAGCAATCTCCTGCTTGACGCTGCTTGATGCCTTCAAACAGAACAACAGAAATGCTGCATTAGTTTCTTTTGTTCCAAATGGAAGGCAACTGGATCACTATGGTTTATAGATTTCAAATTAGAAAAGAAAAGAAAAAAAAATTTACAAACACCAATAAACAGAGAAAAAAACAAGAACATTTTAAGTAAAATGAGCATTGTGATACAACATTTTATCTCTTGATTACAGATGTGAAAATGAGGCTTGCACACTGTGCTTGGGGTTTGTCACATATGTGTCTCTGGTGAACAATGAGACCTTGACAAATTAAATAAAACGACAGCTTTGGGTTTTACAGGCTGCGAGAGCATTTCCCAGTTTAATATACCAGACACTTGCTGCAGAAATTAAATGGTAAATGTACTCTGCTGTGCATAAATATGCAGAAGGGCCTCAAAGCGCAGAGAAAAGTTAGATTGAAAAATTCAAAACACACATTTTCAATGAGGATCTGAAATGATTCATACAGCTAATGTGTTTATATATGTCAGATCTAGTTTATCTTATCCCCCCCCCCCCCCCCGTCCTAATGGGTGTGACCCTGCAAGGAAAGTTGACCATTCTGCAGGGTTGATGGTTTATCCCTTGGGTCCACGTGGCAGTGAGCACCATCTCACCCCTGCCACGTGGACCTCAAGGGATAAACCATCAACCCTGCTCAATGGTCAACTTTCCTTGTGGGGTCACCCATTAGGACAGTGGGAGGGTTAAAGTACAAGGTCACTTGTTTTATTTCCATACATTTCCAGTTGTCTCTGGTATAAATCAATGCATTGTGAGCCAGTGTCTGTGGGAAAACAAGCTCTGGTGCTCCTGTTCAGGGAGTAGGCATGAGCAGGAGGTAAGGAAAGCAGAACATGGCAGGATTTGGAGTCTTATTTCCTGATATTTGGACATCTCGCATCTGATTGGCTAACAGTAACACAACTCTACCACTCACTCTGTTTGCTTTGCAACGTTGATGTTTTATTTCTACAGCTAAAACAAGCCTGAAGGGGTTGTGCCCTTTTGTTGTGGAGTTGCTAATGCTAACAGTTAGCTTCTGCTAGCTGGGATGCTCTGCTCTCTCCTGGATGTTAAACCAACAACAGCCTTCCCTGGTCGTGAGCCAACATGGGTGAGTCCATGAATGTTAATTTTCAATGTGACATAGATCTCTGTGGCTTTTTTTTTACCCGAGAAGAAGAAGGTTTTCACTTTTAGCTTGCATGTGCAACTCAGAGCGACCGATTGTACGAAAAAAACAAACAAGTAGAAAACATTTTTCTGTGAATTTGGTCGATGAAAATGTGATCTGAAGTTATTCTTGAATAATTTTCATAACAAACGTGTGATGAAGTGTATAGTACCTACATGACGCTTAAGGTCTATAAGGGAGCTGTAAATCTGCTCTCTAATCCCATCTTCTGTGTTTTTCTGTGAAGAGCAAAGAATTGTCAACAATGATCAGCCTTCTGGTGTCAAATGTGGCCATGCATTATTCAGCCCAGCCTTCCAAGAGAATCATAACTTAACAAAGGACGTTTTAAAGAGAGGGATCTTATATGTTTATGTTTCCTACCAACCTGGGAGAAGCCGTTTTTAGCCAACACGATAAGATTCTGGTCGCCGGGAAAACAAACCCTGAGTCCCAAAGGAACCAGTCTCTTCGTGGCAGCCACGATGAGAGAGGTGTGTGCAGAATAACGATCTCCCTTCCTCTTCATCTTCCTCCTTTCATGGTCAAACTGAATGTAAAGAAGCCATGAAGGTTTTGTCTTTTATGCTCAAACAGCAGATCAAAGTTGCACTCTTGGATACGAGTTCGTGCATTATAACCACCTCTAACATTTTGTCATCGGAGACCAAGAAGGCCAAGTTGTTGATTTCGTTTTGGACCACATAATTCTGCTCCTCCCATTTGAAACGCTGTTATGGGAAAATGAGAAGAGTGTGTATGATTCATGGAGATACTGTATACACTAGAAGCTTGAATAAGAAACAAAAATCTAAAAAAATAAGCATTGTGTGTCCTTACATGAGATCCGGCCCAGAATGTAAAGACCTCTGCCACCATGCTGAACAGCTGCTCTGCCTCGGGGACCGGCTCTTTCAGCCATCTGGCTCTGAAACATCACTGAATTTATTCAACCCGAATCCAACAACAAATAAAAACCTAAATGCCCAGCTGAAGCCCTTTTAAGTCTTTAAACCCTACCCAGTGGCTGCTGATCTGAGTCTCCATGGTTTTATTTTTTTTCTCAAAAGTACAAAGATAAAAACAACATTCATAATATGCTGTTAACTAAATGTTTCTCAAGGACTTCAGATGCCAACTAATTAGGACAAAGGGAATATAAAAAGTAGAAAAATAATTATTTTATTTTGAATTAACTGTGTAAAACCTTGAGGATCCTCCTTAAAGATTTGCTGTTTTAACCCAAAGTGCTTCTGTTGGAGTCTTACCGATTAAAATCAACAAACTGAATGAGGAGAGGATAGAAGGCGTAGAGGTCTTGGACCAGGACTTTGTGCTTCTCCTCTAACTGCAGCTCTGCTTCGGAGGTAAAGCTGCCTGCTTGTTTTAAACGCTCCTCCTCGAGCAGTACGTATTCTGTCCTCTTCCTCATCTTCTCCATCAGTGGCAGGAAGTGGCTCTTCAGCAGCTCAGTGTGGGCTTTGCACATGATCGGCTGGCAAAAAGCTAAAAAAAATATGTCAGCTGTTAATTTCAGGAGCTTCGAGCACAATAAAACCAGCACATCATTTATGATCAGAATACCTGCAAGCCGTTTCATCCAGTCACCCTGGCTAGCACCCGCATGGTTGTGGATGATGCGGAGGATGTGGCTTAGCAGGTCATTAGCATGGTGAGGAGTGACGGAGGTGATGACCGTGGCCTCTGGCTGGACCTCGGGGCCCCAACACCACCAGTGGGAAACATAGCTGCACAACATGGGCAAGGTGACCTCTGCAACATGGATGTAGTGGGCCAGGTGAGCTCCTGCACCAGCACCAGCCAGCTCCTCCACTTCCTCCAAAGCCTGCTCAAAGGAGGGCAGGAGGTGGCACGTGTCCTCCACCAGTTGTGGCAATCCCTGATCTAAAAAAGGTGACAGTTTACTGATGGTGCTGAAGATCAAAAGAGCAAACCCCTTACAGCATCAGCGCAGTACCTTTTAACTGGGCAGCAGTCATGGTGTTGTAGATGGACCAGGGATTGTTTTGGTTTAGAGTTGGCTCGAGGAAGCAGACAGGAAACGCCCCAGTCAGGGCTGCCAGACATGCTCCTGCTGCTGACCTCTGCCTGGATAAAGATTAGTTCATCCACTACCACTACTGAAGAATAAAAGATAAAAAAAATGGGTGACTGATAACAATACCCCTCCATGTGGATGCTGTTGCTGATTCCAAGAGCGTAAAGGCTGTTCAACATCTTGTAACAGGACACCTGCACGCCACCGACTGGAAGGAGATAATGACGCGTGAAGCTGAAATGCTCATTCTCAGAAACATGCTGAATATCTGGTAAATCAAGGAATGAATGATGTGTGGAGAGTCATGATGTTCCTGGGAGTGTCAAGCTCCTGCTGCTCAGTGGCCAGGACTTGCTGTTGAAGTATTTGAAACAGGTGGAATGTCCCTAAATCACTTCCAACATGCAGAAATCAGCTGCTCATCCAAGTTCTTGGTTTGCATGGAAAAGCATATGAGTCAACCAGAAACACATTGAGGCTACAGGTTTGCTATGACTGAGAGAACAGAACAACACAAAGTTAACACCTACCCAGAAGGTCAGGACCATCTTTCTGTTTACTGAGATGGTGGAAGAGGGATGTGAGCGTTGGAAGCAGAATGGAGGTTGTGTAGTCGAGAATCGTGACCACTCCTTTAGCCAACTGGCCTCGACTCTGAACCTCAGAAACCTTTTCCACAGTCATCTCCAAATCAGCTGCAGCTGCCTCAAAAAACGAATCCATAGAAGTCCGGACAGACAATCGGCCTGATGTCAACATCCTAGAACAAAGACATTTCTAGATATAGTGAGCTACGTGAACAAAAAAGATGCTGGTAAACCAAAATGTTAGAAGTTTAATCAAAAACACTTTGTGGGGCTTGTAATAAAACCAAGAAAACAAACTGAAACAGTTGCCAATCTATTCATCAGACAGATCATGATGGCATCGAGCTCAGCTGAGCCAAAATTGTTCAAGCGTCATGCTTCAGAGTCATTGTCTTCAGGGTGTCTCTACCACAATTAGATGGCATCAGTGCATCGGAGGCTCAGTTAAACCAGACATCTCATCCCTACATGGTGGGTGAAACACTAATAAAGCAGAAGACAGAGCAAGAAGATCGATTTAGGTGGTGTGACAGTAGTGCCATCTACCTGACATCAAGCGCCTGAGTCAGGACTTGGAGGCAGCTGGTAAATGCTGAGGCTTCGTTTCCTGAGAAAACATGAGTCTGAATCAGATCATGTACATGATGCAAAAAGGAAATAAAATGTGCATTGTGGAAGAAGCTCACACAAAATGAAAACATGGATGTCCAATCAAAAACAAACCAAGCATGTAATAAATTGACAGAAACAATCAAACAAAATGTCATGTGAATATACAATTTCAACACCGTCCTTACCAAACTGGGAGGTCCTGTGTCTTACCAAAGCCGCAAGCTTACAAAAGAGGCTAGACATAAACAAAGTAATGAGAGTTATAAAAAAAAATAGAGCAATCGATTCAATTAAAGGATGGAACATGTATTAAAGACCAAGTTCACTAGTTTTTATTTTTAATACATTAGCTGCGATCTCTAATAAAAACTAATGCCTTGTGAGTTCTCTGTGGGGAAAACAAGCTCCGGTGTGTGTGTGTGTGTGTGTGTGTGGGGGGGGGGGGGGGTGTTACATGTGCATCTAGGTCGATCCACAGCCATAAACTGGAGGCCTTTATCCTATGTTCACATGTACAGTGGGTACGGAGAGTATTCAGACCCCGCCAATTTTCACTTGTTGTTATATTGCAGCCATTTGCAAAAATGTATTAAATTAATTTTTTTTCCTCAATAATGTACACACAGCACCCCATAAGGACTGAAAAACATAGAATTTTAGACATTTCTGCAGATTTGTTAAAAAGTAAAACTGAAATATCACATGGTCCTAAGTATTCTGACCCTTTGCTCAGTAGTTAGTAGAAGCACCCTTTTGAGCTAATACAGCCATGAGTCTTCTTGGAGAAGATGCAACAATTTTCCTACACCTGGATTTGGAGATCCTATGTCATTCCTCCATGCAGATCCTCTCCAGTTCTGTCAGGTTGGATGGTGAACGGTGGTGAACAGCCATTTTTAGGTCTCTCCAGAGGTGCTCAGTTGGGTCATGGCTCTGGCTGGGCATTTCAAGAAGAGAGTTGCAATTAAGCCACTCCTTTGTTATTTTAGCTGTGTGCTTAGGGTCATTGTCATGTTGGAAGGTAAACCTTCAGCCCAAGTCTAAAGTCCTGAGCACTCTGGAGAAGGTTCTTGTCCAGGATATCCCTGTACTTGGCCGCATTCATCGTTCCCTTGTTTAAAACCAGTCGCCCTGTCCCTGCAGCTCAAAAACACCCCCACAGCATGATGCTGCCATTGCCATGCTTCACTGTGGGGCCTGTATTGGACAAGTGATGAGAAGTGCCTGGTTTTCTCCACACATACCGCTTAGAATTAGGGCCGAAAAGTTCTATCTTGGTCTCGTCAGACCAAAGAATCTTGTTTCTCACCATCTATAGGAAAGGCTTCTATGCTCTCAGGAACCTTAAGTGCAGCAGAGATTTTTTTTCTAACCATGGCCAGATCTGTGCCTTGCCACAATTCTGCCTCTGAGCTCTTCAGACAGTTCCTGAATGACTCTCATTTGCTCTGACATGCATTGTGAGCTGTAAGGTCTTATATAGACAGGTGTGGGGTTTTCATAATTAAGACCAATCAGTATAATCAAACACAGCTGGACTCAAACGAAGCTCTTGGACCAGCTCAAGGATGAACAGTAGAAATGGAAAGCACCTGAGGTAAATATATGAGTGCCACAGCAAAGGGTCTGAATACTTAAAACCATGTGATATTTCATTTCAGTTAGTCTTTTTGAATAAATCTGCAGAAATTTCTAAATCTTTTGTGTTTTTCTGTCCATATGGGGTGCTGTGTGTACATTTATGAGGAAAAAATTATTTTAGCAAATGGCTGCAAAATAACAAAGAGTGAAAACGGACTGGGATCTGAATATTTTCCATACCCACTGTGCGTCATGCACCATACCGTGTTGGTGTTCCTCCGTTTAGCTTAAAGCAACAGGATTTGCACAATGGCTGAAGTCATGAACAACAACAACGCTGCAGCACAACTTATTTGGTGCATAATGTACTGTTTGATGTTGTTACATGTATTACTTTGTGGCAATGGTGTTATCTAAGGACCACTTCCACGGTCTTGTCACTTCTGGAAGAAGCACATCCAACAGGTCACAGCTCGACTGTTTACACACAGGAAGACGGGTTCCTATCGCATTTACTAGTTCTTCAGCTCCATTAGAACCAGTTCACCTTCAGCCAGACTAACGTGTTTGTGTCAGTCGATTTAAGGCAAAAGGTTCGTTTTCTAAACACACTTAATGATGTTTTATCCCAACAAATAACACAAATATGAAGGAGTTCTGCTTCTGCCATGTTGTGAAGGTGCTAACGCTAACATTTAGCTTCTACTAGTAGGGATGTACTCTGCTCTCTCCTGGCTATAAAAATGAACACAGTGAGTCAAGATGGGTGAGCCTATGAATGCTAATTTTCAGTGGGACATAGAACTTTCAGGCTTTTACTGTACCGAGCGTTTCACTGTTTATTTTCTATCAGAAGTTAAACCAGGAGAAAAGTGCATGAGACCATTTTCACCATCAGCCTGCATGCGAAACTCAGTGACCGATTATATTTTTAGAATAAGTTTCTCAGTGAACTTGCTCTTTAAACGCAAAGTATGCCAGAAGGCTTTTTCTGTAACCCCTAATATTAAGAGGTTTACTTACCAAACAATCATCTCCTTTTCCTTTTTTGACACTTGGCTTCTACTATCACTTGAGCCAAGAGACGAGGACAAGAAGTACAAACGATGGCTTTTGACGTATTGCTCCAAAAGAGGAAGGGCAGCCTGAAGAGTCATGGAATAGAACCAGCGGTTACTTTGTAATTCAACTGAGCAGCTTCACGTGTGAATAATTGTGCTTGTTTGTCCCACTGCTGTATTAAGTACACTTGCTGTTGTAGTTTAAGAGATCATTAAATAAACCTCCATAGCACTCATGCACCCGATTCAGCCTCAGAGAGTAAATATGCACAGATCATGACAAGATTTTTCTTTTTTTCTCAAACAATTTCTCAAGAACTGAGCAGCAACTGCTGCCTGTTTAACAAGATTCCAATGTTACACCCAACAAATATGAAGCACCGGATAAATAAACAGACAGACTGAGTATTAAACTCGCTTTGCCTGCATGGAAAATGTGGTTGAGTGGGAGGTGTGGGGTGTTGAGATGAGAGACATGACTGTTCACAGTCTTGCCTGACTGGGTCTGACTCAGGGGGTCCATCAATGAAAAATAAACCCATTTCTTTGCTGCCTCCTTGGAGAAAGGGCAGTGTGGGAGGCTTTAATCTATGTCTTGATGGCAATCGAAACACCCACATGGATTTCCGAAACGGTTAAATAAATTACACAGCCACAAAGGATTGGGCTTATGGGGGTTGCCCGTGGCAACCATCTAACTAATTAGATGTCATAAATGACACGAGGAAAAAAATGGATATTAGGAAGAAACAAAAGGCCATTGGAAAAAATTAAATTGGAAGTGGGCTGAATCAGTGCCAGAGATTTCTTATCACATAAAAGACTGATTGGGTTTTGATGTGAATTTGAGATGAGGCAAACCTTCTGGAGAAGAATGATTGGTTCCTGTTCTGGAGGTCTGGTTCCTTTAGATGTCTGTCCTCTGGCTTGAATCACCTCTGGAAACAAACAGGACAAATAAATTCGAACAAATCAGACTAAAAGTATGTACCACACGTGAAGCAAACATGAAACTGTAGTAGGTCGTAGGGTTAGGGTTGCAAGCTCCCCATGAACTCAAGAGTCTGTTTCTGAGTATTCAATTAATGATTCAGGGATCACATACAAGTCTTTACATTTGTAGCTTAACCCTCTCAGGCTCCAAATAGTTTTGACAAAAGGACGAACAATTAAATCCTTCAGGGGTATTCTGAGTTTAAAAATGCTCATGAAATACATATGTGGAGTAACCGGGTAGTTAAGTTTTAACTGTTGCAAATCTGCAATGCCTGCCTCCAGAGGGTTAACTTTTCTAATCTGTTTCATACTTATACTGTTACCAAGCTTCAGCATGTTTTCTTGGGCCTCCTCAGTGTGACACAACATTCGCTGAAGGAAAACGTATCCAAAGCAGTTGGCCATGGCTGGGAAGTCCACTTCAACTGCTTTCCGATCCCTGCAGTGGACGTGCAATTAAACTGTGTTACAAGTAAGCTGATGTGTTTAATGTGTCTTAAACTGGATTAAATGTTTTATTGTAAAAAAAAAAGTCTAACAACAGTTTTATTGCAGTGTTGCACTGGGAGAATGAAGAAACCATGCACTGATCTGATGTCAGGGCAGTGATTTGCTAGAGTTGTGTCCTGTGCAAGAGGGAGTTAGGAAGAGGAAGAGAGAGATGGGAGTCTGATAGCTAATAAGGCATCTGCTAAATGAGAAAAGTGTACCTCATGGCTTTAAAGGGTGAATATGGAACAAATGAATAAAAAGCTGTATTTTTTTAAAACATGATACCTCCACTGGGCATTTAGATGTGTGCAGAATGAAGGTGCAGTATTTCCTTTAAAGGATATATTTTAATTAAGAAATAGTCAAATATTTATTTTGACAGGCAAGACATTGGGTTCATGTGTACATCTACCAGCCAATGGGGGCGCCATTGTGGGATGCCAAATATGGTAAACAGTCCACTCTGCACACTGAGTTTGGCACTTTGGAAAATGGCGGACTCTGCAACTCAAGCAGCTGTTTTTGATCCCAGAAAATGTTCTAACATTAGATATTGTTGTAAAATAAACATATTAGTAGAAGTTAGTCGTTAACCTGTACGAGCCGTCACTAGACATGGTGCTGGCTAGTTGGTAGCGAACCTGGCATCCCAACGGCTAGAAACCTTGTTCTACTGTTGCAACTACCAGATGTTGCTGTGGTGTTTGTGTTCCATGTTTAACCTTTAACATCAGTCTTAAAGCTACAGTGGCAAATTCTGCAAAACAGACTAGCTTGAAACATTTTTGTTGATGCCTCTTAACACTGTTCCAACATAGCAATCGAAAATCCATTCTTGTTGGGAACCAGTTCCCTTTGTTTCAATTCCTTGAAATTGTATGCTTTTTTTGCTAACAATTCCCATATCAATTCCAGTTGTTGCGAATGATGTCACCACGTTACGTAGCTTGCGTAGCTTATGCAAGCTACGCTGCATAGCTTACACATTTACTCAGCAGGAAACATGGTGCCTAAAAGGCACAAACGCTTGATAGTTTAGTTATACTTTATGAGAAAGGATGACGAGAAGGCAACTTGCAATACTTGTAAAGTAGATATTTCATTAAAGGGTGGAAACATATTGGATTCGCAAAAGCATTTGCACACAAAATGACCAAAAACAGCGACTGGAATTCATCGCATTCTCGTTTATTCTGGCAACGCGGGTTCCGGTATCACCCGGACATGGCATAGGAATGATTGCCAATGGGAGGGGGGAGAGTTCTGTGACCATGTTTGTGTTTAAAAGCTAGCTTGTTTTGCAGATTTCCCACTGCAGCTTTAAACTTACCTCCATACAGTGTAACCATTAAGGAGCAGAAACTTGAGGACATCCTGGGCTTTTTCTCTAAACTTGGCCTTCTCTTTGGAAGTCAGGGCATTATAAGGTACAAGAACCAGCTGGTGTCCTTCTCCTGACAATAGAAGTGTTTTAAACAAAAGCGAATCGATGAAAGCACCTTTGTAATTCCTGAAATTAAGGAGATTAGGAGGAGTTAGACCCATCACGTTACCTTTACTTTCATGTTCTAGCTTCTTAGTTTGAGCACTAATGTTGTGGTAGTTCTCAGCCAAGTGTTCAGCCATATCCTAAAAACAAAAATATAAAATATTATTTTTTTACAGTCTAAATGGATACAAGTCTGACCTAAAACTACAGAAGCACCAAATTACATTTGGGGGTAAATGATAATATTCAGACTTACACACTGGTCCCATGATAACGTGATGCTGCTCATGTCAAAAGGTTTGGGGCTAAAAGTTGATGCTCCTTCAAACGACAGCTAAAACAGATAAAACATCTGGATCCTTAAAGTCTGATTTTTGGTTATGTGAGTTAACACGGGCAGTGAGTGGACGCACCTGACCAGACTGAGAGACCCTACGAGCACAGGTGTGTAAACCAAACACATCTCCTTCTTTGGTCTGCTCTATGGTCCAGCCAAAGGCCAACATACTCCTGATTGTCTCTTTGATGGCCCAGCGATAAGCCTCCTTCTCCTGTTTGAACCACAACATAGTGGTAACAAAGACAGTACCAAAAAAACAGCAAAAGTACAGAACACACTAATTGTTTTGATATTCAAATACGTTTTAGAACCAGCTGTGTTGCCCACTTGACATGTTTTTTAATGGAGTTACAAAATGAGTTTTATAATTCGAAAACCATGAAGCACATCGTTTTAAAATTTTAAACACACCACATTTGGTATGCAATTTCCTTATGGATATGTCAGTTCACCACTTTCATTACCTGAGCTCATTTCTGTACACACACACACACACACACACACACACACACACACACACACACACACACACACACACACACACACACACACACACACACACACACACACACACACACACACACACACACACACACACACACACACACACACACACACACACACACACACACACACACACACACACACACACACACACACACACACACACACTAAATGCTAAACTCAGTTACCTTCTCAGCCAGAGCTCTGTATGGCTTCAGGAGCGGGTGAACCTTGGTGTTCTCACATAGCTGTTCCCCATGAACCCAGCCATTGGCAAACTGTCAGGGTTAAAACACACACGGGTTCACCTCAAACCCTCCATAGCACAGATCAATGTGACACGGAAACAGTAAAAGGTTTTTTAAACTCAATTTATTTTTAACAAGCTGTTCACAAGACTTCACAGATATTACCTTGTCAAGAGACCACTTCTCATGAGTGTGCTCTGCATACTTGTTCACCACAAATTCAAGTCTCTCAGGCAGGGAAACACTAAAAATGAATTAGAAATATTGAAAGAATTAGCACTATTTAACAGTTGTATGTTTACAGTTGTAGGGTTGCACGAAATTAGGAAAACCTGCGATGCGCGATAACAGTGTTTAACATTGCGGTGACGATACGCCTTGCAATAAATAAACAAATACTCAACTCAAGAAGATAAAAATCAAAAACAAAAAAAAATTTAAACATTTTTAAATGACTAAAAAATACCATAAAAAATGGGAAAAGCAAAAGTTGTGATCAAAAGATGTGTGGAAAGGGGAAATAAATGAATCTGAAAGGGCAATCAGGGCATCCTGGGAAAAGCAAAATCGGCAGAAAGAGCTGAACGAGGCTAACTCAGGTGTTTGCTAGCCATCCAAATTAAGTGCCATCCACCTTGGGGGTGGGCATCTATGTTTATGTTTATTTATTTGGCAGACGATTTTATCCAAAGCCACGTACAATTTTTAACCTATAGGGCATGTTGTGATCTGTGGGGGAAACCCACGCATGCATGGGGAGACCATGCAACTCCACACAGAAAAGTTGCTTCTAGCTTATAAGAACCCACCCGATTGGCTAAATGGGTGAAGGACTCTATCTGATTAGTCAAAAACATCATGCTTATGTTTGATTGACTAAATGCATTAAGTGTAGCAAACATTTGAGTTGACCATTCATTGCATTTTTATCTGTTCTTGCGATATGCGTACTGTGCACACTGATATCGTGATGACGATACATTTGCGATGTGTTGTGCAGCCCTAGTAGACAGCAGTTTGATGTTTTATGTCTTACTTGGATGTATCTACAGGTTGGGGGTCAAAGTTCCCCTCTGTGTCCACCAAGGTTTTTCTCTCCGTTTGAGATAAACAGGCTCGCTCCACGTAGTTGGGAGGCAAAGCTTTGACCACTTCAACAAGGCATTGCACACACAATCTGAACAGCTGAGGATTGTGGGGCTTCAGGATTCGAGAAGAAAAGAGGGGAAAATGAACAAGACAGGAAGTAAAATTATTAGAACAACATTCTCTTCACAAGTCTCTGTTAAGGTTATGTGAAACCGAAAAAAGATGGCTCATTTTACAGAAAGCAACTACATATAATCAGGAGATGAATTTAAAGCATTTTAGACTTTATACTATTTTGTCTTTGGTAACCTAGTTGCACAAAAATAAACATGTCTAAGAACTCATCAGATTTCTTCCATCCATTAACTCTTTGATCCCAGTCTGGGATCACATGGCAGACCTGGCACGTTCATGCTAAACACAATCAAGCAGAAATGTTTCCACTAGATCAAATATACATATTTTTCTCCTGAGTTGCGTTTATCAATCTGAGTCACTTTAGTTTTTCGAAGAAACAAATTCCTTTAAATCATATTTAATAACGTGTTCAGGTCAACAAGTCTTACACAAATACCTTCCTTGATTGAAAATGTCAAACACATCAAAAGGGCGACCTTTGGTCACAAATCATTTCTCTCTCTCAATTAAACCGGTTTATAAATTCCTTACCTTATATTAATTTTGTTGTTTCTTGCCTTTTCTTAGGAAATTTACAGAAGAGTGACCAAGTCACTGCTTTGCAAGTCACAAGTAAGTCACAAGTCTTTCCAGTCAAGCCTCAATTCCAGTCCAAGTCAAAGACAGCAAAGTCCAAGTCAAGTCCAAAGTCAATGATTTGGAAGTCCAAGTCAAGTCAAGTCTTTAACTTTGAATTTTCAAGTCATAATCAAGTCATCTGTGAAACTTCAATTTAATGAAAATATAAAGAAAGTGCTGCTGCAGTTAGCAGTACAAGCTCAAACCCAGAACGAAGAATAATTTATGATTTTTGTCCATGTCGTGTCACTTTTGTGCTAAAATATTGAATATGCTCAAGTCATCATCAAGTCAACAGATGCAAGTCAATTCAAGTCGCAAGTAATTGTCGTTCAAGTCCGAGTCAAGTCGTAAGTCTTTATAGGTTTTGTCAAGTCCGAAGTCATTAAATAATGACTCCACACCTCTGGATATTATTGAACAAAATGACTCTAAAATCACCTCAACCATATACATTCAGATGATTCACCTTTACAATGGGAGAATAAAACAGAGCAGCTGCATTGGTGAGACAAATTTCTGTCATAGAAATATTTTTTTTCTTAAAATGAACCAATATATTTATTTTGTTTATTGATTATGATTTATTTAAGTGTCCCATAACTCAAGATTTAGTAGATTTGACATAAGGATGTAAATTATTAATAATTACTCTCCATTGTGTTCCTTTTTCTTCATGTTTTCCTAAAACATCATTAAAAAAAACTATTTGAATGGCTTTTTGCTCTTCTGCCTAAAATAAGACGTTACAATAAGAAAAGTAAAGTAATTAATAAAGGGAGAACTTTCAAAAGTTTTAACAGGTTTTTTAAACATTTTTTTTCTCAATATAAATTATTCAAATAAACTAAAAAATTTAGACAGCCCTTCACTTTATGTTACCTTCTTTGTCAAGGCCTTAAACACACCCCAGAATAACTTTCTGGGAAGGTGGATTTCTTCTTCAGAGGCAGAAGCCTGGTCGTTCTGCCTGCCCGAGCCGGAGTAATACTTCCACCTCTGCTCATAATGACTGGTCAAGAGCTGGATGACATTAAAAGAAATAAAGAAAATTGGGCTACAAATATATTTTTCACAATGATTGTGTACATTTTGAATTTATTTATAACCTTTAGTGGCATTTTGCTTTGATCTGTGAGGTGGAGGACGTCAAGGATGAGCCGTCCAATGAGAGGCTGCATCGTAGATGGCTGGAGTTTACTGAAGACACCACAGGAGGAAGAATCAGCCCAAAAAAATGCTCCATGAACATTATAACCGCACGCACGCACGCACACGCACGCACACACACACACACACACACACACACACACACGCACGCACGCACGCACGCACACACACACACGCACACACACACACACACACACACACACACACACACACACACACACGCAGGCTCAAGAACTAAGTCTTGACTGATTACCCTTGTCTCAGAAGAGTGCCACATATAATTCAAATGAGCAAAAATTTTATTAATATAACATGTTGATTACATTTAGTAAATTACAGCTGAAATGTGAAAAACTGGCTTCACATTGATTAATTAAATGTAATGAAAGGTTTTATGGGTGGGTGGTTGAGAAATGAAGGAAAGGGAAAGACTAAACGAATGTGATAAATGTATTTTAAAAACCGTAGAAGTACTTTAAAGCCCCAGCGTGCAAAAATATTCAACTCCTTAGTGCCACGCAGGTCAGAGTGGAGATTGCAGCTACAGTAGCCTACACTCATCAAAAAGGCAATGTGAAAACACCACACACCAACTTTCAACCATCTGCAAGTTTGATTTACTGTTTCTGTTGCTTCCTACACTCAGTGTCTCTCAGGGATTAGAGAGCCCTCTGATCGTGTCTTGTGAATATACAGTGGGTCTGTAAAGTATTCAGACCCCTGTCAATGTTTCACTCTTTGTTATATTGCAGCCATTTGCTAAAATCAATGAATTCATTTGTTTCAGTTAAATTCAAGTTTATTTATATAGCGCCAAATCACGACAAGAGCCGTCTCAAGGCACTTCACATAGTAAACATTCCAATACAGGTCAGTTCATTAAGCCAATCAGATAAAAGTTCCCTATATAAGGAGCCCAGCAAATTGCATCAAGTCACTGACTAGTGTAAGTGACTTTACAGCAATCCTCATACTAAGCAAGCATTTAGCATTAATCTAAACACAGCACCCCATATTGACAGAATAACACAGAATTTTAGAAATAGACAAACTGAAATATATTATGGTCTGAAGAATTCAGACCCTTTGCTGTGACACTCACGTATTTAACTCAGGGATTTTCCATTTCTTCTGATCATCCTTGAGATGGTCCTACACCTCCAGCTGTGTTTGAATATTTTGATTGGACTTGATTAGGAAAGCCACACACCTGTCTCTACATGACCTTACAGCTCACAATGCATGTCAGAGCAAATGAGAATCATGAGGTCAAAAGAACTACCTGAAGAGCTCAAAGGCAGAATGGTGGCAAGGAACAGATCTGGACAAGGTTACAAAAAATCTCTGCTGCACTTAAAATTCCTAAGAGCAGGTTCAGGAGAAGGCAGAAAGTTGTTGAAAGTCAACCATCACTGCAGCCCTCCACCGGTCAGGACTTTATGGCAGAGTGGCCCATCAGAAGCCTCTCCTCAGTGCAAGACACATGAACCCCCACGTGAAGTTTGATGAAAGACACCTGAAGGACCCAAGATGGTGAGAATTACGATTCTCTGGTCTGATGAGACCAAAATATAAATGTTTGGCCTTAATTCTAAGCAGTATGTGTGGTGAAAACCAGGCACTGCTCATCACTTGTCCAATACAGTCCCCACAGTGAAGCATGGCAGTGGCAGCATCATGCTGTGGGGGTGTTCAGGGCAACTCTATTACTGCTCTTGAATGACCCAGTCAGAGCCCTGACTTAAACCCAACTGAGCATATCTGGAGAAACCTAAAAATGGCTGTCCACCAACGTTCATCGTCCAACCTGACAGAACTAGAGAGGATCTGCAAGGAGGAATGGCAGAGGATCCCCAAATCCAGGTGTAGGAAACTTGTTGCATCTTCACCAAGAAGACTCATGGCTGTATTAGCTCAAAAGGGTGCTTCTACTAAACACTGAGCAAAGGGTCAGAATACTTAGGACCATGTGGTATTTCAGTTTTACTTTTTAATAAATCTGGAGAAATTTCAAAAATTCTGTTTTTTTGTCCATATGGGGTGCTGTGTGTACATTAATCAAATCAAATCAAATATACTTTATTAATCCCAGAGGGAAATTAGAGTTTCAGTACACACAATTCAGAGATCAGACCAACATGGGCAAGACACATGACAAGAATTGGTGACTGTGGTCATTCACAACCATGAGTCGCGCTACCTTAATAGAGATAAGAGGGTTACATGAGGGTTGTTTCAGGTGGAGGGGAAAAAAAAGGCACTTCAGAGTTACTCTCCACCGGGAGGGCAGCTTTGCTCTGCAAAAAAACACCTCAGACAGATATGCAACAGGCTTCAGACATCACAACATAAGTGTCCACTAGGAGGGGTGATGGGTTGGGACTATCCCCACTTCAGTTCCTGCAGCCACAATAGAAGCAGTGCATGTCACCTCAGTGTGGATAGGGGGAGGAGCATTGAGGGTTGGAGGGTTGCAGTGACCCTGGAACGTTTCAGCGGCCTTCCCGCAGTCCCGCCCAGGCTGGGAAAGGAGACAGAGTTGGGTTGCCATAGCGACGGCACATTCCACATATCTTCTGAGGGGGGAGTTTTCGTTGGAGGCTTGCAGGCTCAAGGACGCCAGATTTCGACTTTGAAATTGAAATTGTTTTGGGGCCAGACAGAGATAATTTCCTCTCTGTCTCACAGTTTGTTGGTCCTCAGCCTCTCAAAATCCCAATAATGGACATTAATCTATCCCAATCCGTGCTGATTCGTCCACTCTCTCCTTGATGGCATCCATCTTTTGTGCCAACGCATGAATCTCAGCCAAAGTTCCAAGCTTAAGATTCATTTCGACAATTATGTGAGTCTATGAATTCACAGCACGGTGCAAACCATCTCTGAGCTCCGGGATCCGGCCAATATTCCTCGACAGCTCGTTAATTTTCCGGTAAGCCAGGTAGCTTCCAATGCCGATCAGCAGGAAACCTGACACCAACACCACGATTATCCCCACGTCTTCAGAGTCCTCCACAGACAGCTGAGATAAACAAATCAAGTTCCACTGTTTCCAGGAGTCCATGATGTGTCCAACTGGGTCTGTCGCGGAGGGGCATCCGGAAGCCCCTTCTCCCATTCTCATCGTTGAAAAAATTTTATCAATCGCGTTGAGTGACCAACTGACAAGATCCATTTTAGTGAATTTCAGTTTCCAGTTTCCAGGAAAATGCAGAAGCAGCCGTGCACCCAGCACACAGAAACAGACAAAGGGCCTTGAGGATAAGATATGGAGGAGAGGAGGAAAAAAGCGTCTGCACCCTCCAAGAGCCGGAAGAAGATATAATTAATTAAATGGATTTTAGCAAATGGCTGCAATACGTATAACAAAGAGTGAAAAACTGACTGGGGGTCTTAATAAATTCCAGACCCACCGTATAAAATTTCAAGCTAATAGGAATATTTAGAATAGACTTTGGTGAGAATTATTAATGAAAAAGGACAACTTTGTGAATGTGATACACAGAGTTTGATTATAAACAAGTAAAAATATTACACATTGTGGCTTTAAGAAAAAAAATGAATTTGCTCTGCTGTGTATTTTGTAACTTGATGCCATGCAAACAGATTTGCTGTCAATCCAGTGAGGAGAGTACCTGCACAAAGAGAGTAAACAGTCCTCTGTAGTGGCTCTCTGCACGCTGGTCAAGCTGAGAGCTCTTGAGAGCTGGTAGATTGCCTGGATAAGAGAATCAACCAGGGAAACATGGTCCTCTAAACTGTGGAAGAGAGCTGAACATTTTGTGAGCAGGGGAAGAACAGCAGCACATAAGTATCTATTGAGGGCCAGGGCCATATCAGTGGATCCTAGGTCAGCCTGCAATTAAAGAAAAAAGAATAACTTAGCTGATACCGATGGAAAACTTCAACTTAAGATACGAATGAATGAAAGCAGCAGGAAGAAATTAAAACCATGAAAAATAAACTTGTATTTCTTTCTTTAATTCAATGTAACCCTCCTACTGTCCTCATGGGTGACCCTGCGAGGAAAGTTGACCATTGAGCAGGGTTGATGGTTTATGTTTATTATTTAGTGAGCACCACCTCACCCCGCCACATGGACCTCAAGGGATAAACTATATGTATGTGTATATATATATATATATATATATATATATATATATATATATATATATATATCGGGTTTATCTCAGCTATTTGCTAAACTACTCTAGTTGACGACAAAATGTCACTGTCTGGCGTTTTAGTTCAGCACAAATATCCCAATAATAAGAAATCTCGCAATTGTAATACAGCTGCTTAAAGCTTCTGGTGCGCACCGTGCACAAATCTAATAAAATGCTCAGAAGAAGTGGTCCTGCGGGCAGCTGCTGCAGAGACTAGAGATTAGGGGTGAGCGAGTAGACTCCTATCGGTATCTGTAGCTGTACTCTGAGTGGGCGTGACCTGGCCCGGAAGTGGATGTAGTTTAACCGGAAGTGGGTGTGGTTTACATCAATACATTATTTGAAGTATGAAATTGATATGGAATGATCAGAAGTTGATATGTGTATTGTTTATTTGAAAACTATTTACAGAGCAGCCTCAGAATTTAGATTAAATATTTTGATCATAATAGTAAAGGAACTGTTACAGAACAAATGTTTCAATAAAATCAGAACATTAATATTTAAGTGCATGGATTAATACATCTGAACTCACGCTGTAGGAACTAGTAAATATGAAATGCTAGAACCAGATACAACTTTAATTATTATTTTTATCATTTGATGAAACTGATTTTTTTCTAACGTTCTTGGCATTTTTCCTACACAAAGTTAAACAAAACAATGTTGTGTGTGTGTGTGTGTGTGTGAGAGAGAGAGAGAGAGAGAGAGAGAGAGAGAGAACCCAGAGTGGAGCGGAGGCAGTGACCGATGCAGCACGAGCCGTTTTAAGCTCCGTCTTGTCAAATGCACCACGTACGTTATGAAAAAAGTAACTTTAAATATTAAACCGAAAAAGAGGCGAGCTGAAGCAAACCTAGGGAGTACTGAAGAAACGTGAGCAAGAGTGAAGCAAGCACAGAGAGATCCATTACTGTCTGTCTGTGTGCGTGGATGGGCCGGACTGAGCTCCGGCTGCAGAGTTTTGTGTGTAGGGAGGGGAGGGCGCTCTATGTGATTGGCCAATCACAGAGCGTGAAGACAGTCAGTTACTCAATGAGAATTTTCCTTCAGCACGATTACAGATATTTACGAGTTTTACTCGTTTCATGCTCGTATTCATCAAAAATGCTTTATCTGTACCGGATACTCGGCTCATCCCGACTAGAGATGATCTCTGATGGACTACTGAAAAAATAAAAAATGTCTGTCGCTGAATCAAATCAAATTCAGGAGGTTTATTTTATTTTGGCAAGATCAGAGAAGAGGTCATATTGTCCAACGATTTAAACTTTTTCGTGGGAAAATATTAAAACGTGTCGGTAATGTCCGATGTGTTTTCAAAAATGCTGCACAGCCTTAGAATGTGGGTTAGTCAATGAAAGCTAATTTTACAGTTTGATGTAGATCTGTGAGGCTTTTTCGGACCCTAGAGGTTAATCCAGGAGGTGGGCATACTGGAAATTTGCAGAAGTCTCTGTAAACGAATACCTTGTGAGTCGATCTCTGTGGGGCAAAGCTGTGTGCTTCTGTTTCAGGAACTAAAAGTGAGCCAAATCAGAGGTGAGCAAAAGACAGCAGGTTTTGATGTCTTATTTTTTGACATTCTGACATATTGCCCCTGACTGGCTAACAGCAACGCAGCTCTACTACTGACTCCATTTGTTTTGCAACTTTGATGTTTTATCTCCAAAAAAAACACAAGCCTGAAGGAGTTCTGGTTGTGAAGTTGCTAAGGCTAACGGTTACCTTCTGCTAGCTGAGAGGCTCTTTCCTGGATGCTAAATCAACAAGTCTTCCCTGTCATGAGCCAAGATGGGTGAGTCCATGAATGTTAGTTTGACATTATGACGCAATTATCAGGCTTTTCTAATCCGAGAGTTACCCTAACTATTTTAAAACTCACATTGACCCATCATATTTCAAATATAAGATTTACACAATGTCTCAGTTAACAACCCCTTTAACCCTCTCAGGCTCAAAATAAGTTTTGAAAAAAGGACGAACAACTAAGTCCTTCAGGGCTACTTATGAGTTAAAAAATGCTCATGAAATACGTATGTGGAGTAACCAGGTAGGTAGGTTTTAACGTTGCAAATCTGCAATGCCTGCCTCCAGAGGGTTAAACATCAAGTGCATTTTTTAATTGAATGTTGATCTAGTGCATGATTTTCTCAACCTTACATTAATTCCTCAAGCAGATGAGAATGACAATAAGAAGAAAAATTGCTTACAGCGTCAAGAGACACAGCTGCCTGAAGGTCAGGCAGGAAGCCAACTTCCAGCAGGCGGCGAAGAAGACTCTGATCTTCAACGCCATAAACACGATCCAGGAACAAAACCATAGCTGCCTTGTGGTGCGGGCAGAAGACTGTGGAAAGGTCAGGCTCAACCAACAAACCATCTACACAGAGAGAAGCAGAAATTATACATGCGACTAAGATCCTATTAATTTATAAAATACTTGTACACCAGTTTTAGGCTTCTCTTGTCTCTGTTTTATGTGACTCATCTTGACTGCAACATATTTCATGTGGTTAAAATAAGTGTGAATGGAGTCTTTAATGTTTAATGATGACAAAAAGTAACTGCAGGTCATATAAAACTGGAGATGTACAGTGAGATGGGTTGGTTTAGTCCGTTTAACCTTCAGACACCGATGGGAGGTGAAAGGAGATGTTGATGACTCCTTCAAGGTCCTGAATAGGGATGAGGGATCTGAGGATGGCCCTGACACGGATGGCTTCTCCTTTGCCTGCTTGAATTAACTTAAAATTTCAGAAAATGGTTATTTTGAAATTACCAAGCATTTACATATTTTATTCAATAAAAGGTTTAATGTGAAATAAATCCTTTGTAATAATTTTTTACTAAAGTTTTACTATGTACATCAGCTGTGTTCTGGTATGGTATTAGTGTTCCTAGCAGTGTGGGATGTAAAACCACTTACATGCATCTCTGGAGCACAGCACCCCAGCAAGTCAATCAGAGCGGAGTAGAAGGTCATGATGGCATGTCCCATGTGAACGAGGTCATCGTCATTTTCTTGGACAACATTCCTGCCAGAAGATCCAAAAGTTTTTTTTTTTCAGCTTGTTTTAGAACAATCTAGTAGGATTTTAAGGAACGTGTCTGCGTAGTATTTAAAAACTAGTGATGGGATTTATGGCTCTTTCATGGGAGCCGTTCATTAGTCGGTCATTTACCTCAAAGAGCAACGTCTTCCTGCAGTGTCCGTGAGGGCGCACGGGGTTGGTTAGCGTTCCTCCATCGACATATAAATATTGGACAATGAGTTTCCATAGGCTCCAATATCACGTTTTTGAAGATAAATGGGAGGTGGCCACCACAGCCATTTTGACCGTGTCACAGGTTCCGTCAAGCCCAGACAATTCCACAAAAGGGAAGAGAGGTGGAGCTGAGGGTGGGGCTAAGGCTGGGATCAACTGACGACACCCGGTCGAACTAGCTACAAGCTAACCTGAAGCTAACCCAAAGCTAACGCGGAGGTGGGAGCTAAGCTAACGGAGGTAGCAACCTAGCTACAACCGGAGTCAACTGTGCACAACACCAGAGCTTCTGAGTCAGAGATACACCGGGCTGAGCGCTGGGTAAAACAGGGTGCAACACAGAGGTCTCTCGAGAGCTCCACAAGCCGGCAGCCGCACAGCAGGCAGGCGCCGCTGCGATCTGAGATGCGCAGAGCTGCCGCTGGGGAGAACCGGGTGGAAAGGTTTCCATCCCAGAGCTCCACAAGCCGGCAGCCCACGCAGCAGACAGAAGCCGCGATCAGACAGAGATGCGCCGAGCTGCAAGAGGGGATGGGTGGAAAACATCATTCTCCCAAGAGCTCCACAAGCCGATAGTCGGAACCCAGCTCCACCAACATGTTGTTTCAACCCATTTTCTAAAGTGCAGCATTATGTTAAATGCACTGGGCTTTACCCTGTTACATTTAAATTTCATGGTTAAACAGTACATGTTAAAATCTAAGCACAGCTCAGCAGTGACCTAAAATACATAAATATAATTTTACTTACCAAAAAATATGAAGTGGGGACTCTTTGGACGCTCTATTAGTGCAATTAATGCCACAGCAAGTCATTTTGTCCAACAATTGCACAAAAAATATCCAAAAAAAGAATACACAAACACAGAGACTCAAAATCCCGGAACAGTTTCCAAGCCAGACCGAGGCTCTACTGAGGCCTTTCCACGGAGCTAGCTCTGTGGTCATGTGGGTCTGATGCTCATTAATTATACAGAATTTTAGGCTTTTATTACACTTAAACAGGGGAGTGAGAAAAAATATTCACCTCCCTCAGAGTTGCTAGATCATTTAAACAAAAAAGATGTTTTGGTACCAGGCTGTAAACATGTTTATTTCTGCTGTGAAATTGGTATTTTTAACATGGGAGTCAATGAGGATTTGCTCGCTTCTGACACCAGCCCCTAGTGGATGAGGGTGGAACTGCAATTTTTGTCACTTCCGCGTTGGCCTCAATTTTTCACCCGCATTGTGGGGGCTAGCGTTCCTCCCATAGATATGTATATAAACACGTGTTTATATACATATCTATGGTTCCTCCTACGTCCGTCACAGCAGTGGCTGGAGTTTGAGCAGGTGAGTTTGACTGACTTCCGGAGAGGTTTGTTAAGATGAACGGCTCTCTGCAGGGACTCGGCTCTCATCATTCACTTTGAAAACTCGTTCAAAAGATTTGATTCGTACGTGAACGTCACATCACTATTAAAAACAAATTTTAAAGTAGTTCCAGACCCTACATTACATGCAACTAACACTTACGATGTTCTGTTAGGTGGATGAGTGGGGAACGGTCCATCCACTGAAGGGTCTTCCGAGATTTTGATGGCTTCCTTCATGGCTGCTAAGAGTCCATCTCCCCCATCTCCTCTCAGGGCAGGACCAAAACACTCGGGTCGACGAATCAATAACCTCAACACTACATAAGAATTCTCCTCTACACTCTCACCTGCAGATAGGGAAATCACAGAAAGTAAAACAATTGAATCAATGATATATCTTAGGTGTGTTCTTGCTGTGTCTTTCTAAATCCATGCTTTCGTTCTTTTTAAACACAGAAACAGTTTTGCTTACCTGTTTTGTAGCTACAGTTTCGCCGACAGCTGCCGGCTTCTTCAGGCTGACGCTGATGGTGGTGCGTCACTTCCTTCTCCGTTTATCTGCGGGCAGCAGAGGACGTTGTCGCCCTCTACTGCCCGCTCTCCCCTCTCCGACGATGCAGTCCCATGCGTGGTCCAGCGTGTAAACTCCGTCGGAGAGCGGGCAGTAGAGGGCGACAACGTCCTCTGCTGCCCGCAGATAAACGGAGAAGGAAGTGACGCGCCACCATCAGCGTCAGCCTGAAGAAGCCTGCAGCTGTTGGCGAAACTGTAGCTACAAAACAGGTAAACAAAACTGTTTCTGTGTTTAAAAAGAACGAAAGCATGGATCAATGATATATATTGTCCATCCATCAATCCATCCATTATCATCCGCTTATCCGGAGTCGGGTCGCGGGGGCAGTAGCCTAAGGCGAGAGGCCCAGACTTCCCTCTCCCCAGCCACTTGGGCCAGCTCCTCTGGGGGAATCCCAAGACGTTCCCTGACCAGGTGAGAGACATAGTCCCTCCACCGTGTCCTGGGTCTACCTTTAGGTCTCCTCCCGGTTGGACGTGCCCGGAAAACCTCACCAGGGAGGCGTCCAGGAGGTATCCTGACCAGATGCCCGAGCCACCTAAACTGGCTCCTCTCGATGTGGAGGAGCAGCGGGTCTACTCTGAGCCCCTCCTGAATGACCGAGCTTCTCAACTTATCTCTAAGGGAGAGCCCAGCCACTCTTCGGAGAAAACTCATTTCGGCCGCTTGTATCCGCGATCTCGTTCTTTCGGTCTCTACCCAAAGCTCAGGACCATAGGTGAGGGTAGGAACGTAGATCAACCGGTAAATCGAGAGCTTCGCCTTCTGACTCAGCTCTCTCTTCACCATGACAGACCGGTACAACGCCGGCATCACTGCAGATGCAGCACCAATCCGCCTATCGATCTCACGCTCCATCTTACCCTCACTCATGAACAAGACCCAGAGATACTTAAACTCCTCCACTTGGGGCAGGACCTCATCCCTGACCCGGAGAAGGCATTCTACCCTTTTCCGAATCAAGACCATGGTCTCAGATTTAAAGGAGCTGATTCTCATCAGCTGCTTCACACAGCTGCGAACCACTCCAGCGACAGCTGAAGATCACAATCTGTTGAAGCTGATGATATATATATTGTATTCATCCTATTTGGAATTTGTATGAAGTAAATTCATAAGTTTTAACTTTGGAAAAAATCTAACTTATAATAAATTCACAGATGCCCATAAAGTTTAATAAACTACATTTTCTTATAGAGGTTTCCTGACTGTCATGGACTCCAAAGCACTTTACAGTATATTCCGTCATATTCACACGCTGATGGTGATAAGTTACATTCAGGCCATAGCTGCCCCGGGGCACACTGACAGTTGTGAGGCTGCCACACAATTTGTGCCTCTGGTCCCTCCGACCATCACCAGCAGGCATGGAGGGTGAAGTGTCTGTTCCAAGGACACAATGACTAAATATGGGTAGAGCCTGGGTTTGAACCAGCAACTCACTGATGACAGAGTAAACTACTAATCTCTTGCAAGCCTACAGCTTAAGTAATATTGAATTGAAGGGATAAAAAAAATAAATTGTATGTGAGTGAAGTGTTGTTCACGAATAAGAAAGGGGCTATAACTGTGGGGTTAACAGCGGTATTTTGAGTCTAACGACCAGGACCCTCATTTTTTAAAGCTTGCTTATGCACAAAAGTGGGTCTGAAAATTGTGTAAATAATTTTCCATGTAAACTGTGTCATTTAAAAAGGCTGCACCTTAAGCCTTTATAGTGTGTGTGTGTGTGTGTGTGTGTGTGTGTGTGTGTGTAGGTCTTAGGCCTTAAACCAGTTTGTTCCAGCAGGAATTACCAACTGGTGGGCTGATATTTGTTTGATTTGATGAACACTAAATGACATTTCCTGCCTAAAGCTCCCTGTTCCCTTTAAATCTGGCATATCTTAATAATCTTTGAGCACCATGTTGTAGCCGTTCTGGATGGTATGAGTGATTATTGCCATCTTCCTCTTTGCCTCCATCTGACCAATTTTCTTTTTTTTTTATGTCCGCCGTGATCACTCTGCAGCTCCACAACACAGCCCCCTGCTTTAAAAACATGTTGCCACTGGAAGGCAAGCAAACATTATTCTGTGCCTCTACATCACTCAGTGTCACTTCCCATAGTTACCCGCAAAATTCCACCAATCAACCGGACTATTTGGATGCAGAGTCTTCTTAAAGTTCTTTGTAGTGACCATTTGTGAGAGAAAGTAGGTGTGTAGGAAGTGGAATATGATCCACAAAAACCTGAGCATATTTCTAGGTGTGATTTATAAAACTGGAATTATGTGCAGCTGTTCGTAAGCTGTGTTTTATTCATTGGAAAATTTGTTATTTTCGGTAAGGACTCCACTCAAGTTTTATAAATGAGGCCTCAGGTCCCAAATGCTTTTGTCTCTCACTTACTTACATTTTTAGTTATTTCGAGTAACTAGCAAAACTTCCATTTTAGCCTATTATTTGGTGGACCTCTGTGATAGCTGGTGCCATTTATGTTTTATTTCATTTCTTACTCCACTGTTTTTATCCCTCTTGTGTGTGAGAAGCTGTTTTGCAGCACCTGGCTTCTCCCACACCTGTCAAGCTCCATAATAAAGTTCCAGCTGGTGGCAATGACAATTAGCAGCTGAATGAGGACTCACTGCATAAAAGCCACCCAGCCCTCATCATCATCATTTATGTATTTCCAACATGCCAATTACATCACAGTTAACAAAAGGATATAAATAAATAATAAACATCACAAGAAAAGTTGACATTGTTGTAGGCATGTTCGAAAGGGAGTGGGCGTAAGCCAAGCTTATTCAAGCCCACCCCTATTTTTCACTAATAGTTTAACTTTCAATATGTAGAAAAAACTCAAATTCAATAACCTTACGACCAAAGAAAATCATAACATTAATAATAATGGTAGTCTAGACAATTTAACAATTCTTGTCAATATCATTAATTATATTCCTTTACACCTTTACTCACATCATTGCCCATTCTCATTTGTAATGTATTTTAATCAAACTGTTCTTCTGTAATGTGCTTTAAAAAATTTTTATATTTTGACATTGTTTGTGATCAGTCTTTAAGTTATTCCATATTTTTATCCCACACACAGACACACAAAAGCTTTTACGTGTTGTTCGCACCAGTGGTAATTTAAATATTTTATCTCTCCTTAGGCTATGTGACAGCTCTTTAATTATAAATAGCTTTTGTAAATTATTTGGTAGAAATGTATTAAATGCTTTGAAAAGAATTTGAACTGTTTGATATTTAATTATATCCTGTAATTTTAATCATTTTGATTGTCAAAAAAGTTGATTTGTGTGTTCTAAGAATCCAACCTTATTTATGATATGGACCGCTCCTTTTTGCAATATATAAAGAGGCTGCAAGGAGCATTGATAATTATTCCCCCATACCACAGCGCCATAAGTAAAATAAGGGAGAACTAAGGAGCAATACAATATATGAAGTGTGTTGCAATCATCAGGGAGCACCAGGCTGGACTGGTCTCTGTCCTGTTGGCTCCTCGGCGTGGTTGTAGTTATATTGGCTAAGTAGGGTTTATTTTTGTTTTACCATTTTAGTTGCCACCGATTAGTACAGTTGTGTTTATTAATTTTCCTTGGTGGAAACAAATTTGTTTAAGTTAACTTTTAAACACCCGAGCATGTGTCCTCCTTGTTACCCTAGGCCCCCTGGACAGCCTGGAGAGTAACAACCTCAATTTCCATTTCATGCAAATATATATATATGTTAACTTTTTTAACTTCCGTTTCATTAAAACTTTCATTGTAGGTTATGTCATTGTGTTGCATATTTTGTAGTTCTATTTTGGCTTTTGCAGTTTGTTGACCCTTGTGGGCCACTGTATAAACTCGATTTACAAAACATAATTTAAAGAAATGCAGCTTTTAACTTTTGAGATGCATACATTTGTCTAATGTATTTATCTGAACTGCCTCAAGAGCTATTTGTACTGATGACTTTTAGATGCTCCTTTCAGAATGGAAACCGATGGACAAGCTGAGTGAATCTTCTCTGTTAAAATAGCTAAAATATCGAAGAACATGACATGGTACAGCAGCCTGTGCCTTTGTAGATTTTACTACCTACTCTGTGACAGTTACTCTTGAGGTCCTGCGGGTAATGACTGTCTTTTACAATGGGTCAGTGGTAGCTCAGGATGTAGAGCAGGTTGTCCAGTAATCGGAAGGTTGCAGGTTCAATCCCAGGCTCGACCAGAGAATGCTGCTGTTCTGTTCTTGGGCAAGACACTTAACCCACTTTGCCTGCTGCTGGTGGTCGAAGTGTCTGGCGGCGCCAGTGCTCGGCAGCTACGGCTACATTGTAGCTCATCCCCACCAGTGTGTGAATTTGTGTGTGAATGGGTGAATGACTGTGTTGTAAAGTGCCTTGGGGGGTTCCAGGACTCTAGGAGGGGCTATTTCAAATACAGGCCATTTACTATGTACCATTTTATGATAAAATTAAAAATGAAATGTAGGTCAAACAAATATACGCCTAGTAAATAAATACTTTACTAATTAATTTGAATTAGTTATGATGGTTAGGGAAATACAGTAATTTAAATTGAGACAAACTAAGTTATGCAATCAGAGTTTGAAACAGCCTTTTGTTCTCATGTTTCAAATAGTGATGCTAAATGTACCGTTGCAGAAAACAGCGAAGCGTAGGAAATTCAGGTAACGCTCTCCCTCCACAGGGTTCCATCCTATGTCAGTGTAGCCTTTGGCCACCAGCATGGAACAGCTTCTGAGACCACATCTGGCAAGGTACTGAACCACCTGGATGAGACATCTTATGACATTAGACAAGCTCGTCTATTTTAGTGAGCTAGTTTGTTCCATCATTTAATATTGCATCCTGACTCATGTAAGAAAATGCAATATATCGTTTCTCAAAGATGACAGTTAACATGGAGTTTCAGACCTTCTCAAGATCAGGTTCTCTCAGAGCTAAGGCCAGTTCATTATTATCCATAACAGAAGCTGCAGCCACATCAAGCGGAGTTGAGCCACGCATGGATGGTGAAGCTAAGAGATGGGCATAAAACAATACAAATATCTAATTACTCTGTATGATGTCACACAGCAAAGATCTGCAATGCAAAGTGGAAGTGTTTACCTAATCCCACACTGCTGTTTTCTAATAAGTAGCTTAGGTGGTCAAAAAGAGCTCCCTGATTGTGGCAACTGATGCGGCAAAAGTAACACAGAAATCGACAGCAGCTGGCCACCATCCTGGGAAAGGTGATCTCCTAACATCCAGTCAGTCACGTATGCAAAAATAAATCATCAAACATCAAAGGACATCTGTGATACTGTGCACATTTAAGAAACATGGCATGAATGATGTGCAAGAATGATGTGCTTCACACACCTTTGACTCTCCTTCTCCCAGGACATTGACCATCACCTCCATCACTGTCTCATGCATCCCCAATGCCCTCATTAAGTTTGGGTGTTGGTAGAAAACTTTATTGTTCATGATGTCCCTGTATACACAAAAACATTAGAGATGGTCTACAGAACACACAGTGATGCAAACAGCCTCTTTCTACCCTAGCCTTCGGATCATCAGCTTCTCTTCTTCTTTCCCCATGCGGACACTCAGGAGAGAACGGATTTGACCCAGGGAGGACAGGAGTGCCACCGTGTCCTCCACAGAAAACTGGCTGATTGTGTATGCCTTTGAGAGCGGCCCTTCCATTTGCTCCCTGAGGCCTTGGTACTGACGGTAAAGCAATGAGAAGATAACCCGAACCAGCTTTGGGTCTTCAATCTCACTCTCTTGAGCCCAGCACACCATCGTCTCAGAAATCAGCCTTTTGAGGGATTCTGAAAGGAGAAGAGGTGATTAAAGTAAAGAAGTGGAATCCAAGGGTACTCACTTTACAATATGATTAAATACTTTGTGAGATAATTGCTTTTTTTGCTAGAGAAACCCATGATTAGCATTTTCTATGATTAGGAGCAGGTAACAGAAGAGACATGATTGAAGTTTCAGAGTGCCACTTTCTTCAAAGTGAGACACTGCAGCACATTCTTACTAGGACTGCGAGATTTACTCTCCTCCAGTAAATTTGGTGTTTTTTTAAGACCAATGAGTCCCATTAGAAGTCTTGAAAGTTGATCTTTCAGGGAGATCTTAGCCGTCTCTTCATCCACTAGGTCCAAGTCTTGTTCAATGCCTGAGCAGCAGCCGCAAAATAAAACACACTTAATGAGAAGTCACATCACTTCTGTCAGGGTTTATTATAGTTTCTTAACTTAACAAAAATCAGTAATGCAACAGTAAATGATCAGCACTTCTCCCACCACAGTGTGTCCTGAGGAGGCAATGGAAGTCCTGCAAGAGCTGTTGGATGTTGATGGAACAAGGACATTTCTCCTTCTCCTCCTCATCTTTGAAGCTCAGCAGCATGTTGATCTTGACATGTTAGAAATTACAAAAGAATTGATAATAGTATGAAAAACACATTATGCACACCATAGTGACTGAGATGGACTTGTTTGGTGCACATAAAAAAACCTAGAATTTATACACTTTAATCCAATTATCTAACATCCAATATGTTGTTCAAGTGGGTTCCACCTGCTCCTGCGGTGGTAGGCGGAACTCCTTGGTCCTGCGAGCCGTGAGTGCTGCAGACATGTTGAGTGCCTGCATGACCTGAGTGTAACGGGAACGTTGGTTCTCCTGCAGCTGATGCACAAAGTTATCAGAGAATGCGACTGTAGCTTCAACCCTGTGGCGCACCTGGCAGTCACACAGGTAGGACAGCAAGTGGCAGAGCTACAAACATAAATGTGGAAATGTTGGATTGTTGTTATTGTTGCTAGGCTAAAGTTACCAAGAACGCATGAAAACAAGATCTAGTGATTCATTCACCTCAAGTTTGACAGATTCTGGAAGTTTCATTTGAAGAAGTCCTTGTTTACTTGCATCCTTCCCTTTTCCCACTTCCTCATCATCCTTAATTTCTTCTTTGTCCTCCTTGATTAAGGAGAATACATTTGGCTCAATCAGCCTTAGAACCTTCCCGAGATCTTCATCCCCAAGCACCCCCATGACTAGAAGACAGTTCAACAGTTTTAAAAGAGGAACAAGCAAATGTTCAGCGCTGCCTCCTGCAGGATCCCTCACAAGTTTAGCCACGGCTGTTACTCCAGCGTCCAACATCTCCACTGTCAGGTTCTTTAAAATGTCCAGAGGGATTTCAGGGCTGTCAGTGCAAGCCACTTCAGCTACACCATCCACTCCCATCCCATTACTCCTGACAAAACAAGGAGATGAAAAATGCATTTTTGGTTTAAGAGATGTGCTACTGCCAGTGCTGGGGCAGCCTTCTGGAAGAAAACCATGCTCTCCATCAAGACCCCCAACAGGACAGGGATGAAGGGAGATTTCTCTGGTCTGGTCCATCATCGGAACGATGTATTCCTGATTCATCATGAGACATGCTGTGGTATGACTACTTAGATACACCTAAAACAAACAATGATTGTTAATTCTTTATCTTGCTGCCTGTGAATTGCCAGGTTTCATAAACTTTGACTAGCAGATACCTGAATAAGCAGCTGGTAATACGCTGAGCGGATTGGGCCAGGGAGGTGAGGATTCTGAATGGCATAAAGGACCTGCGATTGGTCCACGTGACTGCAGAGGGCATGGCAAACACTGGTGTTGCCAAGGGCACACAAAGAGCAGTAGAGAAGAAGGGTATTGTGATGAAAGGTACGAAGGTCATCAAGCTCTGACAGCTCCAAAATGTCAACGCTCCTACGTGGACATCATCAGAAAGACAGTTTCAGTGTCACTGTTTACTCAAATTGGAATAAAGTAAAGGAAAACTGAAATGAATTTGCAACATTTTCTGAATTTTGTTAATGGAAGAACAGTTCCCAGTCTAACAGGAATCAGGCATGTTTATTAGTCTTTTTTTCTTCACCTGCTTTCATCAGGAATCTGAAGGGTCAAAATCTGATGAGGTTCGTAGCATTGGACTCTCCAGCCATGGTGTTCATCTGGGTGGTCTATCAACACCTGTAATTGAGTGTCTGGTACTCTGGTCCATGAGACGGGTCTAAGATGCTGGACCTTGACCCTCGGAGGACACTGGGGACTGGGATCTCTTCTTTGACTGCGAATTAATCCTGATGATAGAGGCATCACATTCTGGAAGGAACAAAAATCGATTAATGTATCACCTACCAAAAATAATTTACTAATATTAGTCCATTTTTATATAAATAATAGTTAACAAGAAAAAAATGTCTATGGTAGGATTGCAAATTTCATGTTCAAGTTTAATGTTTTTTTCAGCTATTAATCAAATAGTTCCACATTTTTTTAATTCATAAAATAAGTGCAAATTAATTGTTAGAAGAAAAAATAACTAATTCTCAAATGAGAGTCATAGAAGTCAAAAATTGCTTTAAGCATTTTACCTTGATAGGTTCAAACTCAAACTGAAACATGTCGCTGGTGCTGGGTTTGACAAAAACTGCAGGAAATAACTTGGTACCGGCTTCAACCTAGGGTGTGGATAAAGGATTCCTTGTAAATGGCCTGGATTTGTATAGTGTCTCCTTAGTGTTCCAACCCCCCCCCCTTCCAAATCGTTTAAAGTGCAAGTCACCCCAAAACAAAAACAACTTTTTTTTACTGTTAAACTATTTAAATGAGTGTCCAATCATGCTGTAGACACATGTAGTCAATACTTTCGCACTTTAGTGCACCTTCGTTAAAATTTAAATATTCAGCTTAAAACGGTCAGTGTTGTGCCATCTTCAGGTAAAAACTCTGCACTACTTTTTAATTTAAATCTGCCGTCGCTATTGGCTAAGAGGTACTCTATGATGTTAGCTGGTACATTATGATGTCACAATGTTGTTGTGGGCCTGTGTGTTCGTGAGTGTGTGTGTGTGTGTGTGTGTGTGTGTGTGTGTGTGTGTGTGTGTGTGTGTGTGTGTGTGTGTGTGTGTGTGTGTGTGTGTGTGTGTGTGTGTGTGTGTGTGTGTGTGTGTGTTAGTGGCTCGGCCCTCTCTGTCTGCCAGGCAACAGCATTTGATGCATTTTTCAAACAGGAAGTGGGAGTGGAGAAAGACTCTGGTGGGGGTGACTTGCCCTTTAAAGTGGAACCCTGATTCAGATTACCTCGTTAAATTGATTTTCCAAGCTACTCACTCTAAATTATATCATTACAGGATTTATTGAAATATATCAGACATTGCATCTAAATCATAGAAATTTCTTATGCTCACTTGGTGGAAAGTCAACATCTCCACACCGTTTGAAGTGAAGGTAAGCAATCCAGTTGTTGTGTCAATCAAACAGCCAATTTCCAGCCCTGCACTCCTTCGACTCTGAGACAGACCTGTTCCTTCTCCAGCACACACCATGTAACAGCTGCACCGCTTCACACTGTGCAAAAATACTCATTTATGTCAAACTGAAGCTATTCAGCAACACAATAAATAGACTTACCATAGGAGAGTGGCTCTGGTGAAGGAGACGTTTTGATGACAGTAATCGACGACCACTCAGGTTGTATATTTTATGTATGAGGAAAATGGAATGGCCTCGGTGCACACTAACCTCTCCTGAACTTTGCCACCATCATCTCCGAGGGTGACAGTCACGGTGTCGACACTGTTGGTGTCAAATGTCACGTCGCACCGTTGGAAGTCAGAGGTCACCCAGCCTACCCACACGCTGAATGGCTCCTGGCCTGGAAGAACCCTCACTGAATAGTAATACTAAAACAAAGATGTCACTTAGTGTCACCGTTTGGCATTTACATCATTCCATTTCAGGTAATTGGTCACATACTGCAGGCACATAAGCGTTGCATTAGGACGTATTTTTAAACTGCTTAATTTTGAGAAAACAAAATGATGAAATGGATTACTGTACAGAAAATTCTATTAACCTTCTACAATTATTGAGGTCATGTGACGTTATGGGAGAACAAATAAATCAGACTCTTACTCTGGAGCTCCGGATGAGGTGGTCGTAGTTGTCTTTTTCAACAATGACGTCTTCTAGAAGCCGTGCAGATGAGTTGCTGCTGACTAAGCCGGGTTTAGTCTTCTTCATCAAGAACCTTACAAATAGAAGCGTCCGTCAGCTCTAACAAAGCAATTACTTTTCACATTAACAGCAAAGTCAAACCTTTGAATTTATTGAATTTACTTCTTCAATTTTCTGCCTCATTCTAGCTGCAAACTTACAAAATGACCACACAGCTGTCACTGCAACCAGACAGCAGACAGGTACGGGGATAGTTAGAAGATGTCTGAATGTGCTTGCAGCTCATGGAACAGTAATTGTCTTGTTTTGTGTTTAAATTACTGACAGTGAATGCTTATAAGCTCCAACAACTGTCAGAGCTGAAGAGATTTTTGTCGAGAAAACACGATTTGTTTTGGTAATTTCTCTCAAATTAAAGTCTAAACAGACGGGCTTGGCTGTTTTTCCAGCGGGATTGTGGAAAGCTGCTGTGCTCTGATCTGTGGACCTGTCTTTCTAGAATACCCTTCAAAAAAGATGTAGCAGCTATCATCTCGGAAATCCCAAGTTGCATAATTCCAAAAATGATAAATAGCGTGTGTTTGTATAGCACTTTTTAGGGTTCTACAATCCCTCAAGGTGCTTAAAAACACAGTCAGTCATTCACTCACCCACCCACACATTCACATGCTGGTGAGCTAGCTGTCCTGGGGCGCACTGACAGAAGCGAGGCTGCCAAACACTGGTGCCACCGGTCCCTCCGACCACCACCAGCAAACAATGCGGGTTACGTGTCTTGCCAAAGACACAACAACCGCAACAGACAGAGCAAGACTCGATCCCTCAACCTTCCAGTTAGGAGACAGGCATTTAACTCTCTGCCGCCATCATCCCTATAAAGCATTTATTAAGATGACACCGACATTTCAGAGCGCACACTGGACTTAGTACGCCTTTTATTTTAAGTCCTTCATTTATTCTGTTAAGCCACAAAAGGTTTGGCAGGTCTATTTCTCCATAGGGATTGACATGTCAAAGAATTATACTGTTGTTTGATATTTAGTTCTGCAAACGTTGTGAACTTTCTTGGTGCTCTTTGTTTCACAATTTATTTTGACAAATATAAAAAGTTTAAAAACCAACTTCTCTCATTTTTAACACATCTGCAGTGCTGACTAGTATGAATGGATACCTTGTGAGTTGGGATGCACCAATACCACTTTTTTCCAAACCGATGTGATACCGATACTTGGATCTGAGTACTAGCTGATAGTGATACCGATACAGATACTTCTACCACACAAAAAATGCAATTGGAATACAGGTTTTATTTTATTTTCTGCTTCCATCAGGAAAAGACGTTGAGTTGAATGAATGAAATCTGGTGAATAAGAAAAGTAAAATACTGACTCTGAATGTCTACATACATACATAACATGTTCTTTTAGTTTTATTCTCTTCACAACCTACCGTTGTTTCAGTTTGGATGTTTTTTCGTGACCGTGGTCCTTGTGGTTAAGCTCGTCTTTTGAGCCAGCAAAACTGTGTGCTGACTTCATCAGAACTTCAAAGTCAGAGTCCGTGTCCTCGGGCTCTTTCCTCACTAAAACACAACAGGCATTAATTACAGCATGGCCCCCGGGGAGCTTAACCAGGACAATTCACCAAGGTCACAATGGCAGATATCAGCAATCTAGACAGGGAATAAATCTGAATAATTGCAACTAGACCACTTCTAGAGATTTTACCCAATGGCTCATTCATTTTTATGTGTTGCATTAGATCCAAAACTAAATTAACTTATGATGAATTATATAATGTAAAAAATAACTCTTAACTCAAACCTTGAGGTAAAGAGTTGGGGGCAACTGAATGTACTGCCTCTGCAGGACTTCTAAGAATCGCAGCACATTCAATGGGCATGCTGAGCCGGTAAAAGCCCATCTCACTCCCTCCAGAGTGGCGAGCAAACCACCGCTGAGACACCCTCAGGCTGGATAAGGAATCGGCTGAGCTCCTGACTCTGGTAACCTTGGAGAATATATGCACATCGTTTTCCAGATCATAGTTGAGCATCAAAGGGGCTTTATTCCAGTCAAGTTCCAAGGACGGTTTCATAATCTTTCTAAAATCAAAGGACAGGCTTTTGCCAGACTAACCTGCAAATTCTGATCATCACGTAGGATTGTGGTAAACTGGGACTGTTTCCAACTCATCCACAGTGCGGGGTGTCTCATCATGTTGAAGGCAAAAGGTTTATAGCCCTCTTGAAGACCACAAACATCAAAGTACCGTAGAGTGTCCACCTGGTGGCCCAGGTTCAGCCTCCCCACCTGGTTTATCCCAACACTGACCACAGGCAACAAGCCTCGAAACGTCAGGAAGAGAGAACATTTAGAAACCCAGGCCATGTTGAAGCATGAACAATGCTTCAGCTCAATGGACGTACTGGTGTTAATGTACAGAAAATGTGGTAAAATGTTCTCCATACCATCTCTTATATCAAAGTCCTTGGCAGCCAGCTCTGATCCTCTGTCATTAAACAGCAGCTCCCCATTGAGCGTGACCATCATGGTGCTTTCAACCATGTCCACCAAGCAGCCCACCACATCTCCCCTGAGCCACGGACGTCCCAGAGGTTCACCTCCCTGATGGTACCACTGGGCCTGAATGAAGCAGCGATGGAGGAAATTTTGACATTTTTTTTATTCAAGTAATGTTTAAAATGGCAATGCATGAAAAATCCTTCTTGTGTGAAATGAAATAGGTGTAGTAGTTTAAAAAAGTACAAACTGGCTTCTGTGTGATACATTATGCTTTTTTGAGACCATTAATAATAAGTAAACAACAAGCATGATGTTGCACCTGATACATCTTTGTTGATTTTTTATTCTAATAAATAAATCGTTAATCCTTTTTTAAGAGATGTTTGATGATTTCTCTAAGAACAGAAAAGTTGTGAAATGAAATAAATTCTCAATTTCGTTTTTTTTTTCTCTGACACATTGGATTATACTGAAATGATGCCAAGTCTGAAAGACAAACTCATAAACTAAACCCTGACTAAACATTTTTTTAAACAAAATGAGGGAAAAAAGTTTTATTAGCAGCTCTAATTTAAGATTATAAAATCTTCAACTTATAAGGTAATAAATGACTGAAGCTCTTAAATAGTTAAAACGATCACTCAGGTTTTTTGGCCACCGCCTGATTTGATCCAGAGGACGAGAGCTTTCTGTATTTTTTCAACCTGATCCAGCTCCCAGCAGCAGCCCTGCCCCTCCTCCCTCCCAGCTGCTCTCTATTCCAGTCAACACCAGGAGAGCCGATAAACCAGGAGCGATTGGCTGCTCAAGGAGAGTTAGGATAATCACAGATCAGTGCTGTTGGTCTCTTCTCTCCCTTAACATGACTTGTGCTAGAGCTTTGTGTTCTAGATATGTTTAGAAAGATCTAAGTAGACTTGTTTAGTGATTATTCTTAGGAATCTGGTGTGTAACTACTTAGAGTGATCAGAGCAGCTTGGGATTTAGGGTTAGGGTTAGAGATTGTTCATTAAGAACTCGTTGTGGTTACTTCATGTGCTCAACAGAAGCTTTGCTTCTAGTTTGTCTTATGAACCCTGTTTTACGTTCGCTCACAGGAGCTCTGTTTCCGTGTGTTCTCTGGAACTTACGTAATCACTTCGGATGCTCAGAGGTGCATTTATGTTCTTAGCATTTAGCGTTTAATATTATGCTCTCAGGAGCTTTGTGCTGTATTTTGAAGGACTCAGAGTGTGATTACTTGGTGTGCTCAACATAGTTTTGTTCCAGTCCTGTAGTTACTTAGTGACATTAAGCCTTGTTTATGTATATTCCAGTTTAGAACCTTTCTTTAGATTGGTATCCACCCTTATAGGTGCTCCCTCCTTTTGGTTTTTGCCCTTGTTCAATAAATAACGTTTCACTTTTACCACCTTAAGCACACGTCTCTGTTATGTTACGACATCCTTCAAGTTTTCACCAACATGTTGTAACAAAGGAAATATAACTTTTTCCTCTAAATGTTCTCAAACATGGAATGTGTGTTTATTATTAATTGCTACAAGTAAATTAACTTAAGTAACTGATGACTTACATTAAACCAAAAGGAAATTTTTATAAACCCATAAATAACTGAAAGAAACCTTTAATGGGTCATATGGGTTATTTATTAGCCTATGCAAGTTTATTTTCTATTATCTGTTCAGGTCAATTATGTGAAACAAAACCGAAGAGATACGTGTCCCTGTACTGTTCCATTTGCCTTAATTCATTAAAGTTAAAGTCCCATTGGTCATCATCACACACTAGAGAAATTTCATCTCTGCATTTGACCCATCGCTGTGTGTGTGTGTGTGTGGGGGGGGGGGGTAGCTGCAGCAGTGGCTGCGCTCAGGAACTACTTGGTGGTTTCGCCCTCCAGTTTTAGCTGAGTGTCATGCAGGGAGGCATTGGGTCCCAGTTTTAAAGTCTTTGGTATGACCCAGCTGTGGATTTTAACCTAAACCTCCCAGTCCCAGCGCAGATACTCATACCGCTAGGCCACTGAGGAGGTATAGCATGTGATGCTAAAACAGTGCAACAGAAAATAAAAGTTCAAGGGGACTGAAACTGATTTCAAGAGCAATTATGACTTACTGAGGAGGCCGATTAAGGACCTTTTTAAGTGCATGACCAGCAGAGACATTACCACCAATCATCATAATCACAGCTCTCCTTTAGTGTAGTGATTAGTAATGTCTTAGCATGGAAAAATAAAACTTAACACTGTTTATGCGTCTGGAACAACCCTTACATTTAACTGATTATGTCTGGCGAAGACCTGAAGGTACTGATACAGCATCCAGGATGATATAAGTTTAAAACAAGTCCAATCCTGTTAAATGATTCAGAATCACCTTTTACACCTTCTTTAAACATAACAAGCCAAACTAAAAAGAGCTCAGCAGTGTCCTCTGCTAGGTTTTCCTAATTCAAGCTGTGGTTAGAGCTGGGAATGTAGTTCCAACAACAGACTAATAGAAACATCAGAAATGTAGATATGAGTGCCTCACCTCAAATCCATCAAAGACATATGCCTGGTCGTCTGAGCCGAGCTCTTTATCAGGAGTACAGCCCGGTCGGGCCCAGCCCACTCTCATATCCCCCCCTGTCAGTAGTTCAAATTCAAAATACCACTTCCCCCTGGTCACAGCGTAGGATTTATCTGGTCTGAACACTCTGCTCTTCTCTGCTGGGAATGGGGATGTCTTTGATAATGTGGCTGTCAGTCAAAAACAGAACAAATATGCAGTAAAATTCAAATCTACCTGCACTCAGGTCTTCTTAAATGGCATTAGCATCGCTGACAAAGGTCACACTGTTCATTTAAATGGTAGCACTAATTGTTAGGATTGATTTAGTTTGATAAGCGATAAAAATAGATGCTTTAAATAAACTTCAAACACTTGTGATAAGTAAGGGGAATTAACAGGCTTTGTTGTATACTCTGTTCTTGGCTGAGGGGCTCCAAAGTGTAGCCGAAAACCCGCAGGGTGCAGACGGCCTCTCTTGCACTCTCCATCCCTGCTTTCCTCATCTTTTCATCAAGTAGATAGTAAGGCACGAGGTGAGGACACCTCTTTGATTTCACATCCTAAAAACACAGATGCACAGAACTAAATAATTAGCTGCATTTGTAAACAAACCTTCAGCATAGAGAATTAACCCCCTCAGTGATGTGGATCGATGACTTAAAACAGATACCTGCTGGGCTCCATAAGTCCATCCCTGTTTGATTTGCTTTCTAGCCCATTCATTGTGTTCATTCTCTGCCAGCATCTCCACCACCTCCTCATCCGCTAAACTGAGACGAACTTGACTTAGGTCTATAGGTGCAGGCCTATGTCCACAGGGTAGCTCATACCTGAGACAGACAGTGAAAACCAGAAACCTAATCAGAAAAAGTTAGACAACAGCTAAAGATATATAACTTGCAGTTAGCTTTTGTTTTTGCACAATCCTACACAGTCTTGCAAGATTTCACACATTGCACCCAGAGTTTGTGTCCTGAACGACTTTTAGTTACCATCACAAGAAAGTTGTACTTAGTATCTGCAAAACAGACAGTGTTGTAGCCCATTTTGCTTTGGTTAAAGGAGACATATTTTGACTTTCTTAAAGGTGGGGTTTACTCATTTATTCACTACATTTGCAGTGTTCTCCAGTGTAAACCAATGACCTATGAGTCATTAAAATATCTATGATGCTCCTGTTCTGAGATGCAGAAGTTTGCTGGTGCAGAGGTTGGCTGAAAACAGCAGGATTGCTCATTATTATATGCACACACCTCTCTTATGATTGGCTGAACGCATTCGGCCATATTGCAAAGTCACCATCACCAACACACTCTCCACTTTCCACTCTCCATCTCCTCGCTGCAACAAAATAAAAAAAAATAGCCTTCCTGTGGGCATGCGCGAGCCTAGATGGGCGAGGTCATGAATGCGAATTCCCAGTATGACATCACAGTGTGAGGCTTTTCAAATCCTAGAATTTCACCATCTTCTATCAGATGCTAATGCAGGAGATAGGTGTGGAGGACTATTTTAATGTAGGCCTGCATGAAAAACTTAGAGTGACTGATTATAATCAGAAAAAATCATTAAAAGAAGGTTTTTCAATCACATCTTTAAGTTAAAAAAGTTCTATGGTCCATGTAAAACGCGGCAAAAAAATCCCTCTCACCTAAAGATATTTCAACACTTTTACTCTTGACATTCATTTCCTTCCCGAATGAACCGTTTCAGGGTTCTGTCACTAAGCAAACAAGCTGAAGCTGGCCACCCTCACCCATCCCCCACTCAGGTTGTTATAAGCTGAGAAGCTCTGATATGCAGGAGGGGCTTGGAGTTGAGCCACTGCTTCTTTAGCAGTAGCTGCTCTCATCCAGGAGAGAGGTGGGTTTATGCAAACGTTCCCATTTGTGATGTCACAAACAGGGATTTTGTGAAACAACTTGTGTTAGGCACGTAATTCCTGAAACCAAACACTGACAGAAAGTGGATGGATGGTTTTTATTCATGTTTGGAGTGTTTATAGAGGCAGTAGAGACCCACATGGCGGCAAAAAGGTCAGTTCTACATAATATGTGCCCTTAAACAATGACTTGCTCCAATAGCCTTTTTAATCACTTGTAGATGTGCATCTATTGATTAGTTTAATTAAAGAGTTTAATTAAAATCCTGCCAGTGGTTCATGAGGCATGTTGTTACAGATCAGCAAACACACAAATAGACACATGCAAATAAATTACTAGTAACATTTTCCATTTAGACAACAAGAAATAAAAGTTACTTTGCAGGAAGTCTTAGGTATTTGACATGTTCCTCAGCTCGGTCATCTCCCAGACCAACGCTGAAGCCGAGAGCAAGGACCGTCCTTCGACAGAAACAGGAATTTTCAGTACAAGACCAGAATGACAGTTTTCTCACAATCAAGCAAGTTTGTTTAAATATTTAAGTTAAGATGAGTGCGGTGGGGCTCACTTGAGGGTGTCCTGAGCCGTTTGAAAGTTCTGGTTCCTCTCCTGCTCTGGCAGCTTGAAGAACTCCACCAGACAAGGATCGTGTAGTTTAATTTCATCTTTAACCTGTTTGAAAATAATGTTTGTATTTTTATGATACAAGTGGATCTGAAGCACTTACGAATAAAACTAGTTTTTTACAATTGATGTGGGAAAAAATAAAACAAATCATTTATAAAGACTTTTCTCACTGATCCAGTTGTCCATCCATGGTCAATCTTGTCCTTCACCCAGAGCTCATGGATATTTTCTGCCATTTTCATGCTGATGTCCTCAAGCTGTGGAGGCAATGCGACCTAAAAGTACAGTTTTTACAAAAGTATGATTCATAGCACAGAATTGCTGCTTCAAACTGGATGCAAATGTATTTTTCCCTGGAAAAATATGCCCAAAATATTCTTTTTTTTTTTTTTTTTTGTTCTCCTAGGGAACTGATTATACCTTGCTAATGTCTATTGGTGTGGGAGTGAAGACAACTGAAGCGACTGGCACGAAGGGGCCAATCAGCTGCTTTTTCCCTTCTCCACAGTCCAGGCTGTAGTTCTGACAGGGCTCCACCTTCAGGGTGGTTTTTGGAAGCAGAGCTTCAGAACATGAAGCATAGCCAGGCGGGGGCAGAAAGCGAAACTCTCCATGTCGTCCACCAAACAGAAAATGAACCCTGATTTGCAAGAGAAGAACAGGAAATGCAGTCACTGTTTCTGCGTTCTCAAATTTAGGGATATTGGATTTTTTTATTTCTAAAAATAAAAAGACATGATAGTAAAATTAAAGCACAATCAGAACATTTTAGAAAGAATAAGAACCAAAGCACTGGTATGGAGAAGAGTTACTGACCTGACTCCAGCAGAGAAGCTGACCACGGGATACAGAAGTCCATTAGAGCTGAAGTTCTCCATCATGCCTTGCACCGGCAGACCGTTGACTCGGAAAGAGATGCAGGGAACGGCCAGGTCAAGACAGCAACTAACCACATCATTATCTTTCAGCAGGTGTGGGAAGGGAGAGCTGACTCTACGGCCCACACAGCCTGAAATTCAGAAGATCAAAATCAGTGTTTTTTTTTTCTTTTCTTTTGTTTTTATGGATTTTTTTCCAGGTTTTGCATTTCCTCTGAACAATAAAAAAGCATAAAACGTGTAATAAAGACTAGGGTTTACATTTCAGAAACATACCTCTGTGCCAAATGCCAACATGTTATTCTGGCTAAATTTAATTGCAGCATTTACATTCATTGGAATTTACAATCAGTGCCACCACACCACGGTTCCTAATTGTAATAAATACATCTCATTTCCGCTAAATCCCTCAGTGAGAGGGCTGCACTCAGAATTATAATTCATGATAGTCTCATGTATTTTCTCTCTGCGGATGCCTTCATTAAAAGAAAATAACACGCTAATGGATTTTTTTGCTGTGACTGTTTTTGCTGTTTCTTTTGGATGTAATCGGATACAGAATTCATTTGAAGTCTGATCACAAGTGAAAACGCTGACTGTTTTTTGCAAGCCAATGACAAATAAATAAGCAGAATATGTACTTTATAAAAACGTTGCACTGACCTGACCAGAGGCTAAGTCCATCAAAGCCATAAGAACAGAGGTCATCTCCCACTCCGTACCCCCCCCAGCCCTCCCCTCCTGTAGGCCTTGGTCTGTAGCCTTTAGTGAAGGCCCAGCCAACACGCAGGTGAGTCGGTTCTGGTGTCAGGAAGGGGTCAACATGATCCACTACCAGCTCGTAGTACCATCTCCGATGCTGGGCTGAGGCGTCCCCCACATCCAGAAAGATGTTTGGTCTCACGCTAGGGTGGAATGGTTTTAAGAGGATCAGGGGCAACAAAAGAACAGAGAGAACAGAGGATCATTTCTTTATTCACTTGGTATGATTAGAACAATTCAGAGTATTTATTGTTTTTAGATTCGATAAAGTCCAAGTTCAGCGAATGTTGACTTACTCACAAGACCGGTGCCTTCAGGATGCAGAGAGATAGGGCCAACGTCTATATTTAGTCACTCACATTATAAATTATGTTGGTGTGTCTTTTCACCGAAGCTATCAACAGAGATCAAGCTACACACAGTTCACGCCATGGCGCCGTTCGACCAATCAGCGCAGGGCTATAAGACGCCAAATATTGGTGTGTCTACAGAGCCAGAAAAAAACTCGGTCTCTTCTCGTGTTTACAGTCAGATCTCTAAAACTAACGATGCTAGGTCACACGGTTGACTAGTTAGGGTTAGGGTTAAACACAATGAAGATGGTGAAATCATAGCGTGACAACCAAAGCAGCCATGTCTGAACATACGCCTTGAACATGTAAAACAAATTATGTATATTATTAGAAAAAATTCTATTGTTCTTTTAAGGCTCGACTATCATAATCGTGGTAACAGTAACAATAATTCCATTATTGAATATATTTTGCTGTTTTAAACTAAGATTTCTATGAAAAACAGCAAGACAGTTATTGTGTCAGCCAATCTCACCATCGGTGATGATGATGAAGAGGAGGAAGAAGACACAGAGGCAGATCCTCACATATAATAAATTCTTAAATAATGTAATAATCTATATTTAATTAGAAATTATATCTGTTTTTCAATAACTTTTCTAAAATATTTTACAGTAATCTGTTTTTATAAAAATACACTATATTGTTTAATTATTGTTATTTATCTTTGTTTCATTCTTTCTGTGCTGCTTTATAGCCATTGTTTTTGAGTTCTTAATAATATACAGATTAGCAAAATTTGTTGTTTTACGTCTTTCACTGACAGTTTCATCTCTCACTGGTGCCTTCCTCAGAGTGGTGGTGATGTAACTTCTTTGCTGTTTTATCAGCGGGCAGTAGAGGACGATGATGTCGCCCTCTACTGCCCACTATTATATATATATATGTATATAAACACTAGATGGCGAAAGCGGGAGTCGAGGGCGTAGCTAAAAGGCGGCCATCTTACCTCAGACAACAGACCCCTCCGCTCTCAATGGTAGCAGCTGAAAGGTGAGTGATCAGCTTGAACAAAAACACTCTTAACTCAATGAAATATTAACGGATTTACAAGCGGTTTGCCTTATTACAACCCTTAGAACACATGGGCTTGAGACAACATACTTGCACATGTTGAAAGTAACGCTTTTGATTTTGAAAGTGACTTAATTGTGAACCATGTGTCCCGCCTAGGCTATCTGCATGTTATTCAGGTTGAGACCATAATCGATATTTTATCTGGTTCTACAAAACCAACAAAGCTTTTACGACAGCCCAATTGTTGTCTAAATGACTGTGTTTGTGGATGTTTTTGTGTTTATTAGCTGTCTAACTTGGCTTAGAGATGACGAGGCTACGGTGAGTGCACTGCTTAGCAAAACAAAGTTGACTATACCTCAGTGGATGTCGCTCGTTTTATTTTAAATAAATGAATGCTAAATTGCCCGTGATTTTTAAGCGTCTTGGTTTGTTACACAAAACTTATATTGAGATATATTAAAACAGGACATTTCTCGCATTTTGTTCGCAGAAATACACCTTTATTAATTGTGAAGCTTGAGGGTCAACATGCCTGACTGTCGTGCAGCCTACAGATGCTCGAATTGCCTCTGTCATAAACTGAGACAACGTGGGATCACCTTTTATCTGCAACTGTTGCAAAGAAAACATAGACTTGTACATTTAGTCTGTTAATTGTTTTTATGTCAATAAAATTATTTGAAACTGTTGTTCCATTGCTGCTGCCACCTTCTTCTATACATTTTCTATCTGGTTTTATGAATGTTGAAAATCTCCTTCACAAGATCAATCCATTATCCATCTGTTATACTAACCTAATCTATTTTTTGATTATTTTCTAACTTTTTCAGAAAGCATTTCCAAAGAGCTTATAATTAAATTAAAGTCAATAAATAAGAAAAAAAAATTAAGAAATAGTGAAAATACAAAATAATTTGCTGGATTAAATTTTACTGCTGGCGGGCCGGTTCTGGCTGACAAATGTGATTTGGGTGTTGGTTGTCTTATTTGTTGGGGTGCACATTTTGTATTTGTGTTCTGTTAATGTGGGCTTTACCTCAAAAGAACCTTGAAATCTCATCTCTACACAAATCTTATTTCACAAACCAGGAATATAGATATAGATAGATTTATTCAATATAATAGGCTATTGTAATGTCCACAAATGGTCCGTTTTCACGCAGAGTTTGACCCCTTCAGTATCTGGTCTACATGGAGACAGGAGTTTACATGTATGTTGATATTCTATATTTTCACAGAATATCACATCTTCCTGGTCATAAGTAACGGTAATATATTCAGCTTAAAACACATTATTCACCCCCTACTTATTATATGTACAACGTTACACTATGTATACTTTAAGTTACTGTAGCTTACAGTAAATGTGATATCTATGAAAGATTAAATGCTTTGTGGAGTTAAATACTAGGAATTTCTGGGCCAAACCCATCCTATTTCACAGACACATCTGTGGCATTTATAACAAATCAAACATTTTGAAAATCGGTTGAAAATTGAGCAAGTTAAGAGTTATTTAAATAGTACATGCACCATACACCCCAATGTCAAGAAAGGGGGCAGCTGTCTGAGGTAAGATGGCTGCCACGTTCCTACGTTGCATCCCATTGGCGAACAGCGGGGACGAGGCATCTAGTTTTCTATACATGTCTATGCCCACACCCTCTTTGTCAATGACCGCTGATAAAACAGCACAAAAGTGGCATCAAGGGTGTTTCTCAATGCCAAGGAACCTTGCCTTGATGTCTTGGACCCGCCCCGGTTGCCTATGATACGTCATTGGGAGCCGCCAAGGTGTGTTCCAATGTTCATGTTCTACCGAGGCATCTGTTCTCTGTTTGTTAGCTGTTTAGCTAGCTGAGCAAGGATACATGGGAGGTGCCTTGTACTCTGGCCTTGGTCAAAAATTTCCCAGAATACACTGCAGTATTTTCAAAAGGATGGTGGATCAGGAGCCGGCAGCTACTTTGGGGGCAAATTTCAAGTTTAAATGTAAGTCAGCTAATTGTATCTATCAAGCTAATATCTAAAAGATTTTTTATACCCAAGCAGTTATCCATGGTTGGTTAGTTGCTGTTTCGGTGGCTAGTGGTTAGTAACTCGCTCATATATGTAATTTAACCAATATATACACAGTTTTAAAAGTAAAAGGCTATCTCCCGTGTCATGTGGCGCAAGTCTGTTCCATTTAACCGTTTTCTTTGACCAATGAAGGACAGTGTCCTCATCAGCAAGGCGTCTGGCCTTGCAAGACATCACCTTGCGAGGTCAGGCGCCTTGACATTGAGAAACACTCCAAGAGTTGCAGTAATTAAAGCAAAAATCTGGAGTATTTTCTCAGAGGACACGATCTAAAGGTGGAAAACTTTATTACACGTCTACGCTCCTCTCCCTGCTTTTGTGATACTGCCAGAAGCATCACCACTCATTCTTGAATTCCTTGACGTGAGTGTAATAATTATGTAAATATTACATGAGAGTAATAATTGTAATTGTGGAGATTAGAGCTCAAGAATGAGAGGCAGTGCTTCTGGCAGTACCAAAAAAGCAGGGAAAGGAGCCTAAGAGGTGTAATACATTTTTCACCTTTAGGTGGTGCCATCTGAGAGAAGAATCCAGATTTCTGCTTTAATTAATGCAACTACACATTCAATCAGAATTGAATCCTTTGACAACTTATGTGAGTCATGAAAACTCCTCATAAATCTCAAAATGTTTGGGGAAATGGCAACATGAACTCTGATGTAAGCCATAATTTTGTGAGTCTTTCTGATTAAAAACAAAGACCTGCAAAGGAGAAAATCGTGCACAGAAAAGGCAACATCTCGAAAAAGTTTAGGTGAAGGTAATTAAAGAAACAACAAATGGATCGGATCACAAAACATGTCATTTTGAAAGAAAACGTTGCTATATTTTGATATAAAATAGCATAAAATGGATCTTCAATAAAAGCTGAAAGGAAAACTTTGTTACTGACAAGTTGATGTGCCCAGAATGCTGTAGGGGTTTCAAACAGGAGTACAACTGCTTTCATCCCGAGATCTCTTAGGAAGGAACAAAGTCTATTTTTTAACACCACTTCACTGTCAGAGTGGAAGAAGCCTTTTTTTTTGTTTCAAAACCTCAAACTGATGAGTCTTCTCTATTTCTCTGTGAGTCTGCAAGTTGACTTTCCTGTTTTTGTTTTTGTTTTTCCTAATCCACAGCACAACACTTTGTTAATAAATGCTGAATATAATAAAACTTCAATTGAACACAACAAAACATCTCACAAGATCAACTAGAACACAATTACGTAAAATAATAAAAGACTGAATGGTCAAAGTGTTATCAGCAAGTTCATAAGAATGGAGGGAATAAACAAAAGCTAATGAGATTAATAACATGACTGAAAGCAGATTTTATAATAAATGAGTTGATGAGGAAGTGAAAGCGATAAAGCGAGAAATGTCTGCAGGAGGAATAAAGCTGGGGAGTAGATTGATCAGGTGCGAACATTAATAAACCAAGTCAGACAGAAGCTCGGAGAGACTAAAAGGCCTGCAGACAGAGAACAGCATGATAAAAGGACCCAGCTGCTTATAGAGAAAGGGCAAATCAAAAAAGATAAATGAAATACCACCCAAGCTCAGAAGAGAAGTGGAAAGTGCCTTCTAGATCAGAGCGCTATAGCGTGCAAAAATACTGAGAAGAAAGATGTGAGGAGTGATGAAACTGATTAAAAACCGTTCATAGATTGACTCTGTTGATTCATTCTACCTCAGGTTAGGAGGTACCTTTATTCACTGGAAAAATGGCTGAATTGAACACTTTTTTTTTGCTCTGACATCAAATTTGTGGATGAGATGTCTTCAAACAAAAAGAAGACCCACAAAGTATTTCTAAATGGGAACATAACTCACGAGTTCAGGTGGAAAAGGACAAAAGATGTAAAGAAATCTGAGGAGGTCCCGCAAAAAGACACCATTTGTGACAACAACAATAGTAATATAGGTCAACTCCTACTTGTGTCTTTTTGTTGCATGTTGACACAAAATGACACAAAGCAGAGATGAATTTACAAAATAACTTCATAAGAATGACAGCATATGAGGCTGGGTGGGTGACACACATAAATAAATCATCGTGTCTGATTTGGGAGAAAACACCTGGAAGTACCTGGTGACCTGATTAGTCAGACGTGTCTGAAGTAGCAGATCTCTGTCTGGTAGCAGGCTGTTACAGATGAGGTTCTGATTGGAGCGCACCGCTACACCGTGGCACACACACAGGGAGCGCAGCACCTCCAGCACCTGGAACAAAAGCTGTCAGTACTTCACGCAGCAAGAGCTCAATAAGTGGAAGTGATTAATTTCAGGCCACAGATGGCCGATGGCTACCGAAGGCGTTGCAGCGACTGCATGTTACCAGGAGCCAGCTCAGGGGCTAACTCTCAGAGACATATTTATTTTTTTTACCTTGTGGTTTCCATGTCCATGCTTCTGCAAAAATGAGATAATAGACTGAATATGTCCGTCTTTGACTACATTCAGTGCTTCTGGGCTTTCTACCAGGGCACAGTGAAGAACTTCCAAGACTCCTGTAAATGCAAAGATGTTTTATGGCAGAAGCACAGAAAAAAACCTGCGCATGGAGTATTTATCCATTTAATTCTTGTTGTTTAATCAGTCGGAATAACTTGGTTAGCAAAACTGAAAAGGAAATGCTCGCAAATGCAACCAACCAGAGGAGGCTTCCAGTCGGTCTAGCCTGCTGATTAGCCAGTCCACAGAACTAGAGAAATATGCACAGTTGATGCGATTTCCTCGAATCAGAGCAGCTGAGGGAGATTTTTTTAAAGAAAGAAAGAAAGAAATATGGAAAATTGTGATCCCCGTTTAAAAAGAACGATAATGTTTTAATTTTTCTTACCCAGAAGTTCATAGAAGCAGCTGAGAAGGACTTCCCACTCTTCTCCTGTGTTACTCTGAGCAGCTTCACCAAAATGAGAGGCGCTTCTATGTTGATGTAGATGATCGATGCACTCTAAAACCAAATCTATCACACCCTGGGAACAAAAGGATGTTTAGTACGTCAAATCACAGCTCTCCACCAGATGCGCAAATGGCACATAATGCAATCATGAGCTCAATAGTGCATCTCTTTCCAACATTTCAGACGCAATTAAGCAGGGAAAGTGTTCCACACACTTGGTTCTATGTGGTCAAAATAACCGGAGTATTGCAAGATCATTTGTCGTTCTGCCAGAAAATCGGCAGTATCTACTTATCTATCTGCTGTTCTGGGGCCTCATTTAAAAAGCTGCGAAGAATCATTACTAAAACCCTACTGAAGCACAGAAAAGAAATTCTTACGCAAACTAATTTTCCAAACTATAAAACACTGCTTACACATGGCTGCATTTCCTGTAAAACAGGTAAAGACCTCCCACTAAAGTTCTTACCTGAACCAAAAATCTATTAAGTGCAGTTTCTGGTCAGCAGAGGGCTGCAGAGCATTATCCAATGAGAAACTGGTCAAGTTCATGGCTCAAGAACCACTGAATCCAGTTTGAAAGCAGCAGCTGAAAAGGTTTAAAACTCTTTAGTGCTGTTGCACGAGTCTTGCTTCCGTTTTGATTTCCTGTCTGGCTCTTTCTGATTTGCTGAGCTGTATGTTCTCTGGAAGCGTCGTGCATAGGCCAAAGCGTAAATTTAGGGGAGCAAATTAATGCAATGCAACACTACGCTTTTTGGACTTATCAAAAATGTGCCACATTGTGACCATTGGGGAAAAAAAAAAACATAGACGCCAACCACGGCTAGCTGTTTACTATATGCTTTCCAAACCTTATGCAATGGTTCCACATCCAGTGGAAAGCCAGGATAATAAACACTAAAAATGTGCAGTAACATTTTGAATTTGGGTGTGTTTACCTCTTCTTGAAACATGTTCTGTCGTTTCTTTAATGCTGTCATCTTTTTCTGTTTGGCTTCATGTCCGATCTCCTCCATCGGAGGTTGGAAATAGTTGATTAGATCCTGAAGACTGTGAGTAATGATCTCCATGGGCAAGTTGGCTTCATGAGTCAAACTGTCCAGATTCCTAGGAGGAAAACAGAGAGATGGTTGTTAATTTAGTCTTTGAATTTCATTGCTTAATTTGAAGTCAGAGTTCACTTCCCAATAAGAATTGCTCTGTGATATTTCTGTTTTAAATCCATTATCTAATATAGAAATTATACAAGTCTGATATTTTTATTTTTTAATAATTAGTCAGTTGATCATGTCATGAGAAACAACTTCTTTTTGAGTCGTGTGCTTTTATAACAAGCACTCAGCTTCAAACCAGTGACACAATGAAACTGTAGTGAGTACCTGAGAAAGCAAGTGAACAAAGAGACGGCGCTCCAGATGAGTCTAGCGGTGTGCGACTCTTCTCTTTGTGATCGAGACAGGGTCAGTCCATCGTCCATGTGGCCCTCGCTGTGCAAAATGGCCTGAAAACACGTTTTTTCTGATCATTTGTTGATTTTATATGAAAATAGCAAAATCAAAGTGATTTAAATTTGCATGATTTGCCTTCCGCTGAACTCCTCCCAGACGACACTTGGCATCAGCTGCTTGGTAGGTTAGCCACAGCCCAGAGTTCACATGCTGAATGTAGCAAACCGAGTCTCCATACTTGATCTCTGGGGTTCCCATTCCATCAGTGTTGGTCCTCTTATCGGTGTCAAGCCTCTCCTGCGGGGAAAGTGTGAAGTTAAATATACTACATTATGTCCAAATGGCACACAAGTCTCATGGCTAATTAAAAACTCAGGATGTTCCTGACTTTTGAAGATCTGAAGCAAAAAGAGGTTGTGTTGATGTCCGCCTTTTCGCGATCAACCAGATGGAGGCCTTTTTCTTCTGTAAGACCCAGAAACCTCCCAGTGGTTACATGGCACAGTCTAAAGGGCTCGCCCCAGCTTGTGTGTCTACCACTCCAGCTATAAAGCATCAAGAAGGTTGTTTAGAATCTTATAACAGTCACAGAAAGATCCTTTTTCTGTTTAATAGTATTGTTTAACCCAAAAATGAGTGGATCATCTGATTTTTGGAGCACTCACACAACACGATGGATTTCCAGCCTCCAGAGGGAGCGGGCATAGCTTGAGACTGATCCAGCCTCATAATGCACGACTCTAGGTCAAGAAAACAACAATAGTTGGGCTTGTAAATAAAATTTTACATTGCAGACTTTAGAGAGGTTTGTGTTTTTGTAGGGGTGGGAATTTAACACATTAGTTACAATTAATTAATAAGAAAAAAGTAATGTGCGGTTACAAAAATATACTCATTAGTCATTCGTGCCACACTAAAATGATTTTTAATTAAATAAATTACTTTGTAATTTGTAAAATTTGTCTTGAACGATTAAAATGTGATTAATCAAGACTAATTACAAAGCCTCTGATTAATTAGATTAATTTTTTACTTGAGTCCCACCTCTAGTTTTTTACTGACCTGTGGAGCTCCACTTCATGATCTGCAGAAAGAACAGTCAGACATGCAGCACTGTGCTGGTGGAGCAGCCTTAAGGTTTCACCTCCCTTCAGATATCCTGGAACAAAAACAATAAACACAAACGTTGTATTCAAATAAATTCTTACTTAACCGGTTAAGCAAAAATTCGCTAAAACCAAAGTAGCTTTAGCTTTTTCTAAATATCAAATTTTATGAGAAAATCTGCAATTTGCGTCTGGAAAGCAGATTTTCTTCAGTAGCTATCAGCTTATGCAGACTGGAAGATTGTTTTATTTTAAGCTTTTTTTATTCTTACCGACAGTGAAAACCTCAACTGAATTAAATTGTTTAAAATTCCCTTATTTTGTTCAAGATTAAAATGTAGTCAAATTTAAAGCTGCTCTAATGCAAACCTCATTCAACAAACATCCTGAGCATGTTTAGGCATCTTATACTTGTTCCAAATTTAAATTATGCACTTTCCAGGAAATGTTTTGACATTTGTGATGTTTTACATGACATATGTTACTTTCTACCCTGGTCAAAGTTTTTAGATAATGTTACCTAACTAGTTTCAGTCAATGTTTCAACTGTCAAGTACATGAAAACCAGTATTCACATTCAGCACTCACATAAAAGGAATGATACCAGGATTTTAAAAGATTTCTGTTGAGGTTGAAGTTATACTTAAGTGAATTTACCCAAATAAAGTAATAAAGTACTTTTACATTTGTTCAAGTCATGTAACATTACAGCCAAATGTTTAAGCTGCACCACTGTACTACCCCTAAAGTTGCACCAAGCAGGTTTTTATGCTGCACCCACAGGCGCTGCCACTTAACGCAATTAAAAGCTGCACACAGCCAGGCCAATGAAAAGGCACAGGGGCATAGGCCGGGACGTACAAGCATCCAGTCAGTCAGACTGGCACAGCAACATTTGTTTTTCTGCTGGGTGCTTTATTTCTTTAAATGGCAGGGACCATAACAAAAAAACATTAAAATTTGGAAAACAATAGGCAACCTGTTCTATTCTCATATATGCTTAAAGAAAATGAACGTAATTTAGTGCAATGCAAATACATTAAAGAACCACATTAGATGGTACAAACAAAGTCAGCATGGTAAATGATTAAAATTATCATCAAACTGCAGTCAAATACACTATCTGGATGGTGCAATTTATCCAGATAAGTTTTTTTCTTTGTGCTATTTAGAACAATGACTAGCCAAAAAAATGTCAGGATCAGAAGTTAAAGGTCAGCTAATAGAAAATTACTCCAGTGAGGTATAAAAGTCCAAAATTTGACTCAAAGTCTCTTTCCGGAGTATTTTTCTTATCTGATACCACCATCTAGTGGCTGACAAGCATATCACACAAATACTTTCTTATTCAGCTTTTTTAAGATGGTAACTTCATGTTTCTAGTTTATTTATGTCCGTTTGTAGCTGACAAGCAGAGCTAAAACATGTTGTTTTACAAGTACTATTCTCATATCATGTGTTCTCATATATTTATATTTTAGAGACTTACTTGTTTGTGAAAAGTTCATCAACCAAGGTATTCCTTAAATTTGAAGAATTTAAGCAGTAGTTTAACGCTATTGGTTAGTTCTGGTCAGTGCTCAGTTTCCTATTTCACGGAGCTTTGCGGGGCAGGGGGCATGCTTAGCTAAAAAAATTAAATGATGTATTGCTTACATTATATCACAGTACATGATAAGATCACTTTTATGGATTTCTGAAAAATCATACATAATTTCTAAAAGGGGAAAACTCCGGAAAGCTACTTTACGTTTGTTTTGTTTTTTAATCAAGCATTTTCTTTTTTTTTTTGTGTCCTGTCTGGCGTTGAAGCAAACAAAATTAATGTCTGAATGCTGGTGACAAGCCTCACAGATTTACTCTCAGGTGGAGCATCAAAGCATCTGCTATTAATGTCACGCCTGATACTTAAAACTATTGTTATTGTTTTTGAATGCTTGTAATTCCGACCAGACACGGAGACAGAGGTGTAAGAGAAAGGAAGAGACAAAAGGAGGGGGGGGGGGGGGGGGGTCCACAAAAATAAACAATCAATGATGAACAAGAGTCTGCTTCTAGACCTGCAGAAGGAGAAAAAAAGAAAAGGGACACACAACAACACAACAGGTGCAAACTATCACTGCGTCAACCAGATGAGGAAATACAAAATCAACATTGTTTAACTGAACAATCACGATAATAAATCACAGTGCATTAAGTGCCAACCACAGCCTTAAGACATGTGTTGAACGTGCCCGAGTCCATACTTATGAGAGCACCATGTGAGCACCTGTGTGCGTACACGCGCTTGTTTATGTAAGGTTTCTCTATAGGAGCGTCCAATAGAGAGTGTGAGAGATCACAGATCTGCCCCCCAAAGATGTGTAGGAGATGGAGGGAGCTCCAAGTCTCAGAGATCCAGGAGCTGCCCCAGAGCGCAGGGACCCCAGGGAGACTGCAATCAGAAAGGCCCCTGCCCCCCTCGAGCGGCGCAGAGGATCGCCCTGGGGGGCCACAACCAGCAGCCGGCAGAGTCCCGGGAGATATCAGCAGCAAGCTCACAGGCTCGCCCGCAGCCTCCCACCCCCAAGTCAGCTGAGCCCGGAACCCAGCGACCCGGGACCCAGGGGGGGACACCAGGCAGCCACCAGAATTAATCAAGCATTTTCAAGGATTTCAAGTGCCTAAAATAACTCTGTTATCATATTTGATGGAAGCAAGTTGTTGTTCAGTCAAAACTTCAAAATGGCAAAATTTGGAAAACAAATTAGCTTAAAACATTCTTGCATACCTTTTACCAACGTTCTAACATAGTACCACTATAAATATATTGTGGACATTAAAAAAATTAAAAAATTGTAGATCGTGGTTCTCTTGCGTTTGTCTAAAATTTGCCAACACTAAAAGCAACTATTGGACCATCCGGTTGTCATTCTCAACGAACCGTCCTCCATTAATTACACGCTCGTGTAGTGAGCAACAGAACACCACTGGTGTGAAAGGTTCTCCACTCAATAATATCAGAGAAGAATAAACACCTGGTTGCTACCACTTCAACTTTAGAAAAAACTACCAAAGTCCCAAAAAGAAAAACACCAATTAAAGTCATGAGCAACAAAAGAAGCTTGGATCTAGAAAACAGCGACTGGTGTTTAGCACTATCTCATTTCCTCTGGTAATGTGGGTTTCCAGGTTCTCACAGAAGCATCTCAGGGAAGATACCTGAGGGGAGGGGTGATTGTTGCGTAATCGTGTTTGCATTCAAAAGCTAGCTTGATCTGTAGATTCGCTATAGCACCTTTTGATTTCACTTCAATTTTCAACAACCCTATAAAGTATGTATAACATATACATTGTTTTTTATGTTGTCCCTGGTTTCTGAATAGGGGGTAAAGGGGCTAAAAAAATAAAGAAAAAGATAAATCCCAGTTCGAGCTCATGGGGAAGGATGAAAACAGAAAGCGAAGTCACAGTTCAGCTTTCAACACAACAACAGTAGCTTAACGCATAAATCCAAGCCTGTCTCTGACAGGTCAAAGTTCAAAAACATCTGTTAAGCTGTGGTAAAAACAGATGTTTGAAATAGTTATATTTATATTTTTTATTCCAACATGTCATATAAGTTACATCACTTTAAAAATAATCTGCTTATCGCCACGTTTAAAAAAGCAAAAACAGAAAAAGTGACTTGCCTTGAGCAACGGCACTTCCAGAGCAGATGGGAGCAACACTCCACAGAGTCTGCTGGAAGGCTGCATCGACAGTCAGACTGTCGCTCAAGTGTTTGTTGTCAGAAACGCAGCCAAAGGACAGATGCTGGGAAGAAAGAGAATGAGAGTAAGAGAAATGGGCTCATCAGGAGCAAAAAAACAAAAAAGAAAAAAAGAAGAAAGAAACACGGCTTCTGATTTTTCCACCACAATAACTGTTATCACAAACAATTATGCAAAACAACTGATCTGGGGGAGCGAGAATACTGACAGTTCTGCATGAAATGAGTGGAAAGTTAAGCAGCTAGAGCTTTCTGATGGAGAAAGAATGTCAGTGGAGATAAGTGAATTACTTTTATTATTAAATATTTGTATATTTTATATTAATACTGGTTAAATAATTTTTATGAATCTGTTTTCAGAGACTCACCAGGTATCTCTCGGAGGACACGCTAACCAGGATGAGGTCATCCCCCACACGCACCTTCTCACCCTCTGACCTTTGCCTGGATGCTGGATGGACTGTCCACCAACATGCCTCTCCTGAGTCACAAGCAGAATTTCAATGAAGAGAAACATCTAAGCCCAAAACCCACTCACACTCTGAAGAGCACACACAATTATTAATGAAAGGTAGATTTAATCTGGAAAGAGGAAACTGAGGTAAAAATATACAAACCTTCTCTGTCTTCTTGGAGACCAACATCAAAAGACAGTTTGTCCGGTGAAGACTCAGAAGAAGACAAGCAGCTGAGATACTGAAGGACAAATATTTTGTTTTTCAAATGCTGTATATATTGTTTTGATTTTGGATGATAATGCACTGATTTGTTTACAAGAGTATTAATAAGAATTCACCATGCTGCTGTATGAGTGTAAGAACAACACCGCCTGGTCGTAGAGGAGAGTACGATGACTTACACCAGCTCCCACCTGTAGAGCTCAAGAGATCAGCGTGAATAAACTGAAAAGCATTTCATTAAACTCTTTTAAATTATAAAAACAACTAAATCCCTTCATTTCCCCCCGAAAATCTTATTTAAACACATTTTTATCAAAGATCGCTCAACTGTCTTGTATATTAAACCTGACAAAGGTCAGAAGTGTTTAAATCCATGGCTATTTTAGTCATTTATGGAGCAGGAAGTCACCATATTTGGAGAAGGATGTGACATAAAACCCTAGAAATCTAATCAAAGAAGAACTTTCTTTAAGAAAAAGCAACATTTTTACAGCTGAACTGGTTTTACCACCACTGATCCTTTAAGGTGGTTCTAGCTGAAAGGCCTAAAACCTTTACAACTGTGATAGAAGTGTTTTATCTCTCTCTCTCTCACTAATTACAACACACTAAGAGCCACAAAACCTGCTTAAGCAGGAACATTTGAATAAATATTCTTGTAAAATTTGACCATTTCATGTCCTAAAGTTTGTTATTATCACTTATTTATTTTTTTAATATCAGAAAAGAAGAAACTAGTATTTTATATAAGAAATGTATAAATGTTATAAATATATTAGGAAATTACATGTATTTCTAATACAGAATTGTTTCAGTTCAAAATAAGAAGAAAATAGAAAAAAATTATATATATATATATATATATATATATATATATATATATATATATATACACACACACACACACACACACACACACACACACACACACACACACAGGTCCTTAAAAAGTCTTAAAAGTCTTAAATTGGCTTTTCTAAATTTAAGGCCTTAAGAATCCTTAAAAATGACAAATAACCCTTAAATACAGATTCCAAATGTATTAAATGACCAAAGACCCAATAAACCAGATTCTTTTATTTCTATAAAATTTTTGTAAATTTCTAGTTAGTGTTCAGCGTTTTTTGTGTATGATATTGGCAAAAGCGGAACCGTACACATGCAGTTGGTTGTAAAAGGAGGCTATTTTTAGTGTGGGTGTGAAGCGGCTGGGATGAGGATCAGCACCTCTAAATCTGAGACCAGGATTCTCGACCAGAAAAGGGTGGCTTGCCAACTCCGGGTCGGGAGAGATGTCCTACCTCAAGTGGAGGAGTTTAAGTATCTCAGGGTCTTATTCACGAGTGAGGGTAGGAGGGATCGGGAGATCGACAGGCGGATTGGTTCGGCGTCTGCAGTGATGCAGACGTTGAGCCGATCTGTCATGGGGAAGAGGGAGCTGAGCCAGAAAGCCAGGCTCTCGATTTACCGGTCGATCTACATCCCAATCCTCACCTATGGTCATGAGCTTTGGGTAATGACCGAAAGAACGAGATCGCGGATACAAGCGGCCGAAATGAGTTTCCTCTGTAGGGTGGCCGGGCTCAGCCTTAGACATGGGATGAGGAGCTCGGACATTCGGGAGGGACTCGGAGTAGAACCACTGCTCCTCCGGATCGAAAGGAGTCCGTTGAGGTGGTTTGGGCATCTGGTATCTGGCATCTGGCATTTGGGCGTCTGGTCTTCAATCAGCCAAAAAGAGCACACGTCGCCCCTCTGTTCATTGAGCTCCACTACCGCTAGCAGCACGCATCAAATTCAAATTGCTAACACTAGCATACAAAGTCCGAGATGGTACGGCTCCCATCTACCTGAATCCTCTTGCAAAGGCTTACGTCTCGGCCCGGCCGCTCCGGTCATCACAGGATCATCGGCTAGCAGTGCCTACACCACGCTCAGGACAATCCAGACTTTTCTCATGCATCGTTCCACAAATGTGGAATGACCTTCCAAGCACTACTAGAACAGCGGCTTCCTTTTCAATTTTCAAGAAACTCCTGAAGACCCTGCTCTTCAGAGAGCATCTTCTTAACTACCATCCTCCCTGCACCCATCCCCCCTCTCTACTGTCCACTCCTTTGTTCCCTCCTCTCCATGATTGATGTCAAGTTGTTGTTATTGTTGTTGTTAGCCTCAAGGGCAATATGCCGATTATCACTTGTAAGTCGCTTTGGACAAAAGCGTCTGCTAAATACATAAACATAAACATCTGGTCAGGATGCCTCCTGGACGCCTCCCTGGGAAGGTGTTTCAGGCATGTCCTGCCGGCAGGAGGCCCCCGGGTCGATCCAGGACACGTTGGAGAGGTTACATCTCCAATCTGGTCCGGGAACACCTTGGGGTCTTGCCGGAGGAGCTGGTGGAGGTGGCTGGGGAGAGGACGGTCTGGAGCGCCTTAGTTGGGATGCTGCCCCTGCAACCTGGACCCGGATAAGCGGAGGAAGACGATGACGACGGCTATTTTTAGATGAGCACATTAGCTGTTTAAGCTAGTGGGAGCTTGCGCCATGGGGAAGGGCAAGTTTAATGGTAACTGGATGGCTAATCCCACGTTCGCGACATGGTTAGCACCGGTTCCAGGCAATAGCTGGAAATTATAGCTTAAATTTATTTTTAAAAATAGCTTAAATTTGGTCAAAGTGGCCTTAAAAAAGGTCTTAAAAAGTCTTAAATGTGGCTCCCTTGAACCTGCAGATACCCTGATATATATATAAACACACACACACATAAATAAATATAAAGTTGTTTGTTATTGTAAATAACTATGTGTAACCTGTAAAATGTGCTGTGTGTATTTCTATGATTTTTTTCAGACTTTTCACATCTCTCAAAATGCTAATTAGCTAATCCACTACCAAAATAAAAGCAGTATTGCCTTAAGTAGCTCTGTTTGGATGAAAAAGTAACATTCATTTAACAGTGGAAAACGCTAAAATTTTATCAATCAAAATTGGACCAAATATTATACAAATAATATTAATTCATTGTTATTTTGTTATTCAAGGGTCAAATTGGACTTGTATTTTTATGACAGGTCATTTTTTTTAACTGTCGCATAAAGCAGCGCTTATTTCCATGACGCAACAGAGGAAGATTCTGTTCCAAATGCCGTTCTCGTCCTCCCATATTCAGTAGAACGGACTTCCTGCTGTCCTTGCCAAGAATGTACTTGTCAAGCACACAAGAACACACTAGCGTTCTTGGGTATTGAGAAACGGCCCGTTTGTGTTGAGCATTGGTGGTTCTATGGGGGGGCCCAGAAGGGCATTGGTCCTTGCTGAAATCTGATTGGCCCCCTGAAAGGCCACTTTTCTGTCTCTTGTCTATTCTTTGCTCCATGATCAGATTATAGGTGGATGCAATTTTAAGTAAGGACACTAGTGATGCTAATGAGTCAAAGGTTTTCCAGTGTGAAACTTTGTGAAAGGATGTTAGACTAATACTTGCCCCCTCTATAAATATTGTGGGCCTCTTAATGGCCCCATACTTGGAAAAATCCTAGATCTGCCCCTGATTTAGGGTGAATTAGCACAAATTATTCAGTTAAAAAGCCTCCTTTGTAATGTAGACATTAACAGCATTTTTATGTAATGCTCATCCATTGTATCACACCTTAAAATGTAGGACTTGTTATTAAAAAGTCCCAATGTATTATAGAACAAACATAGACATGAATGGACCAGACCATCACCTCTGATGCCAGTTGTTCGCTGTGAGCCAGCATTTCCTGCAGGGCTCGAACCGAGAGGCACTGGGCCAAGACGAAGCTGCATACAGACAAGTCTGGTGGAACATTCTGGCAGACAATAAAAAAAACTTGGTTTGTTATCTGTTTGCTTCCTTGCAGACCAGTGGTGCAGCAACAGAATTAGACAATAAAATTCAGTCTGGTATACAATTAATATTCACTCTAAAAATATTTCAAACAAGTTCTTGAATAGGAAATAAAAACATATAAACTACACCAAACAATCATGTAAATTTGAATATTTTCTAAAACATATTTCAAAATCTAAGTTATAATATGAATTTATACTGTTACATAATCTCATGGCATTTCTATAGCTTTATTTTTTTAAATTTCAGCCATCTTTATGTTAGAAAAGCTGACAATGGAGCAGTGATGAGGAACAGTCACGGAGGTGCAGCTCTTTACCTTGCAGTTTGAAGTGGGCTCAAGCCTGCAAAGCCTGCTGCCAAATCCTTCAGCAGCAAGACACAGCTTCAGATTTTCCTCTTGGGAGGTGAAGGTGCTCTGCAAAACCACCTCATCTCCCTGAGAAAAAGGCACAAAAAGTATGTCAGACAGCAACACGTTATTATTCTATCATCATCTAATTTTAGTAGAACCAATTGGGGAATGCATTTGTGATTTACACAGAAACGGTGTCTCATTAAAACTGTGTGTACTGTAAGAAGATCTCCACCACTTAAAGTTAATCTTATCTCCACTCAAATGCCACATGCACCACGTCAAACCAATTACACATCTCTATCTATTTAAAGAACTGCAGAAAAGACAACAGATGACCAGGAATACCAACACCTCTCTGTCCCCACGATCCGAACCTCCATTTTGGGAAGGAGCTACATTATCTGACCCCTGATTCTCCATACTTTCCACTCTGCATATCAGCAGGACTCTGCAATCACTCAAACACGAGGCCTGATGCTGAGATATGAGGCCGATGGCTCCAGGAATCAGCACGTCAACAGTTTATCTGGCATGTGAAACTTTATTATGATACAAAAGGAGGAAGTCTTTCAAAAATAAGGAATTTTGTCTCTAAAACACTTATCCTGCTAAATATCTAAGTTGCCTGCGTCACTAATTTTTTAAATAAATGAAATTAGCCACCTTGCATTAAATACAGAATAATTTGCATACTTTATTAAATATATCCTTTTTAATTGGAATTATTTTTCAATCTCATTAAAGGCAAAATTTTAAATATTTGGGGCAATAAATTCTGTTTAATTAATCATCAACCAACTAAAATGATTATTAACCAAAATTCCAACTACAACTTAGTAATTTTATTTAATTAACTACATTATTCTACCTATCTGTTTTTGTGTCTCTTTTCCAGTTTGGACACACCCTTATCAGGAAGTAAAGATTACAGGCTGGCAGAAAATGGTCTGTTTTGGGTGAAAAAAATATATAAAAATGTAATCAAAGATGTCCAAAATAACAGGATAAGAAATACCTTGGGGTTTTGTTCTTTCGTGAAATTGAATACAAATACTTTGTTATTAGATTGAACTCATCATACTTCATTTAAGTCTGGAAGTTTTACATAAAAAATTGACTTGGCTTTTATATATGTAAAGAAAGCATGAAAAATATAAATATGGATAAATTGTGGAAGACATTGTATCAGCAATAATTTCTAAATAAAACAGCTAAAGCAGCTCCCATCTCCAAAAAGTAAATGAATTCCTTAATTTAGCTTCAAGCAGCAGCAGAAATTTGTGTCCCGCCTTGAGAACAATCAAAACAGTCAGACTGACTTTTTGAGAAACACGACTCACCGTTCGTAAGAACTGGTCTTCATCATCACCCTCTCCAGTGATTTTCACCATTTTAACCAAAGATCCACATCCGACCGGATGGACCAGCTGATGATCCTGAGATCAGAGAACTGCAGAAGAAGAAGAGAAGAAGAGGAAGAAAGTGTACTGTTAGTCTGAGGGAGGAGTCTACCTCAACACCTGATGACTCGTTTCATTTTGGTTAGTTTAACTTTGCTGATTTCAGCTCTGATTCCCTCTGTTAATTATCTGCTGTCTATAGGGTGAATTCATTCTTGCCTAATTGAGGTTTTTAAATGTGATAAAGAAAAAAAATATTATCTTTTAATTTTAATAAACTGCATCAATATCTTCATATATCTGTAGAATTATAGACTGAACAAACCTTGAATTTCACTGTGTGCTGGTGCAAAACTGCTTGAGTTTGTGTCACTTTTGTCTCTTCCTGCAACCCCCCACCCCCCACCCCCCACCCCCACCCCACCACCACCACCACACACCCCCAGCCACTCGAGGCAGATGGCCGACTTTTCTGGGTCTGGTTGTGCTGGAGGTCTTTTTCCTTTTTCTTCACAATCACCATCCCTCCTGCATTTCTCAGGAGGAGGAACTCAATCAGAGTCAGGACTCATAACCCTTCAGCTAAAGATTTTTTATTTTAAAGCAGAAATTTTATTACAGCTGAGTTTCTATTAAATTTTATTGAATTGAGTAAAACTGAACTACTTGTCATCCCAGCAAAACCATCCATACAGCACAATATCTCAATCCAAAATGACTTCCTATCTCTGGCTCTTAAGGCAGTTCGAAATCTGGGTGTTGTGATTGATGAACACCTGACCTTTAAAGATCATGTTGCCTCTGTTGCTCGTCATGCCGCTTTGCGCTGTATAACATACGAAAGATCAGACCATACCTGACACAACATGCCACCCAGCTCCTGGTGCAATCTACTGTCATCTCCCGCCTCAATTACTGCAAAGCCCTTCTAACTGGTCTTCCAGCCTGTACTGTGAGACCTCTTCAAATGGTCCAGAATGCAGCGGCATGTCTGGTCTTCAATCAGCCAAAAAGAGCACACGTCACCCCTCTGTTCATTGAGCTCCACTGGCTACCGCTAGCAGCACGCATCAAATTCAAATTGCTAACACTAGCATACAAAGTCCAAGATGGTACGGCTCCCATCTACCTGAATCCTCTTGCAAAGGGTTACGTCTCGGCCCGGCCGCTCCGGTCATCATAGGATTGTCGGCTAGCAGTGCCTACACCATGCTCAGGACAATCCAGACTCTTCTCATGCATCGTTCCACAAATGTGGAATGACCTTCCAAGCACTACCAGAAGAGGGGCTTCGTTTTTTTCAAGAAACTCCTGAAGACCCTGCTCTTCAGAGAGCATCTTCTGAACTAGCACCCTCCCTGCACCCGTCCCCCTCTCTACTGTCCACTCCTTGTTCCCTACTCTCCATGATTGATGTCAATGTTGTTGTTATTGTTGTTGTTGTTAGCCTCAAGGGCAACATGCCGATTATTACTTGTAAGTCGCTTTGGACAAAAGCGTCTGCTTAATACATAAACATAAACATAAAATAATAACAAAAACATTAACACATTTCCTCTTGATATTTAAAGCAGGTTTTGTGGTTTTTCTGCTCCAACAGGCTTGATTCAGTGGTTGAAACACCTGTTCAGCAGCTCATCAGGCTCTGCAGAAGCCTCTTAACTAGCTGCTGATTGAAATCAGGTGTGTTGAAAGAGAGTTCAAACTAAAACATGCAGGATACTGGCCCTCCAGGACCAGGATTGGACACCCCTGGGAGTTGTCTATGTTTTTAATGCCCAAGTCTTTTTTATTATCATGTCAACAGGTTATCTGAAGCTTGTCAAACTAGCTGAAAACATTACTAGCAGAACTTGAGCAAAAGTAGTAAACTTAAAGTTCATTTTATCAAGTATACGTGAGGAAAAGTAAAAGTATAGCAAATATACTATGGACCATTTACTTGTAAAATACTAGCAATTATTAAAATGGAACATTTTTAAGTTTATTGATTTATATTTTAAAGTTATGGAACTCGAACACCAGTGACATCTAGTGAGTGGAGGTTGTAGTTGCAACAATGGAACACGGTTTCTAGCCATCGGGATACCAGGTTTGCTGCCAATAACTGATTTTTTTTATTTGGGTCCCTCTTTTGTAGGCTTCATCTAAACTCACTCTGGTTTTAGATTTTTTTATGGTCGCTCCTCTTCTGAGCAAGATAATGACATCTTCTTTCAAGCAGCTGCTTGACTTGCAAAGTCCGCAATTTTCCACAGTGCCAGCATTGCTGTGCCGGGTGGACTGTTTACCGTATTTGGCAATGGTGCTCACTGTTGGCTCGTAGATGTAAACATAAACCCAGTGCCATGCCCGACAAAATAAATATTTGATAATTTTTTATTTAAAATACAGCTTTTAAAGGAAATACTGTACCTTCATTCTGCACTCTTCTAAATGCCCTGTGGAGGTTTTATTTCTAAAAATATAGCTTTTTATAAAATTGTTCAATATTCAGATTTTAGGGCTGCGCAATGGCGCAGTGGTTAGTGCTGTTGCCTTGCATCAAGAAGGTCCTGCGTTCACTTCTCAGCCTGGGATCTTTCTGCATGGAGTTTGCATGTTCTCCCTGTGCATGCGTGGGTTCTCCGGCTTCCTCCCACAGTCCAAAAACATGAATGTTAGGTTAATTGGGCTGTCTAAATTGTGTGTGTGTGTGTGTGTGTGTGTGTGTGTGTGTGTGTGTGTGTGTGTGTGTGTGTGTGTGTGTGTGTGTGTGTGTGCTCACCTATGGTCATGAGCTTTGGGTAGTGACTGAAAGAACGGGATTGCGGATATAAGAGACAAAAATGAGTTTACTCCGAAGGGTGGCTGGGTTCTCCCTTAGAGATAGGGTTCGAAGCTCGGTCATCTGGGAGGGGCTCGGAGTAGACCCGCTGCTCCTCCACATCGAGAGGAGCCAGTTGAGGTGGCTCGGGCATCTGGTCAGGATGCCTCCTGGACGCCTCCCTGGTGAGGTTTTCCAGGCACGTCCAACCGGGAGGACCCAGGACACGGTGGAGGGACTATGTCTCTCACCTGGTCAGGGAACGCCTTGTGATTCCCCCAGAGGAGCTGGCCCAAGTGGCTGGGGAGAGGGAAGTCTGGGCCTCTCGCCTTAGGCTACTGCCCCCCGCAACCCGACTCCAGTTCTCCCATTTTTCAAGAACTGAACTTAAACATCTGAAAAATTGTCTACATACACAAAAGACCCATGGCTCAAATATTGTTCTGAAATCTGTCTACATGTGTGTTAGTGAGCACTTTTCCTTTACCAAGATCATCCATCCCACCACACAGGTGTGGCATATCAAGGGGCTGATTAGACAGCATGAATAATGTACAGGTGTGCCTTAGACTGCCCACAATAAAAGGCCACCCTGATATGTGCACAGTTTTGCTTTATGGGGTGGTGGGGCAGAAAACCAGTCAGCATCTGGTGTTGCCACCATTTTCCTCACGCAGACAACACATCTCCGTTGCATAGAGTTGATCAGCTTGTTGACTGTGGCCAGCCTCTTCAATAGCTGTGTGAAGTTGCTGAATATTGGCAGGAACTGGAACACGCTGTCGCACACGCCGATCCATGGCATCCCAAACATGCTCAATGGATGACATGTCTGGTGAGTCTGCTGGCCACACAAGAACGGGGATGTTTTCAGCGTCCAGGAATTGTGTACAGATCCTTGCAATATGGGGCCTTGGGTCATCATGCTGCAACATGAGGTGATGGTCGTGGATGAATGGCAAAACAATGGGCCTCAGGATCTCATCACGGTACCTCTGTGCATTCAAAATGCCATCAATAAAATGCACCTGTGTTCATTGTCCATAACATGTGCCTGCCCATACCAGTACCCCACCACCACCATGGGCCACTTGTTCAACAACATTTACATCAGCAAACTGCTCATCCACACAACGCCACACACGCAGTCTGCCATCTGCCCTAAACAGTGAAAACTGGGACTCATCTTTGAATAGAAGGCCCCTATAACGTGCCAACAAATTTAAGTGTTTGCCCATCAACGTCGGTTATGACGACGGACTGCAGTCAGGTCCAGACCCCGATGAGGACGACGAGCATGCAGATGAGCTTCCCTGAGACGGTTTCTGACAGTTTGAGCAGAAATTCTCTGGTTATGCAAACCGATTGTTGCTGCAGCTGTCTGGGTGGCTGGACTCAGGCGATCCTGGAGCTAAATATGCTAGATGTGAAGGTAATGGGCTGGTGTGGTCACACGTGATCTGCAGTTGTGAGGCCGGTTGAATGTAGTGCCAAATTCTCTGAAACACCTTTGGAGACGGCTTTCGGTAGAGAACTGAACATTCATTTCACGAGCAACAACTCTGGTAGACATTCCTTCAGCCAGCATGCCAATTGCATGCTCCCTCAAAGGTTGTGACATCTGTGGCATTGTGCTGTTTGATCAAACTACACGTTTCAGGGTGTCCTTAATTGTGGGCAGTGAAGGCACACCTGTATATTATTCATGCCTTCTAATCAGCCCCTTGATATGCCACACCTGTGAGGTGGGATGGATTATCTTGGTAAAGGAAAAGTGCTCACTAACACACATGTAGACAGATTTCAGGGCAATATTTGAATCACGGGTCTTTTGTGCATGTAGAAAAAAGTTTCAGATGTTTGAGTTCAGCTCATGAAAAATGGGAGAAAAAACAAAAGTGTTGTATTTATATTTTTGTTCAGTGTAGAATAGAAGCACCTCCTCACGTGCAAGAGAGAACTGTTGTTGGAGGAGTAGCGGCTCTACTAAGTGCCCCTCCCAGACATTGGAGCTTCTTCACTTATAGCAGCCTGAGTGGGGATGGGTGGGCGTAGCTAGCTCCAACTTTTTTCTTTAAGTGACAGAATTCTGAAGCGGCTCACTCTGGAAGGTACTGAAACATTCTAAAATAAAACAACTGAAATCACTTAATGTAAGAGGGATTTAGTGCAAATAACTTAATGAACATGTTTGATATGGACCATAGCACTAATATAAACAAAGAACAAACTCATAATGTGCTCCCTTTAATGCTACCATTTCTACACCAACTACAAATTGTTGTTGTACTGGTTGAATAACTTGATAAATGAGATGATTCATGTTAAATGTGGTTAATTTCTGGGATCTTATTGCTCCAAATGTCTGTTTCCAAAGATATTTGCAACTCAGTCTCCCAACCCTTCAAGAGAGAAATTCAGAATTTCTAATTAGACTAACTTATTTGTAGCAAAAGGGTTAGTCATTCACTCTGCTCCCTCTGCATGGAACAGGCTGCAGGAAAACTGGAAATTAACCAAGCTTATCTCCTTGTATAAATTTAAAACCAGACTGAGAGCCCTTTGAGACGGGTTCTCTGTGTTGTAACTGCCTGCTGTAATTTTGTACATAACATGAACTGTAAAAATGTTCGAACTGTAACTTTTGCTGCCTCTTAGCCAGTAATTCCTTGAAAATGAGGTGTTTAAACTGAATGGGACCTTCCTGGTTAAATAAAGAATGAATAATAAAAATATCAGAAAATTGAAATTTCTTTGTCTTTTCTTACAAATATTTATACGGCCAAATTTGTAAATTGATAAAAATAAAAATTTTGAAAAGGGTAAACAAAATGTGTCAGAGCACCAGTGTTTCATATTACCTAAAATACTTTTCAACTGATTTTATTTTAAACAGTAATAAACTACAAAGAAAAAGAAAACAATTCAACAATTTATCAGACTTAAACTCATGTTTTTTATTAGGCACAAATGCAAGATCAAATCACCCCCTACCAGAGTGTTACTCAACTCCCACTTCCTGTTTGAAAAATGCAACAAATGTTGTTGCCTAGCAGACCGAGAGGGCGGAGCAGCTAACACACACACACACAGGCTCACAATGACATTTTGACATCATATGGTACTAGCTAACGTCCTAGGGTACCCCTTAGCCAATAGCAATGGCAGATTTGAATTCAAATGCAGTGCAGAGTTTTGACCTGACAATGGCACAACACTGACAGTTTTGGGCAGAATATTTAAATTTTAACTAAAATGCTCTAAAGTGCCAAACTATTGACTACACGTGTCTGCAGCACGATTAGACACACATTTATAGTTTGTCAGAAAAAAATAGTTGATTTGGGGGTGACTTACTCTTTAATCCATTACCTTGATGTACAAACTGAATAAATTGCTCTACTGCAATCATTGTTCATGCATCATTGTTGCCCGAGATGTGTAATTTTCATACCCAATTTTAACTATTAGGAAAAACTAGAAGCATTTCTTTTAGGGATCAGTGTTGGAGTCCTCATCTTCATCACGGTAAATTTAAGTTTATTTAAAGTGTTAATGTGAGTTTTGCATTCACCAGTGTGCTCTGTGACTTTGATATTGCAAATACTCAGGTCATGAATTCAACAATATTTAATCTTATTTGAACTGTAAATTAAAAACGAGAAATGTTTTAACAAACTTTCAAAAGCAGCAGAAAGTTAAGTTACTTAAACCTGCAGCACATAAATCAAAACATTCACGGCATATTAGCATATTTGTAATGAAACCCATCAATGAGAATCCCAATACGACTGCTGCACATCCAGCCTTTAAAGCAGTGAGCCATTATGATTTACTTTGCATTTTCCATTTGTTGGTTAATGCATATTTCTGGCCTTTTGGGAACGGGCCGTTTATTGATGGATATCAGTGGGCCTGAAATTGCTTTTGCAAACCGAAATCCTCTTTAAGCAACGTAAAATGCCTCATCAGAAGATTTTATTCCCAAAACAAATGGCGCTGTAGCAAAACATGGATGCTGCACATGATATTGTAAGCAAAAATACAACTTTTTGTGGGTTCAATGTGTGATTTTTATTATCAATCATAAACTTACAATCCACTGCTCATATTCAGTCTCTGACTAATTTAGATTGATTTAGGGGATTTAACTTTGCTTATGAGAAGAAAATAAACAAGAGCCAAAATATAATTAACTGTTAAAGGTTTAATTGCATTCAACATATTGGCTCCGTAATGAATTATAGAAGAGCTAATTTCATTAAGAAGTGAAGAGAAGAATAATGAAGGAATAAAAATGGCCAGATGTGGAGTTTTATTTCCCCTCCCCCAGTTAAAGGTCACTTTCTCCGTAGAGAGCGGTGGAGAAGGCGGTGTAGTCTAGTGCCCCTGGTGGAGCTCCTGGCCCAGCATAAGAGGGCATCCTCATGATGCAATACTCCGCTTGTTCAGGAGGGAGTTCCCTCCTCAGCTCATCCACTAGTATGAAGGGCTGTGGCAACAGGAAGACAATTTTATTCAAAGTGTGTGCCAAATCTTTTTAACAGATAAAAGACAGTAAATGTCAATGAAACATCTCAAAAGCTTTGAAATTTAAATTATAAACACATCAGCGTTGGATTAAAATATGTGCTCAGGTGCCAAAAGAACCTCAGCAGCTTAAACAGATTTACCTTATCAGCTGCCAAGATCCGGAAGGATGCAACAACCTGCTCAGCAGTGTCCGTATCAGCCGTCTCTCTGGTCATAAAGTCGATGAATGACTGGAAGGAGACAAGTCCGGTAGCATTTGGGTCCACCAGCATCATTATACGAGCGAACTCCACCTCTCCCTAAGACAGGTGTGACAAGGGAGTGAGAACACAGCCAGATACAGCACATCCTAATCTATCCAAATGGGAAATACTATACCAAGTCATAGCCCATGGAGATGAGGCAGGCTCGGAAGTCATCCGTTTCCATGGCACCGTTCTTCTTCTATGAACAGACAAGTTAAGGGTCAGATTATTGGAGCAGCAGTAGCTCAACAGGTTGAGCGGGTTGTCCAGTAATCGGAAGGTTGCAGGTTCAATCCCGGCTCCGGACAGAGAATTCTGCTGTTGTGTCCTTGGGCAAGACACTTAACCCACCTTGCCTGCTGGTGGTGGTCGGAGGGACCGGTGGCGCCTGTGCTCGGCACCCTCGCCTCTGTCAGCGCGCCCCAGGGCAGCTGTGGCTACATCGTAGCTCATCCCCACCAGTGTGTGAATGTGTGTGTGAATGGATGAATGATACACTGTAGTGTAAAGCGCTTTGGCGTCCTTACTCTGAGAGGTGCTATACAAGTGTGGGTCATTTATCATTATCATTTATCATTAAATTGCAGGCATGTCTCATATCTTGCATCGTCGCTAGTTCAGAATTAATGTAAACATTCAGCAATCCTGTAATTTATGTAACGTGAGGAAATATGGGTTTTCTGTCACAAAGGTGGTGCTGGACTCAGCTAGGTCAAAGCTGGGTCATTGAGAACTTTCACCCACAGATTAAGACCTGAACGCCAGCGAGTCTGGGAGGAAACCATAACATCTGCCACCTGCCATTTTGCTCATTATAAATGTGTTTAATCAAATGAATGGTTCTTATGCTTTGGGGTAATTATAATGGTTTAATGAATCCATTCTTAAATAATGTTGAGAATGTTTGTTACTGACATTCACACACACCCACACACACCTGCTCGCAGTAAACTCCAGACACATTTGATGACGCACGTTTGCTTTGAGAAGAGAAAGGTTTTTGGTAAGTTTCAGTCTTATGAGGCCAGTTGGTGCTTGACAACGAAAGAGAGAGGACGTGTGAACGACCGCTAACGGGGCACGGAGCCCATTGGCTCAAACCCCCCCCCCCCCCCCCCTCACGCTGTTTCTGTCAGCCAGACAGAATAGCTGAATCGCAACTTCTAACGCAGACTCATTACCGAGTCTTTTGATTTCTGAGTGAATTAACTTAAGAAAGCGCGTCGACAAAACGCTTTACCATCAACGTGTACCGAGGGCAACTCTGGACCGGTCCCGTTCGACACCTACGTCTCCTGTCAGCCGCCGGTGTCATCTGGATGAACTACAACATCCTCCACGGCCCGGATCCGAAAGAGGGTCCACAAGAGTTCGGTGAGACAGAGCACGGTGTTTAGCGTTTGGATGCATTTTTTCCAACTAAACCTAAGTTTATTCAAACCATCACTTTTCACTCAGACACCTGTTTCTTCCTGAAGCAAAATCAGATGCACACACGCATCCATCTCACCTCATCTCACCACACCTTGCACCCACACGCATCCATAATCACATCATATCACTCTCACAACTCACAACATTGTCAATCTTCATAAATTCACCAGAAGGTCTATTTGAGCAAGAACAACATATCAACTGTTAAAGATTGTCCCACAAAGTTGCCAATGTGATTGTTATTTCCTGTTTGTCAATTTTCAAAATCATTAGTTTAATTTGAAGAATTAAAACTTTTAATTGTCAAACTGGTTTCCTCATTGAACTGAAACACAGACACTCAGATATTATCGGCAGTTTATCGATGAAAACAACCTTGGAGTCTTCTGAACAATATAAAGTTTGGTTATTGATTTATTAAAAATTAATATTCCGAATTAATACGTAGCATGGTTCCTCTTTCATAAAAGAGCTTAAAACCACAATGCTACATTTATTTGACCTAAAATAGCTTCAAAGGTGAAAAATTAAATGATGACTGATCCCAAATATAAAGCAATTGTAGAATGTGGTATATTACACAGAGGTCACACAAGCATGCAAAGCAGACTTGTCCGAATATGGGAACGTTTTGCCTTATTCTGGATGAGATTTTCATGTGATGGATGCATTAACCAGAGGCAGAGCTGGTCTGTTTACACCTCACAACTGTAACAGGAGTAACTCCATCTATTGTTGCAGCTTCAGTCAGAAAATCTAATTTTAAATATGCAGAAAAAGTTCTTAATTTGCTTGAAAAACAATAGCAGCTTCTATATAATGAAATAACTGCAATACATTGTGTTGCTAATGTGAAAAACATTGGATCGTCTCTTTTGAAGGTCAGATTTACGTTGCCCTTACAGATGGTTAATCCAACGTTTTTTCCCCTTCCAGGAAATTTGTATGATTTATTTTATTTTTACAAATCCAGTGGCCCTCTACTGTGGTACAATGTAATGCAATTTGAATTAAGCACCACTCAAGTTAGCCAATAGCTTTAGACATCCACTTACTGAGCGTGCGACATATGCAGAGCTGGCGACATTTCTCATGGACAAGTAAGCCTTTAAAAAAGTATAAATAAATAAATAAATAAATAAATAAATAAATAAATAAATATAAAATGCTAGAATAATTGTGACACAATGTGTTGTAACTTGGTTGAGGTGCAAGTTCACGAATGAGATGCGTTTCTTCCAGCCGTTACCGAGGAAGTAAGAAGAGGGGCATAAGTTGCCACCTCTAGATGGCGGTCTCTGACAAAAAACCTTCAGATGCTGTTTGGAGCCGAGTTAAGGATTATATAATAACATTGTACCCTGTCAAAGTGATTGAATGAAGATCTGAACTCGTTCATCTGCTGCTGGCTGATGCCTTTGGCATCCCGGGTCAGGATCTGGGTCTCGATCTCATTAATGGTTCGGGCGATGGTTGTGAGGAGCAGCTCCCACCCAACGCGGATATGCTGTAGATATAAAACCACGCATGTTACCATACAGCTGATCAAATAACATCTATTACTGGTAAACATTTTGGATGAAATGTAGCATATTGAGAGTGTTGCTTGGATTAACAGCAGTTTGTCCTTATGGTGTACCTCCATGGTGTAGTTGGTGTGTTTGTTGTCAAAAACAAGAGACTCTTGGATTAGCTGGTGCTCTCCCTCCAACTTGTCGATGTTGGGCTTGTAAGCAACAATGACATGCTCAATTTGCTTCAGCTGGGTCATCTGGTCCTCCAGCGTGCCTCCAATCTCCAGGGAGCAGCGCCCAATTTCCTGTAAAGATAACACATGGAACAGGGTCGGCTTCATTTTAGGATAAATTTAGATCTTTGGATGCTGGCCTGAAGACCTCCTATGCAGAAGCTTGCAGACAACAGAAGATGCTGTCAGGTTATTTACGATGTACATAAAAGAAAGAATGGGCTTTTTGCAAAACGCTTACTTGGTAATGTTAAATAATCACCAGAAAAGCCAAATGCTTATTTCAGCTGAGAATACTTTAAAGTGATTTAAATCATCTGTATAATGAAACCTCCATGCGGGCCTGAATCCAGGGTCCAATGAGATTAGCCTGGGTGGCAAACTGCCGTCTCAACATTTCATGGGTATGCTGGCGTGCCATCTCCTCCTGGAGGGCACCGTCTCTCTGAGGGACCAATTTCTTCACCTACAAAACACACAGAGGTTCAAAATTTCTGTTAAAATATTATTTTATTTTGAAATGGAGAATTATATCAATAAATGAGATATGACATGTGGATATTTTACCCAACTGTGTTGATGTTCTGTTTTTTTAATCTGGTGCATTTTTCATTTGTAGCTGCAGTAACCTTATTCATCTGGACATTTTGTCAGCTTCATCTGAAATTCAGCTGTACTCCCTCATTAAATTACAATGAAACTGCATAATTTAAGTGATGTTTTGCCTAAATTTTCCCCTCTGAGTTTAGCTAAGAAGCAAATACAGTGATGGGTTAATCTTGTGCTTCACCCACATGCGCAAAGTGGCATTAAAAGGCATTAAAAACAGCTCCTATAATGAATCTTATTCCACCAAGATTGGAAATTAGTGATGCGCCGATATGAAATTTTTGGGCCGATACCGATATCAAGATCTGTTATGGCCGATAACCGATATTTGCCGATATTGAGATACTGACATTAATGCTTCTAAAATCAGCAGATTTTGTATAGAGTTAAATTATTAAAGCTGAATTTACGTTATTATGTACGCACAACACATACACATTTACGGTTCTGAGATTATTGCAATCACTGTCACATGGCTAAACACATCACCCCCTTCACCCTCTGAAACAGGCAAACAAATGGTGTCAAGATGGAAAAAAATATCGGTTGATAATATCGGACCGACACCGATATTTAAAAAAATGACCGACATCGGCCGATACAGATATGCCTATATATTGTCCATCCCTATTGGAAATATGTCAAATCTTAGAAAAGACTCTGTCCAGTGGTTAAAGTTTGGAATAGAATGCAGCGCATCATCTTGTTTTGCTAATTTAACAGAACTAAACCTACCTTTTCCCACTTGTTGAGAAGCTCCTCCATTGTAATGGTGCTGAAGGGGTTGATAATGTTGGCCTTAACCCCATAGCTCTGGGAAATTTTTTGCACCTCACTGTGAATTCCCAAAATGGCCTGTCTCTCTGCATCCGCTTCGGGCAGAGTGGCTTTGAACTGCTCGTGAGCGGCAATTAAACTCTGGAAAAGGATGAAAACACTGTACTCACTTGGACTGTATCAGCAGAAACATTATCTCACCTCACTTTTAAAAAGGTTATTGTGGTGTTACCTGCACCTCCTCGATGGTATGAACTATGAACATGTCCTGCAGATCCTCCATGGCTCCTTCCATCCAGTTGTTGAAAGGTGCTAACCTTTTGGCAAACTCCAAAAACAGCTGATCAATAGTCTCCAGCAACTTTTCTGTACGCTAAAAGGATTGCATGACAAAAAAAGTACTTTTAAAAAATTTGAATACATTTTAAATTTCCAAAACAGCCCAGGTATTCTCATGAAATAACCGCAAAACAGTATAATGTCTCAATGATATTTTAAGAAATGTTATATTGAAAAGGGTTTAATTTTCAGCCATCTGAGGGTTGTATGGAACTCCAAAGAGTTCAAAATTAAATAAATAACACATAATTAAATATGTGTGAGATGGAAAAATACTAGACAATATTGTAATCTGACAATAAAAATGTGAAATAACAGAAGGTTATGCAAAAATATAGGCTCATACAATATTTTTTCTTTTTAATGTGCTTAATATAAAATTTTATTTAAGATGGAATCTTTCCTCAGTATTGCAAATTGAGATGTTTCTAATTCTTTCAGTTTTTATTCCGTAATGTTGTTTTCACAAAGTCAGTTTAAATTTAAAAATAGCGTTTTTTTATTTCATAATGACACTTTAGCAGAATTTCTTAGGTTCAGGAAAAACCAAATGATTGTAAAATATTAGCCAAGGGTTTTGCAGGTCACATCCATTGTTTTGAATAGCAGACTAAGCGATTCTGTTGAAAACTTGTCATTGTGAAATAAATCAGCCATTTGTAAAATCTCTATTATGTATAGACATGTAATAAGAACTGAAATAATTAAATGAAATGTTCTCAATAAGTTGCATTTTTTGAAAAAAAAAACTACTGAAATGAATAAGCCTATTTTAACACAAACATGAAAAATATTTCATAATACCTAGATTAGATTTTTACATAACATCCAATCATTTTCTTTGTCAGATTCCATATTATATGATGAATTATTTCATTTTTAACACTTTACAGTTCCATGATGTCAGTTTTTCTTCTTTAAAAAACAAAAGAGGGATTTAGTAACAGTTTAAAATCTGTGAGCCCATGTGGTTACAGAGTCTGCACAAAGCTAATGCTGCAGCATGGCATTCATAATGACACCGCCAGGCAAAAAGCTCCAGACCAAAGCCAGTAAACAGGAGCTACCCAGAAGTTATTTTTTGTTGCCCTAAAAAGCCAAGGCATGTTTTTGTTTAACTCCAATATTGGGTGAAGAAGGCTAGAGGCTAATGTTGAGCTAACAATTAGAAGCAATAGTTAGCTCTAAAAATACCTCAAGCTACTTTTTCAAAATTTCAATTACCAAAAACTCAAAATTACAGTGAAACGTAAGTGTGACGTGAATGAGTCACTTGTGTTTTACTTCCTTTAATGAATCTTTCAGAACCATAACAAAAAGCTAACAGCAAGAAGGCAAACAGCCACACTTCCTCTAATGCCAAAGAAATATTACCAAAATAAGTGTAGTAGGTGCTCCCTACCATAAAACACAATAGTGCCAACACCAGATATGAAGTGTTCATCTACTTATCGACTTACAGTATCCCCTGAATGTTACAGCTCTACATGTGTTAATCATGCTAACTGATTTTATTTTGGCAATATTTAGCTCTTTTTAACAAACAGTGCTTAGTGAGGAGGTGCCAGCTTCTTGCTCTCCAGTAGGGGCAGGGATGCGGGCATGTGGCGTAATGATTCAAGAAGTCCGATTCATCTTTGACCATCTTTTGGAGCTGCTTTAACTGGCAACAGCCTTGCAACTAGCAAAACAGTAATTTGTTTAGAAACTGGTCTGCAGTAGTCAAATTGGACCCCAGAGTGTCATTCTTATTGCACCTTTAAACACCAAAAGAGCACAGATATCTGAGCCTCATCCAAAACGTGGTTATTTGTAAAAGTCCTTTCCTCAAAGACATGAGTGGGATGTGGAGCAGTGTTTGGACATCAGACGACACGTCAGATTTGATCCCTGGCACTTTTCCAGGTCTGAAACAACCAGTTTGGATCACAGGAAGTGGCTAATGGTGCTTTAAGCCAGTCTGAGCCAGAAAGTTTGTCCACTTCATCTTTCTATTGACAGATTTTAAAAGCAATCCATAACTATGGACTTCAGGTCTCTGAAATTTTCATTGGCTTAAAGTCTTTTTTTACCCTTCACAATTTTAAACCCAACAGAAACAAAGCTTGAAAGGTGAAGCTTTTAACCTGCTATAAAACTTGAAGCCATCCTTGGGGTGACTCACCTCCAGTGACTCTCTCCTCTTTTGAGTTAGTGTTCCCAGCTTATCCCATAAGTCACAGATGCTCTGGCAACGCTGGTTCACAGAAGCAACATCATGGTAATCCAATTCACTGGAGAACAGAATAAAAAAAAAAAAACAAAAAAAAAAAAAAGGTAGTCACTAGCGAAGAGAAAGCCTATGACACAAGCAGTATAAAAGTTCCAGTCACCTTAAAGGATGGGTGTTGATATCCCAAGGTCATTTTAACTAGGAAATCAACTTCCATCCCACATTTACAGGCAACCAGCACTGGCTTGGTACTGAAAAAGTACTGCAATACCAAAGTCTAGTTCAAGCCCAAACTTGGTCAATTTGAAGGGATAAGAGGGGAGAAAAAAAATTGTTTTAAATTTTTATTGAAAAATCCAGACAACTTTAACCACAACAGATAACTGCAAAAATTACTGAAACTGCTTTAGCCTCAGTTTCTTTAAAGTCACATAGGAAAGTCCTGTAAACCTTTAACTACTGCTCAGTGTACACTTCAATTTGAGGGGGGGCATCAAGGTCATCGGTTAGGTAGCGATATCGTTCATAGCCATGTTTAGTTGTACGATCTCCACCAGTCATGTACTCAGTTTGGGTGTGAGACACTGTGCCATGGGGAAGACGACCCATCAAGAACTGGTAAAAGAGATCTGGTACAGCTGGTCTTGCATGTGGATATGCTAGCTGCATGGTATCCATTAATGCATATGGAGTCTCCAGCTCAGCATTAGGGTAACTTGGGACAAAACTTTGGTCTTCCGTTTCCTTCTGTGAACTTCCCTGTTCAAAGATGGATGCAGCATTACTGAGCTCACCAGGGTGAAAAGGTTCTTGAAATATGAAAGGTGACCCACCATCCAGCACCTCCATTTCGCCATTTAAGTTTCCTTGATCCACATTTCTTTCAAAGTTATAAAGCTCTCCTGCCTGAAAGTTTGGTTGGACAGGATGATAACTGGGTTCAGAGTGGAAATATGAACTTTCCATAGGGTCTTCTCCCATCGTGTCAACATTTGAGCCCAATGGCATGACTTGGGAGTCATGTGTGTTGACCACCTGAGACAGAGCAAGCCCTTGAGGAACAGACACACCTTTTTGGAGGGGATTAAATGGCAATGAAACAACTGGACCTCCTGGATTGGGAGAAGTAATTCCCTGTGGGACAGAAAACCCTCTGGGATTTAAGGGACCAGTTTGCCATGGGACAGGCCCTTTTGATTGGAGAGTTAGCAAGTTTGTGGAATGAGCAGTTCCCCACAGGTCAAGAGGCTTTTTTTGAGCTGACGAAGGGAAAGTTAACCATGGGATTGGAGGAAGTTGTGGATTCCAATAAGGAACAGGAAGCACTTTGATGGGACCACTGAACCAAGGGGCAGCAGGCTCTTTAGGAACGGACATTTCTGGATTGGAAGGAGAAGACCCTTTGATAGTACTCAGGGGAGAAGCTCCCCATTGGACAGGACCTCCAGAATTGAGTGTAGGCAGGTTTATTGAAGTAGCAGTTCCCCATTGGTCAGTAGGCTTCTGAAGGACAGATAATGAAGTTGTCCATGGAATTGCAGGAATCTGGGGATTGAGAGGAGGAGCTGGAAGCTCTTTGGGAGGAGCAGTGACCAAAGGGACTGCAGGCCCTTCTGGATTGGGAGGAGCAGGAAGCCTTTCAGGAGCAGTGACCCTGGAGAGAGCAGGGCTTTGTGGCTTAGGTGGTACAGGAACGGCAGGTCCTTCTGTCTCAGAGGTAGGCACCCGCAAAGACTGTCGTTGGGGTCTAGCAGCCACCCAGGACACAGATGAAGTAACAGCTCTAGGCTGAACAGGAGAGGAGAAACTTTGTGGGCCAGAATTCACATTTTTGCTACTGCCACCACCATCTTGGAGATTCCACTTCCAACCTGTTTGAGAGAAATAAAACATTTTAAACTAGTAGACCAGCAAGAACATCCAGCCACAATTATATGCTTAGAAAAGAAAAGCTAGTGACTTACCAGTTTTAGCTGCAAATGACTGAGCACTGAAGCTAAACAAAGCAACCAGGAACAGCTGGCTAAAATACACAGAGAGCATGGTCAGGATCTTAAAAAGAAGAGTTCCTAAATAAAAAATAAGGTGAGAAGATGCAGGAGAAAAAAAAAAGACATACCTTGTAAACTCCAAATAAGCCATTTGGCTGGTCAGCTGAACCACCTGTTGCCATCTTCTTGGACTGTGAGTTAAATAAGAAACCGGAAAAAAACCCAGCCTGAGACGTCAACAGCACACAGGTGTCAGCCGTTGGCTGCTGATTGGAAACCCCAGCATGTTGGACAAACCTTTCTCCTCAGAGCTCAGTGACAGGATTTTGTTTAAAAGTAATTTAAATAACACCCGTTTGTTGTTCAGAAATAAGATAACATTTATTTTTTTGCCTTTTTTATTAAAAAATTAAAAACTAATAATAATAAAAAGTTCATTTTTATTTATTTAGTCATCATTTTAACTTCCTAGAGAGTTCTGTGAACTAATTAGCTGGCGGTTGCATAATTCAGCTTGGGAATACGTTTTGTAATTTATACTAAGTCTATGGCCAAAACTCACTTTAAAATCATATTAAGAAGCCAGAAACAATAATGCATGGACTGACTTCATGATTTTATTTCTCCTTCTAAGTCTCTGTGACTAATCAGTGTGGGCATCTTCTACAGAGAGTGCATACTTTAACTCTTGTGCAATGGCTGCAATCTGCTCCACTCTGTCCTGGTGGGCTGCCAGATCGCTCTCAAAGGCCTCGTGTTTTCGGAGCAGCGCTCGAATTTCTGTCAGGGTGGCTGTTTCGTAGTCCTTCTGGGAGAGGATCAGTTCTTTACCTGAACATCACATATGAGAAAGTTAGTTAATCAGCTCGAGTGAAAACAAAGTCCTTCTTTGGTCATTGTCGATGTGAAAGTACGTCCTGTTGTAAAACCACGACCAGCTGATGGTAAAATCTTTAATTGTGCCTCATTAGGAGCAAAACTTAAACAAATCCTAAAGAAAACACAGAAAGCCGGCTGAGCGGAGATGGACAAAGATAAGGGAAAGACCTCATTAATCAAGATGGATGGATAAATATTCAAAGCAACACACAAAGAAACATGAATACAGTTGAAAAAAACTAAAAGTGGGAACGGACCACTGGCCCAGTTCTCGTGATTGGTGGCTTTTTGGCGAAATTTTTCTGCCAAGTGGTCCAGCCTCTCCAGCCTCCGGATCTCGGTGAGGAGCCACTCCTCGTAGCCTTTCTCTGCCTGCTCCAGGCCCTGCCATGCACTGGCTATATCCTGGGAACACAGCGAAGGGGAACAAAAACATGTAGTGGATTTTATTATTAGGACAAAAAGAAAAAATACGTTTATTTTCCCCAGAACCTGAAGTCTGAGTGTTTGACTTACAGAAACCATCTTCCCCTCGGAGGGCATGAAAGCTGGCCGATTGCTGATGCGCAGCTTGGTCTGGAGAGTGTTGAAGTTAATCTCCAGCTGGCACTTCTCCTGAACTTTGGGGGGTTTGTGCTTGCGTCTGTAGTCCCTGAAGTCCTCCAGCTTCCGTTGCATCTCTGCCACGCTCTTCTCTGGGGTTCTATTCTCCAGCCATGGAGTGGTGCGGCGGATCCACTCCAGCAACTAGAAAATACGAGGATAATGTGGGAATAAGCTTTGAGGAAAGAAAACGCCATGTTGGGAAAGACTGTGATGCATAATTAATGTTTTCTGCAGATGGGTGTGAGCACGTAGCAACAACGTGATGCACTAGACGGCAAAAGAAAAAGCATGAACTTAAGTCTGGACTTTTTTATTTTGAGCCAGGTCATGCCCATGAAACATTTAGAACACCGAAACAATCATCACTGCCACATGTCCAAGGAGCCTTACCTCACTGGCCAGCCTCTCGTACTCCTCCATCATTTTCTCATTCTCTTGGTTCACACCAAGCACCTTACAGATCCTGTTAGCAGCCGTCTCTGCCTGCGTGAACAAGGCATGAGAATAAATCAGCAGAGTAAGGCGGCAGAGCATGTCCTCATGGATCTATCATTATTAATACATCAAAAATCATTTTCCTCACAGCACATTTGCTGATCAGCAAGACTAGTCTAAGTCAGGGGAAACGATTAAACAGCACCTGTTCGGCGCCGGCAAAAGCATGGTAAAAGCACGACACATAGGTCATGATCGCTCTCTCGTCAGGCTTGGGGGTGTTGATGATATCTGCATCAAGGAGAACAGGAAATGAAGGTGGGGGGAAAAGAAAAACAACTGGAAACTACAGAAATGTCTGAGAGTAGACGGAGAAAAAACACCCTATCAATTTAAAGGCGTGGAACACGCGTTTAAGCAGTACTTTTGCAGTGGTCTTGTAGGAATCAACGCCTTGTAAGTCGTACCCATGAAAACACACCGTTGCACTTCTCAAAAGATGCAGGGAGTAAATAAGCCATGAGGTCACACGTATAGATGTAATCTACGTAGATATGAAATTGCATCACTGCAGTAGACTTTTTTTTTAAATCACTGCATGTTTTACGCTGAAACTGTGTGTGATTTCCTGTCTAGCCCTATGCTAAGTGCGGAAATGGAGTGTCCCAGCGGATCACGGCAAAAATAGAACCCAATCCTATCTTCAGCTTGTTTTGAATCAACCCCATAGACCAGTTTTTCTTAATTCTGGCCCTAAGGACCCCCTGCTCTGCATGTTTTCCATGTTGCCTTTTCAAACACCGGTGTTTCCCGGCTGCCACACAGCACATCTGAGTTAAATGAATAAGTTATCTGCCGCACTTGATCTCCTCCTGAGGATGATCCAAATATGCAAATCAGGTGTGCTGAAGTAGACACATGGAAGACATGCAGGACAGGGGGTCCTGAGGACCGGGATTGAAAAACACTGCTGTAGACTACAATGGATTCTATTTGAAGCAGCAACATTCTACTGCCGCTGTGTCGCTGATGCTTCCAGTGTGAAGTCTGGGTTACTTCCTGATATTTGGACATCTCACCCCGGATTGGATAACAGTAACACGGCTCTACCACTGACTTGCAATGTGGATGATTTATCTCCACAAAAAACACATGTCTGAAGGAGCTCCGCCATCTGGTGGAGTCGCTAATGCTAACGGTTAGCTTAAACTAGCTGAGACATTCCACCGTCTATTTTCTATCAGAAGCTAATGCAGGAGATAGGTGTAGGAGACCATTTTCATGTTCAGCCTGCATGAAAAACTCAAGAGTGTCCAATTATAATCAGAAATGACATTTAAAAAATGGGTTTTCAGTGTCCCACACCTTTAAATTTGTCACCTGATGTAGCTAATCATGAACGACACGCACAAGAAAGATCAAACAGAGCCACTGATCCAAGAACATTACCCTCGGCATCCAGCATTTTAGGAATGTCCAGGTGTTTTTCGGCTATGTCGAAAGCCAGGTTCAGGTTCCCCAGGGGATCGTCCTATAAATAGACATAATTCTACATAGTTACATACAAGAGTGAGAGTTAAAACGCCACTGCACTGCTCTTCATGCAAGTAGAGTTAGTAGATTTTTATGCTCACAAGCCAAATCTTGTGAAGAAAACACATCATCCGTGAATCTGACTGGGAATGTTTGCTAAGTTTATAGCAATACTCAAATTTAATAAGCTTGTGACTTAATCAGCCATCTCTCAGATCACTGATTACCGTGGAGTGGTCCACTAAGCTGGCAGCTGACACTGAACCCCCTCTGCTGGTAAGAGGACCATTACAAGAGAGTGAAGCAAGATCAAGTCATCATGCTGCTGCTATTGTCCCTGTCTGGGTGTTTTTTATAAAGGTAGCAGGTGATGTAAGGCTCGCTACATGACAGGGATAGCTGCTCACAGATCCACCGCAAGACAGAGAGATGGACACGAGGATGAGTGTAAAACCGGATGGATGGAGGGACTGCCAGAGCTTTTGGCTGCTATGCATGTGTGTCTAACAGGAGATGTATTTGCAGGATGTAACGGGCTTAACGAACGAGTTACCTGGAGCCAGACCTGACAGCTGCCACGGCTCACAATGCAACCGTCTGCTGGCAGCATAAGCAGAACCAAAAAGGTGAAAAGTGACTGAGTGCATGAATGTGTGTGTCAAAGATCTGGTCATTGTGGGGAAAAAGCAAAGAAAACAAGCAGCAGGTTTAAATGTTTTCATCCATAAGCCTCTAAAGCCTAAGCTCTGCAAGGACTAGAGCTCCTGGGAAGGCTTTAGGGTCAACGCTATGCCGCGGCATTAAGTCGTGTGTTGTGTCTGTGTTTCCAAAACAAATCAAAATATCATTCTTTATTTCTAGTTTAAGATTTTCTCCCGGCTTTACATTTACAGCACGGGGCCACGTTTGGCCTCTGTGAAGTCTTTGCTGCTATTTCAGGTCAAGTACGCGAGCTTTCCCGAGGTCTAATTTGTCTGGACCTTGAGAAATTTAATCCGAGGTTCTTGAATCGGAGGCTCCAGGACTTTCCATTTCACCTGTCGTCTGAACATCTTCAAGAACCGATTGAGAAGGCATAAAGTAGTCCTGTTGCCTCAGATTTGAGCACCGCAATTACCACAACCTGGATGTATGAGAATCTGGATAAAACACCAGAGAATTTAACCTTTCAGTTTTCTTTTAAATACTAATTATCCCGCTTTACCCAGAATTTACTCAGAGATCTTTTAAACCAGGACATTTAAACAAAATGTGCAACATTTGACCTAAAAAGAATTATAGTTCAAGCAGAAAATGGGATTTAGCCTGAATACGTTAGAATAAAAGTTTTTGTGTGAGCGAAGAGAAGCTGCACCATTAATTTTGATGGAAACAATAAGACTGAAAGCTATAAAAGCCAAATTTGATGGTTATTATGACAAAATCGTGTCCCAAGTAAACAGTTTTATTTAAGGATAATGAGGCGTAAGGTGAGATTAAGTGAGTGCACTTAACCCCCAGAGACCCACGGTTGTAATATTACAACATCAGATTTAAGTCTACAAAAATAAACCTTACCCATTTTTTTTTCTTTTTAAAACCACATTTACATTGCTAATAGGTCCTATTGTTCAGTTCTGCAACACTATTGGCTGTTAAAATGTGTAAATAGGCCCATTTATCTGGCCTCCTAGAACAACATGTGAAAGGTTAAAAAAAAGATTTTGCAGTTGCTTTCTAAATTTGGGGCTCTGGGGTTAAATAATGGAAGGAGGAGACATCCATAAATTAGGGTTTCATTATAACCATTAGCCAAGCAACATGCATATATTGTAGTCATTCATTTCCTTTCCACAAACAGAGTAGAAAAAGATGCTCTAACTAGATGTTTTTCTAATTTTTCTCTCACTTCACATGCTGGTGCAGAATCTAAATCTATTTTTCAACGTGTTGGTTCTTTAATCAGTTCACACAGTGAATGTTTGAGTGTGTTTTTTTAAAGCATGCATTAATGTGTCAAACTAAAACACGGCATCCTGATTGCGAGTCACACAAAGCGACACCTTGTTGAGCTTAGAGAAGTCGAGGAGGTCGGGTCTGTGTCTGTGAATCAGGGCACAGAAAGCCAGGCCGTCCTTCCAGCTTCAGCATCCAATAAGCAGAGAGAACCAACATGTCAATTCAAGAGGTGGGGCTTCTGGAGTCAGTTTAGCAGCGTTTCCTCAAAAGCATTTTATCTATGGATGCTTCACGGTGAGCTGTGATGATGTCTGACCTGGAATCTCCTAACACTCACCTAACATGGAAGTTTTGGACATTAACGTTCCTGTAGGGGGCAGTCTTTCTTTGACACCACAGCAGAAGGCCTTCCTTAGCAGATGTTTCTGATGAGAAAAGAATTCACTCACATTTAAACACAATTTCCTTTTTTTTTACACATTAGATATAAATCATCTGCATCTGTGAATGTTTATGTTTGTGTAAATAATGATTTTATAATAAAGATAAATAGAACGCCTCAGCACTGTAATGTGTCCCCAGTCAGATTGTGCTGCAGGCAGGATATTGCTGAATACTTCAGAGCTTCAACTAAAACCAGAGACAAGAAGTTTAATGAGATTCCCATCTTTAGATTAATTAATTTTAGAAAGGACACATTTTAAAAACACTCATAATTGGAGATATGGAGAACATAGGACCTGATGTAAGCCTGGTCCAAACCTGTTTAACACCATTGACACAGTTAATGTTTGCATTCTTTAATCTAAGCAGATTCCCTACTTTGTGACTGATCATCTCACCTTCCACAGAGATGTCTTGAATAGCAAAGCGGAGGATGATGGTCCAAATCATCCCAAGAGTCATCTTTACATTCCCATCGACGATCTCTGAAACACAAAACAGTCATGATTATTTGACATAATAATATTGATTGATTTTCTGAAAAAACATGTGATTAAGTATGTTTTTCACTTGTTTGTTCAATACACTTGGAGTGGTCTAAAGTAGGAATGAATGCCTTGTATAGCGTACTCTAGTTTCAGAAACAAGAAAATTGCCACATCAGCGATGAGTTTCAGATGACAGGATTGGTGTCCTGTTTCCTGATGTTTGAACATCTCACCTCTTATTGGCTAACAGCAACTCAAATCCACCACTGGCTCTGTTTGCTTTGCGATGATAATGCTAACGGGTAGCTTCTACTAGCCGAGACGTTTCCTGGTCTTTAAACCAAGAACAAACTTCCCCGTTGCGAATTAAGATGGATGCGTCCATGAATGTTAAGTGACAGTGTGATGTAGATTTGTCAGGTTTTTCAAGTCCTAGCACTTCATCGTCTATTTTCTATCAGAAGCTAATGCGGAAGATAGGTGTAGGAGACTATTTTCATGTTCAGTCCACATGAAAAACTCAAGAGTGACCGATTATAATCAAAATAATAATTTAAAAGTGCTTTTTCAGTGAACCACACCTTAAAGTTGTAATAGTTCTAGGGTGGATACAAAACATGTTCATGAGGTCCTTTGCACTAAATCCATCTTATATTAAAAAAAAATCTGTGCTTTCAGGGCTTTGTCACTTTAAAAAGGCAAGTTGAATGTGGCCACACCCACCTATCGCTTGCTGAGGCTGCAATAAGCTGAGAAGCTTTAATACCTGGGAGGGGTTTGAAGTAGAGCCGCTGCTCCTCTTGCACTTTACAGGTGATTCTATTGTACTTACCCCATTTGTGTCATCACAAACAGGGACTCTTTGAAACGGCGTGTTTTAGGCATAAACATGAAAATAGAGGCAAGCTACTGAGCAATGGAGTGCATAAAAGCGTTGTCGTCATATTGGGCTGGTTCCCCACTCTCCAAAGCCAGCTGGAGTTAACACAGATTGGGCAACTATGCCTGTTTGTGTACAGCCTACAGTTTTTTAAAAACAGTTCACGTGGGATTTTTCAAGCCTACCTGCTGGGATTTTATAATTTAATTTTAAAAAATGTATTCTATTTAAATTCTATTTATGTTTTATTTATCATGCCAAACTGCATGTCTGATTTTGTGGAAGAAAGGCATCATAAATTTTTGTTGGGTAAATGCTTTCGTCAATAGAAATAAATGCATTTGGGGCAAATGGAGAACCATCCAAGAGGGCAACCCACTGCTATGCTAGCTTCAATAGGCAGGGCCAATCCACGTCACAACTGCATATGTGATGTCAGTAGTTTCAGGCACATAATTCCTAAAACCAAACACTGACAGAAAACAGTGGAGTGTTTATAGAGGCAGTAGACCCATATGACAATACAAAATGGTGAAAAAGGTCAGTTTTGCTTAATATGTTCCCTTTAATACAAGAAGTGGTTGGATACCTTCGGCACCAATGGAGACCAGTTTCACTCCTTTACTTGTGATAAACTCCAGCGCTTTGTTGACATTAGCAATCTTATGAAACCGCATCTTCCCTCGGTCTGGTTTAGGTAGCCTCTCTCCTGCAAACAGGCATAAACATGAATATAGAGACAAGCTACTGAGGAAGGTATCTGATGTCACACGGGGGAAATGACAGCTGCATAGAAACAATATATATAAACATAATCATTTTGTGTGCAAACCTGAGATGACCTCCAGGAGCAGCATTAGCTTTAATCCATTCCTGAAGTCATCCTCAATGTTTTCAATCTGAGTGCCAGCCTTCCGCAGGTGGGAGTTACACCAAGCTGTAAATGTCTAAAAACAGAGATTCCCTGGTCAGCTTCAATGGGGTTTGATCAAATGGAGGAGGACAGAAAAATAAGAAAAATAATCATTTGTAGCGTTTTAAAGGTCAACACTTTACTCCTATTTTTCATTTGCATTCATCTCTAGTGAGAATAAATGCCTTGTAAGTCGTCTGGAGAAAACAAGCTCCAGCGCACCTGTTTGAGGACGTATAAAGCCAGGCGGACACTGTGTGACTTTTTCACTCGTAGCACTCAGCTTCAGCTCAAACTGTACGACTTCCTCGCAGGGCAGATCTCACGAGTCATGCGCTCACACTGCACGACCCAGTTCTCGGATGCGACCTGACTGCTCACACTGTACGTCTGGTAGCAACACGTTGGCCCTAAAAACATGCTAAAAATAGCAGTTTTTACTCAACACGTCAGACTTTTTTGTCTTGCCTGTTGTCCTTCGGGAGTGCTGCAGGAGGACACACAGGGATTTATGGGGGTTGGATGAGGAAAACGAAATAAAGAAAGTAAATCTGTGTTTTGTGATCAGGTTAATTTGACATGAACACGACAAACACGCCTTCTTGACAATCTTTGTGAGTAAAAAAACGTGTAGAAATTAAAACGAACAGCGTGTGTTATTAGGGGAATAGCGGGCAAGCGGTGCTGATGCATGATTGCGCATGTGCCGTGAGCGGTTCTGATACATTTTGGGTCGCAGCTGCTCGCAGCGCCGCTTCAACAGTGCGATACCCTCACGAGGGACGAGCGAAATATTAAACACGCCAGAAGTCCGTGCAAGCTCACGATTGCTGATCGGTAGCTGGTCACCTGGTGTTAATCGCCTCTCGTAACCCCCTGTACACTACACAACGCTCGGCGCAAAACTCGCCCCGATCTCGTGGATTCTCGCATGAGTGGAAAATCGGCTCAAAAAAGTGAAAAAGTCGCACAGTGCTTTAGTCAGCTGGAGGAGAAAATACCTTCAGAAATCAGGATATGGAGTCTTATTTCCTGATATTCAAACATCTTGCCTCTGATTGGCTAACAGCTACATGACTACCACTGACTGTTCGCTTTGCAACATTGATGTTTTATCCCCACAAATAACACAAGCCTGAAGGAGTGTTGCAGAGTTGCCAATGCTAACAGTTTGCTTCTACTATATTAAATGTTCTCTGCTGTCTCCTGGTCTTTAGACCAACAACAGCCTTCACCGTTATGAGTCAATTTGAGTGAGCCCATGAATGTTATGTGACAGTGTGATGTAGATCTGTCAGGCTTTTCAAATGCTGGAGTTCACCATCTATTTTCTGTCAGAGGCTAATGCAGGAGATAGGTGTAGGAGACTATCTTCATGTTCAACCTGCATGAAAAACTCAAAGTGACTGATTATAATCAGAAATAACAATTAAAAAATGTTTTTCAGTAAAGTTGATGGAAAAAGTCATAGGCAAAAAAAATTGTAACAGGGATCTTTTTAGCATATAGTCACACATCTTCACTCATTTCAGTTCATCAGGCTTGTTTCACATCAGCATTTTAAAAAATGAGCCCTAAAATTGATAACACTTGAACCTAAAGTATATCTTAAATAATATGTTAAATATAAATAAACTGTATTAACTGGCCAGTTTATTCCTTCAGCACCATCATGCTTGAGTCCAGTTTCCACTTTTTCTACATTAGCCCTGCAGCCATCACCAGTCAGAAAAATGTATTCTATGTAAAGACGTGAAATACTGTAAATCAAGTGAAGACGGGATCATTATCTTTCCCCTGTTTTTGTAAAGTCTCTCAATAGCCATCATGGAGTTCTCAGACGCACATCATCGTACTGATGAAAGCCAGAAGCCAAGCATTCCAGCCGATATAGGGCGATAAATTTAGACCACCCTGCTGCGACTCACGATAAGAGGCGGAAAGGAAAAAACGTCAAAATATCTCACCGTCTCAACAAGAGTTAAAATATCACACAGGCACAGAATGAATTTTCCTCTTGCGTCACCTTCTATCACTATTTTGCCACTTATAACGTGACATGCTCATGCACTTCAGCTGGGTGGAGATATCTCTGTCGCAGAATCTCGTTCATACAGGCCACTTTTATTACAACGCTGTGGTATGAAGACAGAGAGGGATGAATAGATGACAAGAATATCAGAGATCTAATTTAAAATCATTTGAAGGACATGCAACCAGGATGAATAAACTGTTCTTGTCTGCTGTTAACAGTGTTAATGACATAAAAAAGTTTAAATATTTCAATAACGCACAGCTAAAAATAAAGTTTATGTGTTGGTAAATGTGGCACAAAAAAAACAATTAGATGAGGCCACATCGTTTGATGCTCTTTAAAATTATTATTAAATTAGAATTTCAAATGAAAACATGTCCACATAGAAGATCTGTTATTGCAAGAATCAGCATTCAATGGTGGTGAGTTCAAAGACTAGGAAAAATATTAGATTTTGATTTGCTGCGTAGCAATTATGTGTTCATGTCTCTTGATGAATACATGTCTTACATTTGAGTTGTAAATGGGCAAATTACCAGTTAGAACAAAAACCCCTTATTTTGGCCGATTCCAAACTACAAACTTTTTTTTCAAATGCATCTCTCAAACAGTAATTTAGGATAGCAGCGCTTTATCCGCTTTGTGGGCCAATCGCGGCCCTCTATTCGTCTTGTGGGCGGGATGATGCAACAGAGTGGAACAAGATGGCGACAGCTAGTTTGAAACGGCTTTTAAATCTATTTTGGACTATTTGGACTTGGGCTTTATTAGAATCAGGAGCAGATAGATGTGTTTAAGTAATTTTCTTAGAAAAAAAGATGTATTTTCACCTTCTTCAATTGCAGGCTGCCTCGTTTACCGACATTCCTTTGAAGTGAGTAGGCTACATCACGTTGTTCAATGTCCAGTAGCATGTGGATATCAAGCAGTCATAGAGAATATGTACATTTGTACCTGTCTGGAACCAATGTCTATTTTAAGTATTCCTATTAACTTAAAGTTTCGTGTTTTTATATGCATATACTGTATTAGACCCTCTACAGTTATAGCACCATCTCAAAATATGGTAGCTGTTTAGGGACATACAAGAGATAATGCTCTGTGTTTCACTTGATGTAACCTGAAAAAAACAGCAGGGGGCAGCAGTACGCCCTGGAAGTATGCAGTCTCCCAAACCAACAACGAAGAAGATAACAGATGCACAGTTGATCACAGAGATCGTGGCCCAACCCATTCCATTTGGAAGAATTTACATGCAAACATTTGTGTATTTTCCTTTCTTTTGGTGCACTTCAAAGGCCGACCACTAGTTAGCAGCAGTGTGCAATGGGTTTTGTTTCCACCACTGAAATGTAAATCCCTCTGTTATGGTTCAGATACCTCATGTTAAACACGTTAAGTATAAGTTTGGACTGTTTACTGAATATTCCTACAATAAATTCAGTCTAAAAAAATCGTTAATAATGTCTGACTGAACGTAAAACAATACATTGTGATGTATTATATCGTCTCCCCTTTATCGTGATACGTATCGTATCGCCAGAATCTCACCAATACACATCCCTACTAATGATGTACTTTAACGTTTTGCAAAGTGATTGTTTATGTGCTATAATGAAAAAAAAACCATCATATTGGTATTAAATGAGAACACTTCAGCTTGTTTTACGACCTTGGTTTATAAGCATCCCTGCTCCCAGTAGGACCGCACACGGGTGCCCAGCTAGTCGCTCAAGCTGCTCCCTTGGGTGCAGATGCAAAAACAGAATATTACCGGCTTTACAGTGAAGGGCTTCACATTCCGCACTGAGTGAGCCCCTTGGGGTGTATGTGACATTGTACTGGTGTCCTTTTGTTTAGAAAAAAAGACACACATGGCCTTCTGGTCCTCCACATTGGATTGAGCCACAACTGCTCACTTTCCAGGTGGCCCCACCCTGCCCTGCACCACTGCCCAGTGACGATAAAACCTAAAAATATTTATGAATCACTTCCAGCGAGGACCAACCCTGCCACTAATGCCTCTGAGGCCTCACTAAGTCCGAGACTGACAGGATGTGGAGGAAAATGAAAAATGGTCAACTGGATGTTTAACATAGCGAAAAGACCACACATTGCTCCACAAATGTCTTGGGGATTGTCTTGTTTCTGCTCCTATAATAGTTGACAAGTACTATTGAAAAGAAATAAAGATCCAGCACAAATGTGGCTCTGTTAGGCACAAAATGGAGTTGGCCGATTGATTAAAGCAATACCATCAGAGAAATTATACTGCTCATTGTGAAAATGTAGCACAAAGAGTAAAAGGCCAAAGGGAAGCACTCATCAGAAGATGACACCAGGTCTGATAATATAATAACGAATAATAGATTGACTGATATGGTTTTTTTCTGATGCCGATACTGATTACGATATATAAGAGGTCATGGTCAGCTGATGGCCGGTTTGTGCTGCTGATTTTACGGGCTGGTTTTTATTTGCTTATGCTTAAATATCACATTTGGCCAGTGACTCTCTTTGATGTTGTTTTATGGTTGTATTTATTGATTTTTTTTAATCTGTTTGTAATGTTCTTTTACTGTTTGTTATGATGATGTCATGCAGAACTTTGGTCGGCTCTCGTGCGGTTTTTATATGTGCTACTGAAATAAAATGGCATTGTACATATAACAACAGTAGATGCACAACATTTCTGAACTTGAATCTGAAAAATCAAACATTTAACCAAAGTTGATGAAAGAAATCAAGAAACTGACCAAATATCAAATGAACAAAACAGGTAAATATCCAGTACCCATAACATTTCATTAAGCAGATGTTTTCCAGGGATGTAAATATACATTTAATCACATTCTGCATCAGCATCGGGCTGTCCGCAGATGTGCCAGACTTTAAATCGGCTCTGCTGAAGAGGTATATAGGCTGATGCTGATATTAAAATAAAATAGTTAAAATATTGGTCCGATTTATTGGCCAACCGAAGTATCGCTTTTCCCTAC